TTGTGTGGTAGATTTTGAAATCAGAAAGTATGTCTTGGGGAAGCACTGTGGTATAGAAGGGTAAGCCTCCGCCTGCGGTGCCAGCGTCCCAAGTGGGCGCCACTTCAAGTCCCAGCTGCTCCACTTTCAATCCAGCTCCCCGCTAATGCACCTGGTAAAGCAGTGGAAGATGACCCAAGTCCTTGGGCCCCTGCAGCCATGTAGGAGATTCGGATGAAGCTCCTGACTCCTGGTTTTGGCCCGGCCCAGCCCTGGATGTTACAACCACCTGGGGAAGTGAACCGGCAGATGGAAGAACTCTGTCTTTCTCCGTCTCCGTCTCTCTCTGTATCTCTGCCTTTCAAATAACTAAATCTTAAACAAACAAACAAAAAACAACTCTGTCTTTTCTCTTCTTTTTGAAGATTATTTCGGCAATTCAGGGTCCCATGGTATATGAATTCAGGATAGAGTTTTCTATTTGTGCAAAACTTAGACTTGAAATTTTGATAGAGGTTGCACTGAATCTAAATTGCTTTGGGTAGTGATTTGTTTGAGTCTGCATTAATTCCAGTATTTTGTGGCTTAAAAAAAAACACAAAAATTTTATTATGGTCACAATAAAATAAAGTAAGTTTAATTTAAACTTCACAATCACTGAGCTATTTTTTCCCCACTTCATATCAATTACTTAAATGGAGAAATAATTACCTCAGGAACTGGAGACAGTAATTGGTCTGAAAGACAGCTTGAACCATAACCAATTTACTCTTGAAATGAATGAAGTTACATATTTAAATTGTATTTATTTACTTATTTTCACTTATTGAGAGAGAAAGAGACAGAGACAGACAAAGGCAAATAGAGAGAGAGCTTCCATCTGCTGGTTCACTCCTCAAATGGCCAGGGCTGGGCCAAGCCTAGGTCAGGAGCCCAGAACTCCATCTGGGTCTCCCACATGGACAGAAGGGGCCCACGTACTTGAGCCATCATCTGCTACCTCCAAGGGTGCCCATTAACAGGAAGGTGGATCAGAAGCAGAAAAGATAGGGGCTGGTGCCATGGCACAGCGGGTTAACGCCCTGGCCTGAAGTACCGGCATCCCATATAGGCGTCAGTTAGAAACCCAGCTGCTCCACTTCTAACCCAGCTCTCTGCTGTGGCCTGGGAAAGCAGAAGATGGCCCAAATCCTTCGGCCTCTGCAGCCACATGGGAGACCTGGAGGAGGCTCCTGGCTCTTGGCTTCGGATTGGCGCAGCTCCGGCTGTTGCAGCCAATTGGGGAATGAACCAGTGGCTGGAAGACCTCTCTCTCTCTCTTTTCCTCTCTTCTCTCTCTATGTAACTATGACTTTAAAATAAATAAATAAATTTTTAAAAATAACCAAATCTAATAAGAAGCTTTCTAAGGTTTTTCTTTAAGAACATAATCTTACCACCCTAACATTAATCTGGAGTTTTATAGGTCTCATCCCACATGCATAAGTCTTTACTAAATTGCAAGTGTAACTAGGAACATATTTCTCCTTTTCCTAGCTGTAGGCAGACAAGAAACCTGCTGCTCTGGCCACAGCAAGGTAGCTGCCCCAGAGCTTCTCTAGTATTTTGTGCAGTCTACTTCTCACGTCCACTCTGTCCAACAAGCCACACGTACTTGTCAGCAAAATACGCTCAAGCCCTTAGGCGTTCACAATCTTCCGAGAGACAGACATTGTAACACACTACTGCTCACCCCAGAGGCCACCACCAAATCCTCCACCTTTTCAAAGCTTTAGCTTATTCAAAGCAGTAAGGACGGAGGAGACTATCTGAATCAACCAAGAATCAGAGCCCTCTGAAGACGCGGAATCCCTTCCTTCCTGCCCCTCGGAGATAATCCTGAGGACGCCAGGGCTCTCTGCCACCCTTTAAGCCTGAACGTGTCTTCTGACACCAGAGCCTCTAAGCCCTCTTCAGGGTAAATCCCTTCCCAGCCTAGCTCTCCTTCCCACACTCAGGTTTCCCCTGGAATGTCTCCGCTGCCCTCCTCCCTTCCCCTTCCCCAGAGCACCTCTCACGAGCCCTTGGAAAAACAGCCTTAAATTTTCTCCTCTGGAATGAGGCTCAGTCCATGGGGCATGTCAGAAGTTAAACTCGGACCTTGGGTATAGGCTGGAGGTTAAATTCAATTATCTACCAGGGCGAGTCAGCACAGCCTTCTCCAAACTTTGCTTATTAAATACAGAGCATATTTTACAAATATGCCCTATCCAGTTTTTCCTTAAAATACCTGGGCCATTAATCCACCTTTCATTTTCACAATTTTGACTGAAATAGGGGTGCAAGAACTAAGTGGTTCATTTTCCTAATTATACTGTAACGTCACTAAGAGATCTTCTGAATAACAGAAACACACTCTAAGAAGGCTGCTATCCGCCCACTCTTTGCCAGTGGGACACAGATCTTCTGACACATTTTTGTGAAAAATCATGTTTTAAGATGCTGATGGAGGGGCCAGCACTGTGGCAAAGTGGGTAAAGCCTTTACCTGTGACTGTGGCATCTCATCTGGGTGCCAGCTTTTGTCCTGGCTGCTCCACTGCCACCCCAGCTCCCTGCTCATGGCCTGGGAAAAGCAGTGGATGATGGCCAACATACTTAGGCCCCTGCCACCCAGGTGGGAGACCTGGATGAAGCTCCTGGCTCCGGCCTGGCCCAGCCCTGGCTATTGTGGCCACCTGGAGAGTGAACCAGGAAATGGAGGATCTCTCTGTCTCTCTCTATATATATAACTCTGCCTTTCAAATACATAAATAATCTTTTTTAAATGTTGGCAGATAATGTGAAAGAATTTAAAATGCTACAACAGCTAAAGCAATCAAGGTTGTAGAGTGCAGATCCATTGCCTGCATGTAGAATCTGGTACTATAAATTCCAACAGGCGTTCATCCTGTTTTATTATAGTTGCATACTTTAGAGAAGGCAGATCAGAGATCAGTAATTTGTCAGAGATCAGTAATTTGTTTCCACATTCATTCTTCATATTTATAGTGGATCATGTTTTCTAGTCTAAATCCACAACACATTATTAGTAAGGCCTTAAAGTCAAACTACCCTTCTCTTCTACTTCCTTTCTCCCCAACAAAAAGAGTTAAAACAGTGCATTTAAAACCAAAATGTAGGGGCCAGCACTGTGGCGAAGGGGTACAGCCGCCACCTGCACTGCCGGCATCCCACATGGGCGTCGATTCATATCCTGGCTGCTCCACTTCTGATCCAGCTCTCTACTGTGGCCTGGGAAAGCAGTAGAAGATGACCCAAGTCCTTGGGCGCCTGCACCCGTGTGGGAGACCCCGAAGAAGCTCCTGGCTCCTGGCTTTGGATCGGCGCAGTTCCGGCCGTTGCGACCAACTGGGGAGTGAACCATTGGGCAGAAGACCTCTCTCTCTGCCTCTCTTCTCTCTCTGTGTAACTCTTTCAAATAAATAAATAAATCTTTTTTTAAAAACGTGGAGATTAGATTAGCTTTACAGAGTTTTCTAGAGTGGCTACCAATTTTACCAGTCATCTTACTGCAAGTCCTTGTTGTGAGGAGAACTAAGTATAAATTATACAGAAACACATCACTACACTGAAAACTCAGATCACAGCATTTGACTCCGTACTCTACCCACTGCCATCTTAACCCTGCCACGCCCCACCCAGAGGACTGTCCATCTCTGAACCCTAACCATTTGCATCACATCCCCTCTCCCTACCAACATTCAGCACAGTCTATCCTAACTGCATGTAAATCTGCGGCTGGCGCAGCCCACACATACCAGGAAAGCAACAGTGGCTGCATAGACCATGCTCACCACCCAAACACTAACAGCACTTCCAGAGCGCACACTGAGTAGCTGATCTGCACTCTCCCGGAAGCGTTCCCAGACCACCCACCCAATCCAAAGTCGCTCTGCAGCCACTACCTTACTTTCCTTCTCTAAATAGGCCTGCTGCGGTCTAACACCGTCCGGTCGGATCATGTATCCTTCGCCATCGTCCCCCCGCCTGGTACACAAGCACGCGTGGCACTGATACAGTAGTAAGTGAATCTGAACCCCCCGTCCCCTGGGGAACAGAAGCGACCTGCACACGGTGCTCTACATTTCACATTGCGCTTTCAGGACACGCGTGCGGCGTGACTGTCTTAGGGTTCCTAAGGTGGGCGGGCAAAGGCTGAACAAAAACGGAAGTCTGGTTCCGTGGGACTTCGTACGGGAATTTCTGCTGCAACGAGAAAGCCACTTCCTCCAGCACTCGGCCCCGGTGTGGCCACTTCCTCAGCCGCAGACGCGGCCGTGCGGGCTCGCGGGCGCGCAGGACTGAGGCGCCTCCGCCAGCCGGGCGGCGGCAGCGGACGGCAGCGCGCGCGGCGACTCCCCTACTTCGGCGGTCCGCCTCCTTTCACCCCCGAACCCGAACCGCCTCGCGGAGTCTAACCTGGCGCACCCCGCAGCCTCCAGGGGGCGGCGTTACCCCAGGCCCGCGTCACGGAGAGACCGGCGCCCGCGTCCGGCGGTTCTCACAGGGCGGGAGGCCGAGAGGCTGCCGGGCGCCCCGCCCCCCGCCCCGCCCCTCGCCCTCGGGCCCCGCCCAGGCCCCACACCCTCGGCCCTCGGACCCGCCCCTCGCCCTCGGGCCCCGCCCAGGCCCCACACCCTCGGCCCTCGGACCCGCCCCTCGCCCCGCCCCTCGCCCTCGGGCCCCGCCCAGGCCCTACACCCTCGGCCCTCGGACCCGCCCCTCGCCCTCGGGCCCCGCTCAGGCCCCACACCCTCGGCCCTCGGACCCGCCCCTCGCCCCGCCCCTCGCCCTCGGGCCCCGCTCAGGCCCCACACCCTCGGCACTCGGGCCCCGCCCGGGCCCCGCCCCGGGCCCCGCCCCTCTCCCACCAGGCCCCGCCCGCCCCGCCGGGCGCGCGCCGCGCCAGTCCGCCGAGCCGCCGGCTGGTTGCTGCCGCAGTCGCGCCTACGCTGTCCCTCCCGCTCCGCCGCTGCCGCCATGCCCGGAGGTCTGCTTCTCGGGGACGAGGCGCCCAACTTCGAGGCCAACACCACCATCGGCCGCATCCGTTTCCACGACTTTCTGGGAGACTCGTAAGTGGCCGCGTCGTCCGGTCCCGCCGGGGCCCGAGGCGCCTGCCTTATTCGGTGCCGGCCACCGGTTCCCGCACGTGCCTCTCGCCCTGCGGCCCCGCGTCGGCCGAGCGCAGGTGGGGGCCGGCCGCCCTCCGGTCACCTCGCCTGGGTCCCTGACCCCTCTCGGCCGCCAGTCGGGCTAACCAGGCTAAAGCGGGGGCGGGGGTGGGGGTGGGAACGCAACTGGGTTCCGCAGGCCCTGGGAACGCCAGGTTTCGTGTGGTTGAATTCCGTTTAGTAACCCGTGCGGGGGGCGGAGGCCGGGCGACCTCGGCGGTCACTGCCTGGGACTGGTGCCCGGGGCCGCACCACCCTCCTCCCCTCCCTCCGGCCTGGAATTTGCTCCCTGGGGAAAGAGGGTGGCCAGGGCCAAAGTCAGAGGACGGAGCTGCGGGCTGCAGGTTCGGGAGGGGCCCGCCCTCGCCTGAGAGTTCTCCTTGTTGCAGTGGTATTTGCAGGCTCCTGGGCCCCAGAGGAGAACCGTAGAGCCGCGAGCTGCCCAGAACACCTCCGCTGGCCAAGATAAAATTTGGCAACAGCTCTAGGGAGGAGCCAGAAACAGCCAGGCTGTGTGTAGCTGTGTCCTTGGTTCCAGAACTTGCAACACCTTCTGAGCGGAGAGCTGAGGTCTTCAGCTGCAGTGGCCTGTTCGCGCCCGGGGAGGGCCTTGCAGGCCGTGGGACGCGTGCACCTCCCCCCATGGAGACCCTTTTGTCTCCCTCTCTCGCTTCTGCCCTCTCTGACTGCCCTGCTAAGGTCTTCAGCTGCAGTGGCCTGTTCGCGCCCAGGGAGGGCCTTGCAGGCCACGGGACGCGTGCACCTCCCCCCGTAGAGACCCTTTTGTTTCCTTCTCCCGCTTCTGCCCTCTCTGACTGCCCTGCCTCCTCTCTGGCATCCAGCACGTGTGATAGCCAGCGTGGTGACCCAGTGTCTGGCCTGGTGGTCGCAGCATCATGATCGGGAGTTAATGGGTGTTGCTCTTGTTTTACAGCCAACTTTAAGTTGCCTGGTGTTCATCAGGAGCATTCCAGACACTTTGGGTAGGAGGTGTCTTCCCGTGGTGTTATGAGGCGTGCAGTCCTCCCAGCCTGTACCCTTTTTAGATACAGTAGCCAGAGACTCACCAGGGAGAGGCAGAGGAAGAAGTTAATGGTTGGACACGGCTGTGCTGAGAACCTGGGAGAGATTTTGTGTGTGTGTGTGTGTGTGTGGCTACACAGTAATTTTTTTAAAGGTTTATTTATTTTACTTGAAAGAATTGCAGAGGGAGGGATAGACAGAGAGAGGGATCTTCCATCTGCTGGTACAATCCTCAAATAGCCACAGCAGCCAGGGCTGGGCCAGGCTGAAGCCAGAAGCCTCTTACTCCATCTGGGTCTCCCACGTGGGTGCAGAGGCCCAAGAACTTGGGCCATCTTCCACTGCTTTCGCTGGCACATTAGCAGGGAAGTGGAGCAGCAGGGACTCCAACCTGCATCCCCCACTCACTGCAGATGGCAGCTTACTTAACTCACTGTGCCGCAGGAGAGATTGTTATACAACGGGCCCACACTATCCCTAAGCCCCTTCAGCCCAGCCACTGAGCAGCAGAAAAGTAAGCTTTGTCAGAGGAGTGGGATAGAAAGCCACTGAGAAATGAAATATTCAGATCTTGAAGGCAGGAAAAGACTTAACAAATAGAGCTTATGGCCAATGTCGTATTCAGAATCCAGGTATTAGTATTTCTCCCCAACCCTATGGAATCTTCAGAATGTGTTTTCTCCCCTACAACTCTCTCCTCCATGAAGTGAGGTTTGTCTAGATTAAAGGTAAATATGAAAGCTATTTACTGTAGCAACACTGTCAGTATTTAAGCTAACCATCCTTTTCCATTATTGTTTGTTGGCTTCTGGCTCTGTTTAGCTTTAATTGAAAGTGGTACCTTCTCAGGGAGCCACCAGTAAGAAGATGAGAAAAATATCCATGGGGCCAGCATTGTGGCATAGTGGGTAAAGCCATCGCCTACAGCGCTGGCATCCCATATGGGCACTGGTTCAAGTCCTGGCTGCTCCACTTCCTATCAAGCTCTTTGCTATGGCCTGGGAAAGCAGTGGGAGACCCCAAAGAAGCTCCTGGCTTCAAATCAGCTCAGCTCTGGCTGTTGTGGCCATTTGGGGAGTGAACCAGCAAATGGAAGACCTCCTCTCTCTCTGCCTCTGCCTATCTGTAACTCTGCCTTTCAATAAATAAATAAATCTTAAAGAAAAGAAAGAAAATAGGACATGTTTTTAGAAAATCCACATCTGTAATCAGATATGCAAGTCTGCCTATGATTAGACATGTTTCCTGTGCCACCTGGAAGAGATGTGAGCCATTTATAGCATTATAATATACAAATTTTTTACCTCTAATTTTTCTAAACTCTCTGATCTCGTCAGACTGTCATTTCTTTTTTTTTTTTTTTTTTTTTTTTCTCATTTTTTTTTTTTTTTTTTGAGATTTACTTAGTTATTTGAAAGAACTAGAGAGGAAGAGACAGATCTTTCATCTGCTAGTTCACTCCCCTAATGGCCTAGGGACCTACTCCATACATAGCAATTGGAGAGAACCTAAGGATTTCAGGTGCTGCATCTAATGAGTTTATTGAGCCTTAACACTGCTTCTGTAGAAGGAACTACATCTTCACCAAACAGAACATACTTCCGGGGGGTTTCTGGGGCTTAGTAAGCAGGAAATGTTTTCTTTAAGGAGTAATCCTTTTGTCTTGAAAATGTGAAAGGAAGGAAATGGGTAAATGTGATCGAATTACTCTCAATAGCAGCAGTCAGAAAACTTAGGAGGAAAGAAGCAGGCCAAGGGAAGGCATTGCTGGAGTTTAGCCTGTTTCTAGGCATGTGGCAGGCCGGAGTCTCGCCTTCTGAGGAAGGAGGGGATGCAAAGTGACTTCAAACCAGTGCCTGAGTGTGATTAAGCAACAGGGACTCTGCTGACCCACCAAGAAGCGAAGACTTTTCTAACTTATTACCCCTCTAACAAACTGCCTGTTCCATTTTTTTTTTTTCCTACTTTGGGAGACTTTATCTTGTAAATCTCATGTGACCCTGACTTAAGTTCTTTGCCATAGAATCTAAGGCCTACATTGTACTCACAGCTAGCTTATTTATTTCAAAAAATATATGCCCTTCTGTGGCTCTTTATTAGGAAGTAAACATAACACACTTCTGCCGTTCCTGCCCTAGCACTTCCATCCTGTTTGAAAGTATGGCTTTCTCTTCCTGAACCCTGGGGAGTTGAGCGACAGGTGGAGGTGGGAAGGAGGTGCCCTTGTATCTGTGTTTTTCTTTGTACCCTGGAAAATTTGTCAGACTTTGCAGGGGTCAGCTTAGCATCTAGGCTAAATTTAGTAATTACTAGTTTAGGGTGCTCCCTTGATGTTTTAAACTGATGAGAGTATGGAGAACTGAGTGTTAAATTTTCCTTTTCAGTTGAAAGAGTACTTTGTTCCCAGGGAGAAGGAAATGGGCCTCAGAGTTTCCTGGTGACTCAACTCAAAATGTGCTCCGAATTTGTGCAGGTTTAACCTCAAGGCAATGATGGTTTAGAGATCAGTACTTACCTACGCATCTGTAGTTGTAGAGTCTACATTGTAGCCTCCAGTTTTGTACCTGCCAGGAACTGCAGCTGAACAAGAGGTAGATAAAACTAAGTGCTATTGTTTCGTCAGGGTGCAAACACTGAGTGTCCCGTTTGGCAGATTAGTACATTTGGCAAAAGATTTTATATCCCCTCATTTCAAAGGAGCCAAGTGTCAGCTTGCGTTTTACTTACAAATCGAGGCTAGGTCCTTATTTAGTTCAGGTTACATAATCTGTTTATTGTTGCAGTCAGACATGTGCTTGGATGACACATTCCTTGTTGGAGCTGAACATCAGGGTCTTTGGTAGAAAAAAGCAGACAAAAGGATAAGAAGAAATAGAAAGTTATTTCACCAAGCTGTTAGCTTGGGTAGCACAGATTTTATTAGCTAACAGGAGTCAGAGCGGTACTATAGCTATTAAAAGACAACACCCTAAAATTAGTCTTTTTAAATAGCATCTTGAATTTTCATAATCTTTGAATTGAGCTCTAAACATAGGCTTTGTTGGCGGCGAGAAGATTATAAAGCATCGCCTAAGTAAATATCTTCTTAAGCATTCATTTAAGAAAGAAAACTTTATTTTTGGGGTGAGGGGCTAGAAATTGTGGGTTTTCATTCTACCTGATGTTGGTAACTCTTCATTCAGCTGTGCCCTTCTTCATTTCAGATGGGGCATCCTCTTCTCCCACCCTCGGGACTTCACCCCAGTTTGCACCACGGAACTCGGCCGAGCTGCAAAGCTGGCACCAGAATTTGCCAAGAGGAATGTGAAGTTGATCGCCCTGTCCGTAGACAGCGTTGAGGACCATCTTGCCTGGAGCAAGGTAGAGTACTGTGCCGTGTGAAACATGTATCTGGTCTTCTTCCCATTCCTTATGGAATCTTCAGAGTCCTGCAGGTCTTTTTGTGTACTAAGGAGTTGATTGCTGGCTGCTAGCCCTTAGGTAGCTTCAGCACTGGGGCTGATCGCCCTAAAGACTAAGGTAGGATTCGTGTTTGTAATGAAGCCTCCATAAAAACTCAAAGAAATTGGATTTGAGGAGCTTCGGGGAAGCTGAACATGAGAAGTTCCTGGAGGGTGACACACCTGGAGAGGACATGGGAGCTCCACACCCTTCTCCCATACCTTGACCTATGCATCTCTTCATCCCTATTCTCTGTAACAGCCTTCCTAACAAACCAGTAAATATGGTTCTCTGGGTTCCGTGAGCCACTATAGCATATTAATCAAACACAAGGAAGGGGTCATGGGAATACCAGTTTATAGCTGGTTGTTCAAAAACACTAGGAAAGCTACCTGGAACTTGGCGATTGTCATCAGAGGTAGGGACAGTCCTGCAGGACTGAGCCCTCAAACTGCGGGATGTGACGCTGTCCCCAGGTGGACAGTGTGAGAATTTGATTGAATTAGATGACACCCAGGTGATGTCTGCTGTGGACTTGATAATTGTTGTTGGGGCAAACTCCCCACACAGTACAGTTACAAATTGGGCTGATTACAAATAAGCTTGTTTGTGAGGTAACGGTACGGACAGATCTCGGGTTTGCAGTTCACTGATCATTTGAAGGTCTGGCTGGGAGTACACGGTGACCTCAGCATTGCTAAATGGCCAGTCCTCAGCTGTCATCTTTCTTAGCCTTCCAGAACATTCAGCCCAGCTAATGGCTCTGAGTCCTGAAGGTTTCCTCCATGACCTCCAGAACACCACAGCCTAGCTGCTCCCTCTCGGGCTTACACTGATCCTTCATCTGTTTCCTAAGTTACTCTGAAGTTGGACTGGATTTATTTCTTAGACCTCTTCTCTTGTCTCTGCCCTGTTTCCCTTACTGAGCTCATCCACTCCCATATCTTAATGCCATCTAGACATCACGAGTCTCACGTCTCCATCTCCAGGCTAGACCTCCGAGTTCCAGGTTGGTTTAGCCACTGACCCCTCAGCATTCTCCCTGGGATGTCCCGTCATCCCAGACCACCCAAGTCTCAAACCAGGCCCCATTCTTAACCCCAGAGTCCTGATCAGCTAACACTAGCCTCACTTTTGTAGCGCTCAGTCAAAAAATCCAAGGAGCCACTCTTAACTCTTTTTCCTGTCACATTTCTGGTTTATCTGCGAACTTGTTGACTGTACCTTAAAAATAGATCAGGAATTGTATCTGGAAGACTCACTTCCCAGAAACATTGGTGTGGCTGGCCTTGAAGTCTCAATTCAAGTGGCAGCTCATAAAGCCTTCTTGTCCAACCACTTCTAAAGTGATAGCACCCCTTCAGGTTCCATGTCCCCTCCCCTTTGCGTCCTCACCAGCTGACTTACTGTGTGTGTTGTGTTGCTTCCTTTGTTGATTGGGTTCTCCCCCGAGCATGTGGGCTCAGCAGGAGCAGATGCTCCTGTTTTGTGCCCTGTTGGAACACTGCTCAGTGCTTAGTAGACCTTAGGCAGTCAGTCAGTGTTTATGGAATGAGCTGAAGGAATTATCTACTTTCCACCTAAGGATTTACTTTGACAGTCAATTTGATGGTGTAAACTTACCTTGAAAACTTCATTTTAAGGACATTGCTACCAAGTGTTACTAAGTAATGGTAGCTACCTTTTGAGGAATGTTTACTGTGTACAAGGCACTATGTCAAGTACATGCAAATGAGTAACAGATGCAGTACTGTTTGGTGAGTTGATGCCCTGAGGCCGGATCCCATGGCCATGCCATACCTCTTAACCCTAGATGTCTGAGATTAGAAGAATGTTGTAGGAGAGAAGGGAAGAGCCGCTACCCATCTTGAGGTGGATTTGTATTCAGTCTTCACTTGGAAGTGAGTGGAATCCAGCAGTTGCAGCATCGCCACGCTCAGTTTCTCTTTAGATTCTTTCAGAGCCCTGTAAGCCAGGTTTATCATTTCTGCTTCCGTTTTCATGGATGAATTTTTTTTTTCACTCAGAAAGTTGGAGGGGTTTGCTCAGCATTGTCCAGCTAGAAAATGATGGTGATGTCATTTGAACCTTGATGTCATCTGATACTAGATGATGAAGACTGGGGATTTGCCTGATTTAGGATAGAATAAAGCTAAAGCTTTATTGGTGTTCGGAGCAAAGTTCTTTGGTGATTTTGGGCGTAACACAGTGCCTGTTTATGCCGGTGGCAGGGTGGAGAATTACTGCATGGCAGTAATTAAGATGACAGCTCCTTGCAGGAAAACTTTGTAGCCTGTTATATAATGCCTTTCAAAGTATAGGAGCATACGGAGGTTCATTTTACCTGGTGAACTTCAGCCTTAGAGGTTTTAAAATTGTGATTGTGTCAAATAGAAAACAAGTCCTCACTATCAGAAGCAGTGGCCAAACTTTGACATACAGCTAGTTATGTAGAAAATCTCATGGTGCCCCTAGGGTGAAATCATGTCACTTGCTATTTAGTTATGGTGGCATAATACACAGCCAATAACAGCAGAAGCAAAGTTCACATCCGGAATTTACCTGTCGAAATGTGGTGTCCATTTTGAATCCACTTTCCTCTTATCACATCTCTGCTAAGAAGTCCACGGAGGTCTCCTATCTTCTGCCATCAACCCCCTGGTTCACTTTCACAGCTCAATGTGAATAATAAACCATATTGCAACTTTATTTTTATTTCTTTATTTATTTACTTGAAAGTCGGAATCACACAGAGAGAGAAGGAGAGGCGAGAGAGAGGTCTTCCATCCGCTGGTTCACTCCCTAGTTGGCTGCAACAGCCGGAGCTGCACCTATCTGAAGCCAGGAGCTTCTTCCCTGTCTTCCATGTGGGTTCAAGGGCCCAAGCACTTGGGCCGTCTTCTACAGCTTTCCCAGACCACATCAAGAGCTGGACTGGAAGTGGAGCAGCCGGGACTCAAACCAGCGCCCATATGGGATGCCGGCACTGCCGGTGGCACTGCTTTACCCACTACGCCACAGCGCTGGTCCCCGTATTGCAACTTTAAATTGCCTTTTCTTTCTTGAAACTCCCAGCCAAGTTTCTCACTTTTCTATAATCGTTAATGTACAAACTTGTCTATATGGCTTATTAATCATGTTCCTCCTCCCAAAACACCTTCCTTTTCCCCATGAAAAGTTATACAGATCCCTCAAAGGCCCCAGGGGAAGTGCTGCCTTCTCTCGGAGCCAGTACTAACTCAGCAGCTCTACAGATCTGGGGATGTTGGTACACTTTAGTGTTGGCAGTCTTGCACTTACACATTACAGCCCGGTATTTCCTGCTGCTTCACAGGGGAATTAAGGGATCAGATTAGGAGATCTTTTGAAAGCAGGAGCCATTTCTTCCTCCTCTGCAGTCCATGTGTGCCTGCTGAGGTGTTTAGTCCACATCTGTGCTGACCACATAATGAACCTGGGTTACACACAAGCCTGCAACAGAGGCTTCCAGGGACAGCAGTGGAGGAAAGACATTTTGCTAGGATAAGTCCATCATTCTCCTTTGTTTCAGACTTGAATTGCCTTGTCTTCTTTTGGATTTCACCGGGTATGAGTTTAGCTCTGCCTTTCATCCAGTTAACTTTATACTTGTCCTTAAAGTACATATTCAATTAAATGGGTTTGCTTTGAATATTGTGATGGTGTTTTGTTGCTTTTTAATTTCTCAGTGTCTTCCTTTGGTTTAATGTCTGAATCAGGGTGCTGTTGAAGCAAGGATAACATCTACAGAATTTTCTTTGCACACTGCCGTATATCTACATGTGATGGACTTAATGAGCCCATTGTTTCTGATATTTTTAACAGTATTTGGGCACCCAGAGCTACCTTGTATTGGCATTTTACTCTGTATTATTCAGCTCTTCAAAGCAGGAAGAGCAAGTATAATTTAAGAGAAGTGGGTGCGACAAGGACTTTGGGCCATGCTTATAATTTCAGCACTCTACCCTACCCTAATTCCTGCCAGTGAATGGTTGGGACAGGGAGCATTTGGTTTCTTACTAAAATTGCTCAGAAAGAATTGTTACGATTATTGTCCACTTCTCTGTCTTGGAAGGCATTAGCTGATGAAACTGAGAGGATGCATCAGGCTTAGATTTCTCTTCCCCCTGCGTTCCAGGATATCAATGCTTACAATGGAGATGAGCCCACAGAAAAGCTGCCTTTTCCCATCATTGACGATAAGAATCGGGACCTTGCCATCCTGCTGGGCATGCTGGACCCAGCAGAGAGGGATGAGAAGAACATGCCTGTGACAGCTCGTGTGGTGAGTCACTGACGTCTGTTGTGGTCGGTATGACCTGATTAGGCTGACATCTGTGTCAGTACTGGGATCAACGGGAGGAAGCAGGGGAACGGCTACAGTTATGAACTAAATGTTAGAATGATGATATCGCTGACTTTCTGTGATACTGGTGCAAAGTAGCTAAAATTTTCAGCAAAAATCTTTTTTTTTTAAGATTTATTTATTTGTTTGTTTGAAAGGCAGAGTTACAGAGAGAGAAGGAGAGACAGAGATTTTCTATCCACTGGTTCACTCCCCAAATTGCTGTAACAGCCAGAGCTGAGGTAGACCAAAGCCAGGAGTCTGGAACTCCAGTCAGGTCTCCCACGTGGGTGGCAGGTGCCCAAGCACTTGGGCCCATTAGCAGGGAGCTGCGTGGGAAGTGGAGCAGCTGGGACTTCAGCAAGTGCAGATAGCAGCTTAACCCACTGCACCACAGTGCCCGCCCCTCAGCCAGATTTTTAAGCTGCATGATGTAGAGCTCTGGAAATTCAACAGAAAAATAAGCAGTTTATCCTAAGACATTATCCAAAAGTGAGAATCCTTTTCCATAGCTCTCCTGATAGCCTGCTCTTCAAAGTGATGGGCCATTTCCTTCCGCATGAGACAGCTGTTTTGAATTCTTATTTATTCTATCTTCTACCTCCTGGAGAACAAACCGAGGCTGTCAGTAAAGTACAACCACTTGAGAACTGGTATCAGTTCCCATTCCAATTTACTTTTATGGTAAGACTCCCTGGTTTACGTGCTATCTTCTCTGGGCCTTGCCTAGATGAAATTTAAATTATCAGTGTTTCTTACTGGGACAGCCAGAGCCAAATGAGGTTCCCTTTCAAGTTTAGAAAAATAACATGGAGAAGAAAGTGATCTTTATTCCAGCTGCCCCATTAGCAGTTCGGCGTGTCCTTCTAGATGGTTGCTCTTGCTTTTACACCCCTGGACGTTTTTAATGACTGCAGAGCTTTCCTAAGAGGTTTTACTCTCAGAACAATCCAAGAACATGTACTGGATTTGCCCTGGTGTGCTTGCAGGTGTTCGTCTTCGGGCCTGATAAGAAACTGAAGTTGTCTATCCTCTACCCGGCCACCACTGGCAGGAACTTTGATGAGATTCTGAGAGTAGTGAAGTCTCTCCAGCTGACAGCAGAAAAGAGAGTCGCCACCCCCGTGGATTGGAAGGTAAAAGTGTCAACAGGGCAGGTCCCCAGCCAGCCTGGACGGCCAAAGGGCTGTCCTCCGAGTGGCGGGCTGCAGGGTCTGTGTGAGCTGGGGCTCTGCCTCTGGCGCCGACGTCCGTTGGGAGGACCTTTCCATTTTCAAAGTCTTTAAGCCTTCCGTGTAAAATGCAAACTCTCTGTATTGCCTTCTCACTCTTACATAATTCGGACAAATTATGCTGTTTGAATGATTCTTTTTCGTTTTGTTACAAATGCATTTATCGGACCCTTCCCAGACAGCAAACCAGAGTTGACCACTTTTGCTAAGTCGTGGCTGGGAAGCTATTGGGGTAATAGTGTCATGAAGCATTCCATTTCTCTTAAGCTTCAGTCGTCTAAACTTGCGTAGGAGTCTCCAAAACCTGCTCGTAACTTTTAATCCCTAGGATTCCTGCAAGTAGGTAGGACAGGAGTCTCCTGTCACACGTTGTCTTAATGGTTTTTAAATATCTCAACCTGAATATCAGGTTTTATTGTTTTGTTTTGTTCTTTCTTCTGGCCGGCAAATCCTTTAAATTCTGTGTCCATTAATTAAATTGATGCTTACTGAACCCAGACAAAGGGTACTATTGGGGAGGTGCAGTGAACAAAAAAAGTACAAAAACATCTTGAAATCCATGCATAGTTTTTTCAATGCACTCATTGTCTGCCCTTCTAGAACTTAGGTTCTGGGGTGGAGACAGATAGCAAACAAGTTTGTAGTCTACTGAACAGAGGTAACAGGTGCTACAGAGAGGGCAGATAGGGCCAGGAGTGGGAGAGGTGGTTTTGAATTTGGCTGGGGAGGAATGCCTTTCTCTCAAGGGACCTTTGAGAAGGTCGTAGAGGGAAAGGTGACTGATGCATATTTAAGGGAAGAGCTCCACAGGGAGGAGCACCAAGATAGCAAGGAGCTTTCTGTAAAAATGAACTTGCACGTTAGAAAGCTTGAAGGAAAGCCTAAGCCTGGACAGGCAATGGCAGGAGATGGAGTGAAGAGATGAGAAGGGAGTAAGGCAGGGTTTGCAGGCTGTGATATGGACTGAGAATTAAAATTTGAAGTATGGCAGCAAGCCGTTACTGAGTTTCAAACAGGACCGTTTCAAAGACTCACTTGTGAACACAGATTCCTCGGGGAAAATAAAGAACACTAGATTCTCCTCACTAGCACCTATAGCTGCTTTTCTGAAGTTGACTGTTAGACCTTTAAGCTTCACTGTCAGATTGCATCTGGACACTCTCAATGTCTTTCAACAGGATGGAGACAGTGTGATGGTCCTTCCAACCATCCCTGAAGAGGAAGCCAAAACACTCTTCCCCAAAGGAGTCTTCACCAAAGAGCTCCCATCCGGCAAGAAGTACCTCCGCTACACTCCCCAGCCTTAAGTCTCCGAGAGGTCGGGGCTGAAGCGGCGCGTGGAGCACAGTGAGCCAGAGGATGCCAGCTGCCAATCATGTTTTCCTAGAACAGTTCCGCGAGAACATTCTGGTTGAATCACGCCTGGATCTTTAGGTTGCAATACTACTGGCTTATTAAATGGAAATGGCATAAGCGTTTCTTGGGATTCTTTACTCTGTGCCCTCACCAGCATTCTGTCCTGTCCACAGACGTCTGTGCTGTCTGCAGGCTGGCTCTCTGGGAAAGAGCAGTCTGTGTCTAAGACTCAAATCTTGGTGAATCTGCAGATTTGATTAATGAGGTAGTACCCATTGACGGTTGCGAAAGCTTGCTCCGCTTTATCGTAGAATGACTGCCAGTTTTCTTAGCTGTCCTCACTGAATCCTCTTTTCTACTAACCAGTTTTGGAGAGAAGCAGAACTTGAGGTTCAACTTTCTCTGTAAATATCTAAGTGTATTGCCTGGAACTCAAAAACTAGGAACTTAACCCGGAAGTTCTTTAATCATTGTTTTGATAACAACTGGGATGGCTGTGAGAGGAACTTTATTTCCATACTTTTCTAGTAGATAATGTGAAGGAGGAGGAGCAGGGGGAGGGTCTTCAAATATTTTGCTATTTTTAAAACATGGGATTAATTTCCACCACAGGGGGAGGCTCCTCACATGCCAGGGACGTGTCCCAGAGTGCAGCCAAGACAGATGCCATGTGCCTTCCACACAGATTGTTTCCCTAGGCTGGCCTGCTCTCTCATGACATGCACGCGAAAGGGCTCCTTTTAGAGAGAGGAGAGGATGGCTGAAAGTGTTTCCATGTAGAGTCATTCTTGCGGTGGGTCGCTATTTTCTGAATTTTGCATTTTGGAGATCAGCAAATAAAATCCTTTGTTAAAACGGGATCAGAGAATTCTGTTGTCACACGTCGAAGCACTACTTTAGACTTGTGTCCTGAAGAGCAGAGGTGTCCTTACTAGGACTGGCATGAGTACTTTATTCTCCAAAGACAGAGATCTGCGATCGATTTCACACAGTGAAGATGGAGTGGCCGCTGAAGAACATGTGAGTGCACCACATTTTCTTGGCCTTCCTCGTTAGATCCCTCATACACTAACCTGGGCCCTAGAGTCCTGGTTTTGGGATCTCTGGTATGAAGACCTCTCCTCACCTAATACCTTACTGAGATTGCTGGCTTTAAGAAAACCTTGGGGCAGGCATTCGGACACTGCAGCCAACACACCACTTGGGTTGTCTACATCCCATATCTGAATGCCTGGGTTCAAGTCCTGGCTCCCACTCTTTGGATCCAGCTTCCTGCAGATATGCACCTGGGAGGCAGCAAATGGATCAACTACTTGGATCCTTGCCACCTGTGTGGGAGACCCGATTAGGCTCTGTGTTCCTGTCTTTGACTTGGCCCAGCCCTGACTGTTGTAGGCATCTGGGGAGTAAACCAACGATGGAAAGTCTCTCTGTCTCTCTGCCTTTCAGATAAATCAATAAAACTGTAAACTGCTACCTTGTGCCTCAAGTACAGTTTTGTTTTGTGTTTAAAAGAATGGGCCTTGGGGCAGGCACTGTGGCTCAGTGGGTTAACGCCCTGGCCTGCAGCTCTGGCATCCCATGTGAGTGCCAGTTCGAGACCTGGCTGCTCCACTTCCCATCTGGCTCTATGCTATGGCCTGGGAAAGCAGAAGATGGCCCAGGCCCCTGCACCGTGTGGGAGACCTGGAAGAAGCTCCTGGCTTCAGATCGGCAAAGCTCCGGCCATTGCAGCCATCTGGGGAATGAACCATCAGATGGAGGACCTCTCTCTCTGCCTCTCCTCTCTCTGTGTTACTCTGACTTTCAAATAAATAAGTACATCTTAAAAAAATAGAAGAATGGGCCTAATGGGCCTTAAGCCTATCCCAGACAACTTTTTACATAAGAAAAATTAGGGGCTCTCATTGTGGTGTAGTGGGTTAAGCCACCACCTGCAATGCCTTCACCCCACCTGGGTGCAATTCAAGTCCTGGCTGCTCCACTATGACCTCCCTGCTAATGGCCTGGGAAAAGCAGTGGAGGATGGCCCCAGTGTTGGGGCCCCTGCACCCATGTGGGAGACCCAGAAGAAGCTTCCGGCTCCTGGCTTAAGCCTGGTCCAGCCCTGGCCAATGTGGCCATTTGTGGAGTGAACCAGCAGATGGAAGACCCCTCTTTATCCCTTTCTCTGTTGCTCTTGCAAAAAAATAAACCTTGAAAGAACAAAGCCCTATGTCTATGGCACTGGCATCACATTCCTGCAGTGAGCAGCCATGGCTGATGCTTGTGCTCCAAGGACCGCTCTGAGACTACTGCCCTAATAAGCTGCTTATCCACAGAGTTCCTAGTAAATACTTGAAGCTTGACTTCTATTCTTTTTTTAAAGATTTACTTATTTGAAAGGCAGAGAAAGGGAGAAGCACGGAGAGTGCCATCCACTGTGTAGAGGGGTTGAATGGGAAGGTGAAGATAGCAAGTTCCCACACCTTTAAGCCCTTCCGCCCTTATCTCTCTGTGCGCCCACATCTCCATCTAGGGGACTAGGGGCGTGCCAGGCACAGCTGCCTGCGGGTGTGTGGGTGTACGTGGCTATCTGTGGATGTGTGTCCAGCCACCACCGTGGACACAAAGGCAGATCTCTCCTGTGGCCCCGCCACCGTTGTGGGCAAATGGCTGTTCCTTGTGCATTCCTCACCACCGCTGAGGAAAGGAGATACAAATCCACAAACGGCTCCAAGTTCTTCTCAGATCTGTTGGAACCCAAACCTGTTTGTCCCGGGCCCTAAGCCCCAGGCATGCACGTTGGTTCACTCCCCAAATGCTTGCAGAGGCTGAGGGTGGGCCAGGCTGAAGCCAGGAGCCTGGAACTCCACCAGGGTCTCCCATACTGGGTGGGTGGCAGGGGCCCATGGACTTGGGCCATTTTCCTCGGCCTCAAGGACAGTAACTGGGAGCTAGATGAGAAGCAGAGCAGCCAGAACTCAATCTGGCGCTCCGGTACAAGATGCCTGTGATGCCACGACGGCCTCTCCTCATGCTCTTACCTCTGGTACAGTGTTTCCTTAAAGCATGAGTATTCTTTCAAAGCCTTATTGAAATGAAAGAATAAATGATTTTAAGCTGAATAAGCCATAAAATTCAATGTTATTTAACTTTTTTTAAAAAGCACTGTAGGATGTAAGAATGTTAATTTTTCCTAAACTTTGCTTTCAGTAACTCAAATTATGGAACATAGTTCTATCCTTCAATATTTAGTAAATTGGGCTGGAAGAATAACTATACTCGGAAAGATATGAGGGAGGGAGTAATTATAGCCATTTCACAAATAAAAGTCACATATCTTGTACTTTAGACAGTAATATTTTCATCGTCAACACATTTGATAACGTACTCTTAGATAACTTGCTCTCTATAGAAATAGCGTGTCTTTTGGTAGGCCATAAATTTTGGGGCACCTTACGTTATCTTCAAGAACTTTTGAACACTTCAAGTATAATGCAACTGGTAAAAAAAAAATCAGTTTTTTTACGGCCATTTATCTATTAGTTGTAAAATACATGCAGCAATAAATGTTCCAACAGCTTCTAAGTAAACTCCTTGCCAGATAATCCTTCAGCATTTGAGCCAGGATGTTAATCCGTTCTTAAACTTGACTCCACATGTCATATTAGTATGATTAATCCTCTTTTCAAAAGTGATATCCAGTTTCCAACTACAAAAGAAAGCCAAAAGTAAAATATCAGACTGTGAGCATTACAGGAGAAACTCTAACCCATCTAATGGAAACAGGAAACTTACTAAAAAGTTTCCATTTTATTATCTGGAACATCCTTCATTAAAAGATCTTGCATATTCGAGGTCTTGAGTGATCTCTTAATTGCAGGTGTATCTCTACACTGTTGTCTTGTGAAGGGGCACTACATTAATGAGTAATCTATCAAAGGCACGCTGAAGGAAAAGAGAATTTAATTAACTTTACGACTCATTACAGAGTAACTGGAAACTGTTTTTGTAAATCAGAATGAGAACTTTTTAAATAAGGGGGCCTGGAAAAAGTAACAAGCAGGAAGCTCTTCTGCTCCTAATTAGGTTTCCCACTTGTGAAAGAGGATCCCTGTGAGAGAGGAGAGGATGACCTAGGACTACTGCCTATGGATCTTTACTTCTTGAAATCAGTCTCAGGGGAAGGAAGTGAGGAGGGAAAAACCAAGCAAGGCAGAATCACATCTATCGAAAGTCACTTCGGTGATCCAGCATCCCATACGAGTGCTCTGCTTCTGGTCCAGCTCCCTGCTAATGCACTTGAGAAAGCATCAGAAGGTGGCCCAAGTGCTTGGACACCTGCACCCGTCTGGAAGACCCAGATGAAGTCCTGGCTCCTGGCTTCTGCCTGGCCCAGCCTTGGCCCTTGTGACCATTTGGGGAGGGAACCAGTGGATGGAAGATCTCTCCTACCTCTGCCTCTCCCTCTCTGTAACTGCCTTTCAAATAAATAAATCTTTTTTTTTTTTTTTTAATCAATTAGGGAAGCTTTATATCCTGTGTGTCCAAGTTAATGAGTTTCAGCCAGGAGCCTCTTTTCTCACCACTGGAGTTTTGCTATCTGACCTCACAATTTGTTTTAGCTGTGTAGTATAATATTCACGGGGAGGAAAAGCTAATCAGGTTACCTCATATTTCCTCTTGCAGTTACTTTCTCTCCCTTGTCATTCGAAGACCAGTGTTGGCTGAAGCTAACCATATTCATGCAATGAACAGAAAAAGCTAAATTAGAACTTTAAGAGTAAAAGCAGCAGGAGAATATTTCAAAATCTCACTTTGCTTTCTCCCCTTGCCCCTCTCCCTTTCAAAGGGGCTCTCGACTTTGTAGCAGAAGTCTGATAGACCAATTCAAATGCAAATCAGCAAGTCACAGAAACAACACAAGTGGGTGGCTTACAGACAAGAGGATGCCTTGTGGAGAGCGACTGCTCCCTCTGGAAACCAGCTGATGTCCTGCTTTAATTTTTACCACGTACCTCAATGAGAGCTGAGTACTGGCAGACTTTCTCATTTTTTGTGAAGACCTGTATTCAATTATTTGTTTATTCATTCATTTGAAAGCCAGAGAGGGAATCTGCGACCCACGGAGCCAGGGTTGGGCCAGGCTGAAACAAGGAGCCAGAACACAGTCCAGATGGCCCATATCAATGGCAGCGGCCCAACTACTTGACACGCTTGTCCCAGTCCCAGGGTGTGAATTAGCTGGAAGATCAGGAGTGGCGCTGGGTCTCACACCCAGGCACTCAGAGGGGATGCAGGCCTCCCAGAAAGTATCTTGACTGCTATGCCAAACAAATCATTTTTAAAATGTGAAACTTCTATAGGTTTCTACTTAGTAACTAATTTAAAAAAAGTTTTTTAAAGAAAACACCTAAGGGTGCCAAACCTAGAGTGCTGGTTGGATCCAGTCCATGGGCCTACTGTTTGTGACTTTTGTCTCAAACCCACCGGGGAGCACAGAGTGATGTGTTTCCATCTCAGTGGTTCCAGAGGGCTGATCGAGGGAGGCCTATGATCCCTACTTCCTGGCAGTGCTTAAGATCTCGGGCTCAGCAGCCCCCAGGGTGTTGAGGGGGCAACAGTAGGCCCGAGCTTCCAGCCTTGCCACAGACTCCTGTGCCCCAGGAGTGGTTCCCAAGCAGTGGAGAAAAGGATCTGAAGAGACTGTGCGGGTTGACTAAGGGCCATCTCAGTGCTAGCCAACGTGGGCACAAAGTGACCCAGGCACACAGGACCCAGAACTGGGGATGGCAGGTGAACGAGCCAAAAGAATGTCTGAAGCTGGGACAAGTGTTTGGCACAGTGGTTAAGATAGCACTTGGGACACCCACATCCCGTATCAGAGGGCCAATTCCAGCTTCCTACTAAGGTACACCCTGGAAGGCAGTGCTGATGGCTCAAGTACTTGGATTCCTGTCACTTACATGGGAGACTCAGCTTGAGTTCCCTGTTCCTGGTTTCAGGATGGCCCAGCTACACTATTGTGTCTGTCTCTCTCTGCCTTTCAAATAAAAAGTAAATAAACAAAAATTTCAAAAGTATATATTAAGTAAAAGAATATCAAAGGTTTAAATTGTTAGTAGGGGAAAAAAAGTTACTGATCGAAGGTCTTGTCTCTCCTTCCCACAGGGCAGAAACTTTGGTTCACCAGCCAATTAGCACTTAACACAGTCCCCAGCACACAGCGGGGTTTCGTTTTATAACAATAACACTGGGCTGGCGCTGTGGCATCATGGGCTAAGCCTCCACCTGTGGCTCCGGCATTCCATATGGATGCCAGTTCATGTCCTGGCTGCTCCTCTTCCCATCCAGCTCCCTGATAGTATGCCTGGGAAAGCAGTGAAAGATGGCCCAAGTGCTTGGGCCCCTGCCACCCACAACGGAGACCTGGATGGAGTTCCTGGCTCCTGGCTTCAGCCTGGCCCAGCCCTCTCTCTTTCTGTCTTTCCCTTTCTCTCTGTATCTCTGACTTTCAAATAAATAAAATATTTTTTTAAAAAAATTATACAAATGGGAGAGAGTAATATAAAGCATTAATTAAATCACACTTCATATACCCAATTTAAAATCATGTAATCTTGTCCCCATATTAACAGTTCCGTAAGAATTCCATAGTATCTAACCGCTGGGGTCACATGAGCTATGAACAGCTGATTAGAGTTGCAAAGCAAAGCAACTCTGTGTTGAAGCTGCAGAAGCTGGGCGTGGTAAGGTAGGGCTGCTGGTCATTCAACGGGAGGTCTTGAGTGCGCTTTCTCTAGAGCAAGGGCTTCCTGTCCAGTCTCAGCAGCGTATGCACAACTAGGGGCTACTGTGTTTAGTGACTCTCAAAGTGCACCCAAAGCAAGGCGGTTGACTATGACCATGGCTTGGAATTCTCAATGACCTTGGGCCAAGTTCCATATTCTCTTCAGTTGCTGAGAGCAAACCAGTTCCCCACATCAGCATCCACTGTGGGAAAGTCTGTCCCCCACTCCCCACCCCCCAACATTCCTGCATTGCTTCCAACAGCACTCAGTGGCTCCGGCCTACCACGTCAAGAACAGAGCATCTGACAGAAGCTGCTCCCTCTGTCAAGGGAGGGACATGGGGGAGGAAGGAGCCAGGATCTCAGTGTCTGGCAGCCTCTGATCTGATCTCTGAACTCCCGAAAGCAGTGTGGCTGCCAGGCCGGCCTGGGGATGAAGACCAATGAGAAACCCACACGGGGCCTCACAAATCACTTTCTAGGGATGAAATGAACTTAACATGTGTCGGAGTTCCTTCTCAATGGTTTTCCTACCACTCAAGTGCTACCCCTTACCCCTGAATTTGGAGTCATTTTCATTTTTGTCAGGATCAGATGCCAGGATTATCAGCACTTTGCTTAAATCTGAAGTTCCCTGAACCTAAAGAGAATACATCACAATTAGTCAAGATAATATTCTTTGATTCTTAAAGTGGATGCTTCCCAATCTTTCCAAAGAGGATAAGAAATAAACCAAAACCATGCGCTAAGTCTCCAACCTAAGCTCTACCATTTTAATCAGAGACCCTCAGAGATGTTGTTTTAAGAAATCTTGGCCCAGTAAATTGTCTTTTGCATATTTAGAGACACCAGAGAGGAAACTTCTAAACTTACCTGTAATTGGACTAAAATTTCTCACTTTGGAAATCAGGGAATCCCCAGCATCCTATGATTGCTTTTACTCCAGCACTGCTGCGCAAGGGCCCAGGGACAGCACGCCCAGCATGGCAGGACTTTCTTAGAGCTTCCCCCCACGTGCCACAAAGTCTGCCTCTCAGAACACAAGTAGCAGCAAGTGAAAATTATTACTGTCATTTCTAGAGCCACACAATGCCATTTATCCTCACAATAACCTGATGAGACAGTCGCTTCCATTATCCCCATCTAATTAAGGATTTGTGGAAACTGAGGACCAGAAGAGTTAAGCAATTACTCTGAGCTCACGCACCTGGTAGGTACAGGGGTCAAGTTTTCAATCCAAGTATACCTGACCCTGAACCTCTCTTAACAACTAAACTGTTGCTACTGCTCCTAGTGATCACTTATCTCTTACCCCCACTTACTGTTTCAAAACTAAAGGGATTTTCAGTTGCTATACAAACATTTAAATTACTTTCATTCTCTTAATTACTGAAAGGTACCAAATAAGAATGTGGTAAAAGGGGCAGATACAGTTTTTAAGCTTAAGAACTTCCTCTGGACAACAATTTTTGCTTAATTAGGGTCAGTGTGGTGGCACAGTGGGTTAAGAGACACCTGCGTTCCGTATCTGAGCACCAGTTTGAGTCCCAGCCACTCCACTTCCAATCCAGCTTCCTGCTAATGCACTTGGGAAAGCAGCAGAAGATGACCCAAGTCCGTGGGCCCCTGCCACCCACATGGGAGACCCAGGTGGAATCCCTGGCTCCTGGCTTCGGCCTGGCCTGGTCCGACAGTTGCAGCCTTTCGGGAATTAAACCAGTAGATAGAATATCTATCTTTCTGCCTCTCGTTCTTCCTCTCTCTCTGTTATTCTGCCTTTCAAATAAACAAAGCTTTAAAATAATAATAATAATAAATTTTCATTTAGTTCATGGTCTTTTACAGTGTTTTTAGGCAAAAAGAATCTCTCTCATATGGGAAAACTTGCGACTGCATTAAAAAGATGCTGGCCCTCCTCTTGCCTTCTTGGTGCTTCCCGTTCCTGCATCCAGCCCTCCACCTGCCTGTGGTCCAACAGCAGGAGGGCGGGCCTTGCGTCTGCCCTGTAAGTGCAACCACACCCAAGTGTTCACACCTCCCCTGCCCTTACAGAAGCAGGAGAGGACCAGGCCGGGCCTGGAGCCCACCATTAGTTGTTATCACCTTTGTGGCAACAAAGGGAGGGAGCTCCTCCTCGACTCCCGTCTAATCAGCAGGGCAGATGTTTCCAGAGCCATGCTGAGTTCAGCATCGCTGCCTTGCTGTGAACTGGGAGACGGGCACTGCACCCCAATCTGCACAGTACCCCCTCCTGCACAGTACCCCCTCCTGCACTGCACCCCCTCCTGCACAGTACCCCCTCCTGCACAGTACCCCTCCTGCACAGTACCCCCTCCTGCACAGTACCCCTCCTGCACAGTAAACCCTCCTGCACAGTACCCCTCCTGCACAGTACCCCCTCCTGCACTGCACCCCCTCCTGCACAGTACCCCCTCCTGCACTGCACCCCTCCTGCACAGTACCCATCCTGCACAGTATCTCCTCCTGCACAGTACCCCCTCCTGCACAGTACCCCCTCCTGCACAGCACCCCCTCCTGCAGGGCACACCTCCTGCACTGCACCCCCTCCTGCACAGTACCCCTCCTGCACAGTACCCCCTCCAACACTACACCCCTCCTGCACAGTAACACTTCCTGCACAGCACCCACTCCTGCACAGTACCCCCTCCTGCACAGCACCCCCTCCTGCACAGTACCCCCTTCTGCACAGTACCCCTCCTGCACTGTACCCCCTCCTGCACAGTACCCCCTCCTGCACAGAACCCCTCCTGCACAGTACCCCCTTCTGCACAGTACCCCTCCTGCACAGCACCCCCTCCTGCACAGTACCCCCTCCTGCCCAGAACCCCTCCTGCACAGCACCCCCTCCTGCACAGTACCCCTCCTGCACAGTACCCCCTCCTGCACTGCACCCCCTCCTGCACAGTACCCCTCCTGCACAGCACCCCCTCCTGCACAGTACCCCCTCCTGCACTGCACCCCCTCCTGCACAGTACCCCCTCCTGCACAGTACCCCTCCTGCACAGCACCCCTCCTGCACAGTACCCCTCCTGCACAGCCCTGCACGGGACACATGGCCTGGGTAGCAGAGGGCAGACTCTGGCCCTCTGTTCCCTGGTCACACCCTTACGTAAGGCACCTGCACAGTACACAGAAATCCTAGGAACGTATTTTTTACCTCTCTATTAAGGACAGTTAAGAACTGCAGATTTTTTCCAGGTTAAGTTTCTTTTTAAGAGGATTACTTGAGGTTTGTCTTTTGTTGTGTTTTGTTTTTGTATTCTTATTTTATTCACTATATCTATTATCTCTGTATTTTTATTCTTTTAAAATTTGTTATATATTTAAAGATTGTAGTTGACATATAATTGTGTGTATATTGGCATACAGGGCAACATTTCAAATCATGAACACCATGTGTAATGATAAGGTCAGCGTGACGGGCTTATCCTTTACCTCGAATATGTATCATTTCCTTGTGCTGGGAGCATCCAGAACTCTCTCTACTGGCTACTTTAAATATATGATTGCTACCAGTTGAGTTGTAAAGTCACCTGTGGGGCAACATGGAAACAGACAACGACCACAAAGGATCTTCCTTACCTGCTCACAGGTTTTTGGTATGATGTAAGGTGCGAAATATGGCTCCTCTGTCTTAGTATTGATTACACTGCCATACACAATAATAACAAATTTCATGGTCACGTTATTGATAGCCAGTTCATTATAGCTCGATAAAGTCTCCACATATGCATGATTGTGCAGCACACACTTCTGAAACTTCAAGTCCTATAAAAAATTCACTAAATCACACAAACTGACACAGAGTGCCTAGAAGAAAGCATATTCATCCCTCTGTCTGTTATTTGAGGCAAGCAAAAGGCACAAGAACCCTGGTACCAAAAGACAGATGCAGTTAGAGTTCCGGATGGCCCCTGACTAGTGTCTGAATTCAAAGTTTCGTATTGTCGTTATTTGGTGACACTGGACAGGGCTGCTCAGCCGGACTTACAAGCTCCCGGTCAGCTGCAGCTTGTCGGTCAGCACCCCCTTGTTAGAAACCTGTTAGCACAAGAGCCAGAATCTTCAAGATTTCTGGGTTTTACCCAGCCATAAGCAAACGTCCCACTTGACAAGTGAACAAACAACAACAAAAAGCCAAAGCAAAACAAAGCACAGAACTGAGTGTGAGCCATACTTTGAGGTTCAGGAAGGTGGTCACCTACAAGGCAAGAAGGTAGAACACATTCCTACAGCGCTCGGCCAGAACCAGGCCTAGCCACACCTCGATTTCACATTTCCAGCCTCCCAAACTGTGAGACAGTATATTTGTGTTGCTTAAGTGTGTGGCACTTCTTGACAGCAGCACTGCCAACTGTGATGCCGAAGCTTGGAGATCAGGTCAATGACAGGAACCTTCTGGACAGTGTGCACTGGCAAATGGTACCAGTCCAATCTGAACATCTCAAGCCCCAAGGAGCACACAGCTCTGTGAACCAGCCCTTAGATGTCCGCCAGGGACAAGCAAATCAAACACCTACTTGTTCAAGGCACCAATACAGCTGGGGCACCAACCTCATAAGAAATTGGCAATGTGTGTAGAAATTTCCAGCCAGAAAATCCTACTGAAAATAACCTGCTCTGGGGGCAGCATTGTGGCCCCGTGAGTTAGGCCACTGCCTGCAATGCTAGCATCCATATTGGAGTGTTCAAGTCCTGACAACTCTGCTTCTGATCCAGCTTCCTGCTAACGTGCCTGGGAAGGCAGCAGAAGATGATTCAAGTATTTGGGCTCCGGCCATGCATGTGGGAAATAAAGATGGAGTTCCTGATTCCTGGCTCTGGCCTGTTCCAAATCTCTAAAAAAGTAACTTGCTGGGGTCAGCGCTGTGGCGCAGTGGGTTAACGCACTGGCCTGAAGCACAGGCATCCCATATGGGCACCGGTTCGAGACCTGGCTGCTCCACTTCCTGTCCGGCTCTCTGCTATGGCCCAGGATAGCAGTAGATGATGGCCCAAGTCCTTGGGCCCTTGCACCCATGTGGGAGACCTGGAAGAAGCTCCTGGCTCCTGGCTTTGGATCGGCACAGCTCCGGAAGTTGCGGCCATCTGGAGAGTGAACCATCGGATGGAAGACCTCTTTCTCTCTCTCTGCCTCTCTTCTCTCTGTGTAACTCTGACTTTCAAATAAATAAATAAATCTTTTTTTTAAAAAAAAGTAACTTGTTTTGGTTTGTAAATGCCTGTACCTTTTGAGTTCTACGATTTAGAGGAGGGTGGGCAGACAGCATAACCTTATCAGTGCTTGGGTATTCTAAAAATTCCTAACTGGCAATTCTCTGATGGAAAAGACGCGAAAGAAATAAACCAGCCCTTCAAGTAGAGATTCTCTGGGAAGTAAAATTTGGGATAGGTGGTTATTATAATTTTTAATGTTTTACATCTGTCTTTGCTCATTCATATAATGAATATGTGTTGCTCATGAATTTTAACATTGTAAAGGACATTGACTTTATTGCTGTGTCAAATCTGACTCCATTGGTCCTAATTCTCTCCTCTGAGTCTCATATCAGATTCTAAATTTACATGAAGGATACAAATATGAGATTGTAAATTGTGGCAGATCAGAGACAGACTCGACCCACTACCTTTTGGAGGGAAAGTTCCTAGAAGAGGCTCAGATTGAAGATTTTGAAAAGGCAAGAGATTTATATCACTGTAGGAAAAGTACATTACAATAAATACCAGACCAGTGTTCATAAAGCCACTCTGATTAATGCTGTGCTTGGCTCTTGGGAACTGCCTATTTAATATCTGCTGAATTGGCTTCCTTTTAATTTGTAGGGATGACAGCAGGTAGCTTGAGAAAATTAGCTGTGCCAAGAAGATTGACAACCTGGAGGAAGCCAGGGCAAGATGGAGCTGTTAAAATTCCAGCAACCCCATTTTAGAGAAATCAGACATAAGCTTTTTGTTGTTTGAAAAATATGAAATGCATTTTGTGAAAAATACAGAAAATAAAGAACCTAAAAGGCATTCATATTTTAATCACGTAACTAACCTCATCCACCAGACTTGATTCAAAATACTGACAGGCAGTATCAAGAGCAAGCTTTAGCCATATTTTATATTCCAGGGATGGCCAGAAGACATCAAAGCCTTCATATAAATCCTCCAGGGAGATGAAAAAGGCCTGAAACGACAAGATGGCAGGTCACAACCAGCTGGGTCTGGAGCTCAGTTACAAGACCATCCAAAAATAGGATGCCTGCCTTACCCCAGAAAGAACTGACCATCAGTCTACATAATTATCACACTCCATTGTTTCAACACATTGGGCTGTGGAATGGTGGGTTGCTCTGTATTAGATGGTCAAATTTGTGGTCTAATTGGAGCTAAACTCAATAGACCAGGAAAATTCCTATCAGTCCATGCATATTATGAAGGGAATGACTCAGGAACCCAAGATTCAGGAACTAAGATATACAAATATATCTCTTTTCTGTCACAGTAGGTGAAGTGGGCTCATCCACACCGTCTCCAGAGACAAACTGCTTACCTGAATAAGGAAGACTGTTCCTTCAGATTTCAAGTTAAATACACTGTAATGACTCCAATTCAGTCTTCCGACTAAAAGCGAGCCTTCTATCCTCTCCCAGAAACAACACTGTGCTAAACTGGCAAAGCAGCAATCCCTCTGCGCCACACACCCCTAAGACTCCAGATCCCAGTCCCTCTGCGCCACACACCCCTAAGACTCCAGATCCCAGTCCCTCTGCGCCGCACACCCCTAAGACTCCAGATCCCAGTCCCTCTGCGCCGCACACCCCTAAGACTCCAGATCCCAGTCCCTCTGCGCCGCACACCCCTAAGACTCCAGATCCTGCTGCGCTGCATCCAGCAGCCTCCAAAGAGGGAGGACCCTTTGCAGCAGCAACTCTGGCTCACGTCTGTTCGAATTCTCCACAGCTAGGACAATGTCAGACCACTTACTGTCCAATAGATAACTTCTTACTTGGTGTGAAAATAGAAGAAAAGAACTTTAAAAACAAATATTCTTCAAACAGTCGGTCCCCATAACGGTAGTCATTTACTGAGCATCTGTGCAGAGTGCCAGACACAGATATTGTCATGCCCTTGACGACATCAGGAGGGAGGTATTCTCCCTACTGCATAAATAAGGACATTAAGACTTGAAGAGGGGGCCGGCGCCGCGGCTCACTAGGCTAATCCTCCGCCTGCGGTGCCAGTACCCCGGGTTCTAGTCCCAGTCGGGGTGCCAGATTCTGTCCCGGTTGCCCCTCTTCCAGGCCAGCTCTCTGCTGTGGCCAGGGAGTGCAGTGGAGGATGGCCCAAGTGCTTGGGCCCTGCACCCCATGGGAGACCAGGAGAAGCACCTGGCTCCTGCCATCAGATCAGCGCAGTGCGCCAGCCACAGCGGCCATTGGAGGGTGAACCAACGGCAAAGGAAGACCTTTCTCTCTGTCTCTCTCTCACACTGTCCACTCTGCCTGTTAAAAAAAAAAAAAAAGACTTGAAGAGGCTCAAATAATTTGCTCCACATCCCACAGCCATGGTATGGGAGAGCTGGCATGCGAGACACTGAACCTGCCTTTTCTTAGCTGGTTCACAGGCTAAAATAATGGAAACGGAGTTGAAAGATACGTCGCTTTTGGTGCAACTAATTTTGAAATTCATGCACATGAGAGGTCTTCAAAATGTTCACAGAAAATGTGAGTCATGAAAAAATATGCATGAATTTCAATATATATATTTGCACCCAAATAAACATCTTTTAATTTCATTTTTCTAGACCGTTTGAAGTACCCTTGTACACTGCCTCCCTATAGCTGGTTAGGTGACAGAATAAGATATCAGGACCAAAAGGAAGAACAGACGCTGACATTCCTTATTTACTTGAGGACAAATTAACTAACAACCCATAACAGAAGCACCTTCTTACCTGTAAAATCGTTTCGCAGATGGCAGTATATTCAATTTCACGCTTCAGCAGACAGCTCAGCTCTCCCAGCACATCCCCACTGGTACAGTACTCGGTAAACAGGGTTTTGGACTCCCTATCAGGCCTCAGGCTACTGTCTATTCCAAAGGTAGGAGATGAACTGTGCAGCTGCAGAGGGGAGAGTATGTGCAAAAGTAAATAAAAACTTTGAAGCTTTCTGATCAAACCATAGGCCCTTCCATTATTCCTTACAGTGGAAGGCAGAGATCCTACCATGGGCGAAGCAGAATAAACCTGCACAGAAATCACGTTTCTTTCACATTTCAGTTCCCCAGGGCAAGGTCTTTTTGTTTTTATTTTAAGATTTATTTATCGATTTGAGAGACAGAGTTACAGAGAGAGGAACAGAAAGGTCCTTATCCGCTGGTTCTACTTCCCAAATGACCCCAATGGCCAGAGCTGGGCCAATCCAAAGCCAGGAGTCAGGAACTTGCTCTGGGTCTCTTTGTGGGTGCAAGGGCCCAAGCACCTGGGCCATCCTCCACTCTTTCCCAGGCACATTAGCAGGGAGCTGGTGGGAAGCGGAGCAGTGGGATTCAAACTGGTGTGTGCATATGGGATGCAGGCGCTGCAGACAAAGGCTGAACCTACTAAACCACAGCGCTGGCCCCCAGGGCAGGGTCATGCTTTCAATCTTTACTTTTGTAGATAAGCCCTATTTACAACTCTTGACTTAAATCTTTCCTAGGTAAAAGTCCCATCTTAATTAGCAATTGCAGCCCACAGCCAATGGGATTGTCCTCTCTGAGCCCATTAGAACTTCTTACTATAAAGGGTTCATGCCTCCAGCAGAAAGTAACATTTTATTGCATGGGCAGATAACACAAACTAACATGTTTCCTAAACCAAGTTAGAATTTCAGTAAAATCCTTGTCTCCTTTTAAAATGGTTAAGAGTAACTACCATGAAATAGCAACAGAAAAAAGTTCGAAGGTTAACACAGAATGATTGAATTACTTCAGGAAGAGAACTGGTAGACATCAGTGAAGAAAGATGAGAGAGATCAAATTTTAGAGGAATTGAAGGACTCAAGCAAAAGGATCACAGAATTTTCTGGAAAGCTTAGTTATGGAGATCAAAGAGAATGGTGGTCAAAAAGCAAATGACCATGGAAGAAGTTACTGTGAAAAACTGCATCCTCTTCTAGCACTTACCGCTCAGACTTCTCACTTTCTAAAACAAACTGGAGGGGAGGCAGCATCGTGGGTGTAGAGGGCAAAGCCGCCACCTGCAGTGCCAGCATCCCATAGGGAACCCCTTCATGTACTGGCTGCTCCACTTTCCATCGTACTCCCTGCTAATGGCCTGGGAAAAGCAGCAGGAGATGGCCCAAGTGTGTGGGCCCCTGTCAGCTTTGTGGGTGACCCGGAAGAAGCTCCTGGCTCCTGGCTCCTGGCTTCAGCCTGACCCAGGGCTGGCTATTACAGCTATCTGGGGAGTGAATTAGCAGATGGAAGATTACTCTCTCTGTTTCTCCTTCTCTCTATAACTCTTTCAAATAAATCTTTAAAAAAAATTTATGTGAAAAGCAGAGAGAGAAAAACAGACAGACAGACAGACAGGTTTTTCCATCCATTGGCTTACTTTCCAAAGACTTGCAATAGCCAGGGCTAGGCCAGGCCAAAGCCAGGAACCAGGAACTCCACCCAGGTTTCCCATAGTGGGGTTAGGAATCCAAGTATATGAGCCATTGCCTGATGTCCACCAGGGTCTGCATCAACAGGAAGCTGGAACCAGGAGCAGGCACTCTGATGTGGGTCATGGGTGTCCCAAACGGCATCATAACAGCTGCACCAAAGACCCATCTCGATGCAGACTTTTCAACGCATTCATGCTTCCCAAAGACTGCAGTTTTTTTTTTAAAAACGGAGGGGGGCATTGTGGCCTGGCAGGCTAAGCCACAATTTGTGACACAGGCATTCTGTATTGGAGTGCTCATTGAGTCTCAGCTACTCTGCTTCTGATCCAGCTTCCTGCTAAGATGTCCCAAGTACTTTGGCACCTCTCACCCATGTGAGAGATCAGGATGGAGTTTCTGGCTCCTGGCTTTGGCCTGACCCAGCCCCAGCTGGTGTAGGCATTTGGAGAGTGGATCAGTGGATGGAAGATAGCTCTCTCTCTGTTAGTCACTCTGCCTTCCAAATAAATAATTTTTTTAAAGATTTATTTTATTTATTTGAAAGTCAGAGTTACACAGAGAGAGGAGACAGAGACAGAGAGAAAGAGAGGTCTTCCATCCGTTGGTTCACTCCCCAGATGGCCACAACAGCCGGAGCTGTGCCAATCCAAAGCTGGGAGCCAGGAGCTTCCTCCGGGTCTCCCACGTGGGTGCAGGGGCCCAAGGACTTGGTCCATCTTCCACTGCTTTCCCAGGCCACAGCAGAGAGCTGGATTGGAAGAGGAGCAGCTGGAACTGGAACTGGCGCCCATATGGGATGCCGGCGCTTCAGGCCAGGGCCTTAACCTACTGTGCCACAGCGCTGGCCCCCCAAATAAATAATTTTTAAAAAATGTTTTTAAATGACCATAATTCTGACTGCAGTTTGAAGCACCTTGAGCAATAAAGATGTCTCTATAGCAAACCAAGAAAAGATGACATTGGAAGCAGGCAGCATTCTAAAGAAGACCCTCCAAGAGTGCAGTCCACGATGCAAGCCAGCACTAATCCAGGTACTGCCAGGTACTGCTGTGAAGGGTTTGCATATGGATTGAGGCTACTAGTGAGCTGGCCTTAAACCAGCCATCTTGGATTGTCCTGGCAGGCCCAGTGTGATCACATGACCCCTCGAGAGAAGAAGTGAAAAGCAGAAGAGTCTGCTTTAGGATGCAGCTCTGTGACGTGAGGGCCGCAAGCAAGGACCAGAGAGGGGCTCTAGGAGCTCACAGTGGGCCCCAGAGGAAGCCTCCCAAGAAGCAGGGCTGCTGTCCTGCTGGAAGGAGCTGGAATCTCAAGACTCCTTCGAAGAGTCTGGAAATGGATTCCGCCCCCAAGGCGTCCAGCAGTCAGTCTTACCTTTAAAAAATTATTTATGTATTTATTTATATGAAAGGAACAGTCTATATACAGTTTTAAGAAAACACTGATACTTCCCACCCTTCCTCCCTTCCTGCCTTGCTCCCACCCTCTCACCTCCTTCCTTGCTTATTTCTCTTTTAATTTCTAATTTCTCTTTCAATTTACTTTATAATCATAAGCTTAATCTTCTACTAAATGAGGAGCTCAACAGGTAGTAAACAGAAGAACTATTGTTCCTCAGGAGTATAGACCAGGGCTATAAACAATAATCTATTTTCAAGATGCCAACTTCACTCCTAGACATTACTTTTTCTGGTACTCTATAGATTAGTTACCACAAACCAGAGGAAAACATACAGTATTTGTCTTTTTAGGACTGGTTTGTTTCACTAAGCATAATTTCTCATGAACTTCTAGAAGTACTCTTGTACACTTTATATATATATATACACAAATATATAAAGGTAATTTTATACAATATTTCTAGTGTACTTACATTCTGACCTACAGAACTGTAAGATACTAAATCTAAGCCATTAAATTTGCGGTCATTTGTTATGGGATCAATAGAATACTAATATAATCTTTTTGTCTGTTTTGTCAATCCCATGTCTTGAATGAACAGTGCCTGCTACATGGTAGCAACAAAGTAAGTATTTGTTGAAAGAAAAAATAAAAATTACTTAGGACAGTTCCAGATACCTATTAAGTGTTATATTGTATTAGTGTTACACCTATTTTAATAGTTTATTTCCATGGTATTTTCATTCTCAAACCAGGAAGCCAACAATAAGGGTTTGTCACTTATGACTATCATCTAGGAGTAAGGAATTATTTGGATCATAAACTGGGGCTCACCCATATTTTAAGCTATTAAATTACTCGCCTCCTTACAAAGGAGTCTTGTCCCTACTACTTTGCTGGAACCAGGAGCTGGAGCCAGGAATCAAATCTGGGCACTTTGATGTGGAATGTGGGCATCTTAATTGGCATTTTAACCAGCATCTGAACCACCAGGCTAGACATCTGCTCCAAAGGTTGAATTTGGGATCATCATCCCATTTGACCCCTCTGAGGATCTGACTTTGCAGCCTGCCTCCTCATTCTTGAGCTCTCATTTCCTTTAGATAATTTAACCCACATCAAGTACTGGTTTCCTCATCTGAATGACCTGAAAAACACCGCTTCCTCCCAGGACTTCTGTAAGGACTAAGTCATGCTGACGGCAGCATTTTGTAAATAGGAAACACATTCCAGAGGTCGGATGTTACTATCTCTTAGCTTCAGTGCTCACTTGGAGCAGAGATGGTTTCATTGGGAAAAGAGATCATGTTAAAAAAAAAAAAAGTTTAAACCTTTTCAGTTCCCAAACTTATCCTTATGTTACGGTCGCACATTTCAAATACATTTTAGGTAAAGAATGAGCAGTCCCTTACACTTGCCATTCCTGAAATAATTAAGTAGATTCCTTGCGGCATTTCACCTTCTCTGCAGATGACATCTCCGTAGTCAAAATACGCAAGTTTGGTTCTTTCCTGAGTGGAAAACAAGGAGGGGCGTGGGGAGGGGGTAAAAGGAGGGTCAGCACAAAAGCTTCATTGTATTCTTTTCTAAGTAGAAGTAAGTTTTTAAAGCTAAAGATGGCTTCCAAGTAGCCTAAACACACAAACTATATTCTTGGTTTGTTGATGAGTTCTAGCATGCTGTGCCCCATCACCGTTTAGGAATAAACAAACTGTAGATGGTGATTAGTGTCCAGCACAATAACTGATAGAAACACTCGATGAATGCTTACAGTGGGGCCAGCGCCGTGCACAGCACATTAAGCTATGACTCTTGATGCCAGCAATCCATGTTTGAGCACTGGTTTTAGCACCAGCTGCTCCTTTTCCTATACAGCTTCCTGCTAATGTGCCTGGGAAAGCAGCAGAAGATGGTCCAACTATTTGGCCCCTACCACCCATGAGGGCAACCAGAATGGAAATTCATGGCTCCTCCTGGCTTTAGCCTGGCCTAGCACTGGCCACTGAAGCTGTTTGGGGAGTGAACCAGAGGATGGAAGATCTTTGTCTCTCCCTCTCGCTCTGTAACTTTGCCTTTAAAAAGAGAATCCTAAAACAAAATAAATGCTTACGGGAAGAATAAGCAAATTAATGAATGTAAACTTTTTTTTTTTTTTTGAGTACCCCTCTGGACCTGGGCTATAATGGTAAGCTAAATAAACCCCCTGCCTACAGAAGAACTTTTAGTTAGGAAGGGTCAATATTTACAACAAAGTGTGACAATTATTACAAAAGAGACAGAGGCAGGGTATTGTGGAAAAATGCAGAAAAGCCACAGAACCCTGTCTTGGTTGTTCAGCGAAGTCTTTACAGTAGGAGGGACAGCTAAGCTGAGGCCTGATAGAAGAACACCAGGTTAGCCAGGGTAAGATAGCTGAAGACCATTCAGGGCGGGAGATTCCGAATACGCAGACCCAGAAGCAAATAGAGACCTGCAGGTGGGGTAGCTGCAAAAGGTTCCATGTGTCTCAGGTAAGAAGGGATAGAGAACAGGCATGAGTTATCCGTCAGACATCAGTAGGCACAGGGCCTAGGATTCCTGTACTTTAATGGATCACGATGTTTTAAATTCTGTTGAAATCAGAAGGCAGGGTGCAGGGACACTGAGTATTTGGTGTGGCAGTCAGATGCCACTTGTGACACCCAGATTCCACGTTGGAGTGCAATGGTCCACGGCCTTGTCCACTCCCATTTCAGCTTCCTGCTGATGCGCATACTGGGAGGGAGCAGGTGATGACTCGGGTACTTGGGTTCCTGCCACCCACCTGGGAGATCTGGATTGAGTTCCTGGCTTTGACCTGGCCAGCCTCAGCTTATGCAGGCAGCTGGAGAGTGAACTAGGGGATGGAAGATAACACTGTCTCTGTCCATGTCTCTCTGCCTTTCAAGTAAATATAAATAAATAAGTAAATCTTAGTAGAAAAAAAGAAAATAATAAAAAATGCAAAAGCAGAAGCAGAAAAAAGAACTTTTAGGGAGAAAAAATATTTCAGTATATATAACGCTGATATAGTCATCTTTGTACTAACACAGTCATAAAATACATATTTTTTGCAGTTTTTTTTTTTTTTTATGGAGGAAGAGGCCCACAAAGGCAAAACTGACAAGGAACCTCAAGAGCCATGAAGCAGTTCTGATGACCCCTTATAGGCAATTCTTAACACAGCAGCGGAGTGATCATTTTAAAATCTAAGTTAGGACTTGTCACTTCTCTGCTCAACACTATCACTTTCCATTCAACTCAGAGTAAACACCGAAGTCCTTACAACTCAGAGTAAACACCAAAGTCCTTACAATGGCCCACACAGTTGTACACATTCAGGCTCTCCATAACTCATCTGGCTTCATCTCCTCCATCATTGCACCTGCCATGGGACCTCTGTCATGCTCCTTGGACACACCAGGTAGCCCCCATCTCAGGGCCTTGCACTTGCTATGCCATTTGCCTGAATGCTCCCCTCCAAGACATCTACGTGGCTCTCCCTCACTTTTTCCAGATCTCTCTTCAAATGGCATCTTTTCGAGCAGCCTCCCATGACCACCATATGTAAAATGGTTGCCCACCATGTTCTCTTCTCTCACCCTATTTTTCTCCACAGCACTTAACACCGTTTTGGCAGACTACATATTTATGTGTTGGTGCATTTATTGTCCATCTATGTCCATGTAATACAAGGTCCGTGAATGTAGGGACTTCATCTATATTGTTCACTGTCATATTCCAAAACCTAGAACAGTCTGGTACACAGAGGATATTCAATAGCCATGTCTTGAAAGAGTTCAAATTTCTTTAGCACTACCCAGCAGACTTTAGACAGAGCATGAACACTTGAATATATCACAATCCTTACTATTCCCTGTTATACTATACTCAGTTGGTTTTATTTTTATATTATCTGCCCAACTGGTATAGTATTTATATTAGTTTGTTAATATTTGCTTCAGAGGCAGAGATACACACACAGAGGACAGTGGAAGGTTGGGGAGGGTAGGAGGGAAAGAGAGACAGAGAGAGTGCCCCAGCTACTGGATCACGTCCCAACAGCTTGAAATAGCCAGGACTGGGCCAGGTCGAAGCTGGGAGTCAAGAACTCAATCTAGGTCCACCTGTGGGTGGCAGGTACCCAGCTACTTGAGTTATAGACTGCTGCATCCCAGGGCACAAATTAGCAACAAACTGGTGTCAGGAGCAGAGCCAGAGCTGCGCCTCCAACCCAGGTGCTCTGATATCAGACGCAAGCATATTTTTTATTTTTTTGACAGGCAGAGTGGACAGTGAGAGAGACAGAGAGAAAGGTCTTCCTTTGCCGTTGGTTCACCCTCCAATGGCCGCCACAGCCAAGATGCAAGCACCCATTTTTTTTCCGGTTTTTTGACAGGCAGAAGTGGACAGTGAGAGAGAGAGAGACAGAGAGAAAGGTCTTCCTTTGCCGTTGGTTCACCCTCCAATGGCCACCGCGCTGCGGCTGGCGCACCGCGCTGATCCGATGGCAGGAGCCAGGTACTTATCCTGGTCTCCCATGGGGTGCAGGGCCCAAGCACTTGGGCCATCCTCTACTGCACTCCTTGGCTACAGCAGAGAGCTGGCCTGGAAGAGGAGCAACCGGGACGGAATCCGGCACCCCGACCAGGACTAGAACCCGGTGTGCTGGCGCCGCAAGGCGGAGGATTAGCCTAGTGAGCTGCGGCGCCGGCCCAAGATGCAAGCATCTTAACCGCTGGGCAGATGCCTACCTCCTGTGTGGGAATTTAAAGTGAGACCTTGCCCTGAGGACTGTGTTTTCCAGAGTATGCATCTAGAAATTCAGAACAGAATGGGGTTATCAACAATTAGGAAACCCAGATAGTTCATCCTAAGAAGATACGCCACTCTGAAAAGCTACCTTTGCTGATGGACTCAATGAGAACTGCTTTCGCTCTGGGCTTGGCCAGGCCTCTGTTCTGCTTTACCCTGCATTGACCAGTACAGGGTTTGTTCTTGGATGTGCTTTTCTGCCAGTCTTGGTTTAAGGAAGAGGAATAGCTGGAAAATAATAGTTAGCATCAAGCCTGAACCTGAGTGGAAGACTGACTCTTTACCTTGAAGAACTCAATGAGAACATCTTTATTTTCCAACCAAATGATGTTAGGAAGGTATTTGTCAGGAGTAGGGGGTGGGATTGCCATTGGAAAGTTATTCAGTGCTTTTATTTTTGTAAGAAGGACCTAAAAACAAGCAATCAAAATAATAGTGATTAGATTCTGTAACAGCAAGGGGCACAACTTCTGTTGTGCAAATTTAACCTTGATTTTTGACTTGTACTTCTCTCACCCTATACAAAATATCCTCTTACCCTTTTTGTCCCTATTCTCTCCTTATTACTATTTTCAGTGATTTATTCACTATAGTGAACCCATCATCTTAATAATCCAATTAACACTGTATCTACATTGTTATAATCTAAAATTTTCTAAAATTCATAGTTGATTGCTACATGATTAATACCACGTTCTCTCAGTTTCTTACAAGTGTGTGGTGTACTTCACTAACTTCTCCTAATTTTGGAGGATATGGCCTAGAGGCCTCTAAGGAGCCCTTCTCTGGCTTCTCTGGAGAGGTAATGAAAATCACTTTGTCTCCCTTATTCCCACGGCAGCGCCTACATCTCCTCATTGGGGAACTCATTACATTGCAGTACTGTCCTTACTTACATGCCTCCCCCTCCTTATTCTGCAACTTGGTGGTTGGATGAATCAATGACTAAATGAAAGAACAAGGGGGAGTCCAAGGACTTTGGAGTCAGCGTTGTATTCCTTCAGTGTCCCAACCACCTTAGCATCAGGGCACTTAGTCAGAATCTAACCTCCATTTATTGAATTGATTGAATAGACTTTCCTATCTCCTTAGACCTGGGTTAGAGAATTATAGCCTTTAGCTGACAACTAGGCAAAATTCACAGGCATTCAATAGGTAACTGTTGAATGACTGATTTATGTATTACCATCCTAAACAAACCTATATTAAAGAAGTAAGTCTCTCTCTTCATAAGAGCTATTATTTACTTATGTTAACTAAGGAGCCTCAAACATTTGATTGTTTCATATTGTCTTCAAAGCGATGAATGAACAATAAATAGAATAGAAAGCACAACATGCTTAGAGCTGTAACTTGAAGAATAATGTAAAGTAACTCTTCCTTCCCTCGACAGAGATTAAGGAGAAGCTATTATCCATGTGTAGTCCTTTCCTGTGATGTTATAGAGACTAAAGAGATAGGACCTTAAAGGAGAAAGCGGACCTATCCCATGTCTACTTCAGTTATTGGAGTCAGGGAGAGGGAACCACGCCATGTAACGATCGGTGTAGAGTGGATGGCGGTCCTCGGCTGGGGGCTGGCAGTGCCAAGGAAGCACGCATAGCATCCGGAACAGCACAGCAGTGAGCAGCACACACGGATCAGGGAACCAGAGCTTCCACTTTCACTATATGCTAGAATCAGAGCCCAGGATGGCAGGAGAAAGAACACAAGTATTTCACAGACATCCCAGGTTGTGTATGTGATCGAGTGGCGGGATGTCACGTGGCTTTCTCCCCGACACACTCCTAAATTTTGGCCAATACATTTATAATTTATCACAAGCTCATTTATTAGTCAACCAATTTGGGCATTTCCACGGTTCCTACCTCTCAGAACTGCCCCCTCTCCGACTCCCACTAAAACACACACACACACACAAACACACTCACACAGGTCCATCCCTTCTCCACACACACACACACACACACACACACAGGTTGGTCCCTTCTCCACACACACACACACACAGGTTGGTCCCTTCACACACACACACACACACAGTTAGTCCCTTCTCCACACACACACACACACACACACAGAGGTTGGTCCCTTCTCCACACACACACACACACACAGGTTGGTCCCTTCTCCACATACACACACACACACACACATACACAGTTTGGTCCCTTCTCCACACACACACACACACACACACACAGGTTGGTCCCTTCTCCACACACACACACACACACACAGGTTGGTCCCTTCACACACACACACACACACACAGGTTGGTCCCTTCTCCACACACACACACACACACACACACAGGTTGGTCCCTTCTCCACACACACACACACACACACACACAGGTTGGTCCCTTCTCCACACACACACACACGCACAGGTTGGTCCCTTCCTCACAATGCTAATATTATGAGTCTCCCTCTCTCTTGCAGAGTTACTGAGATGGGGCAGTACATGTTCCATACTGGACAGAGAAACAGGAAAATCTAATTAATGAGTGCAGAGAGGGAGCCAATCTGAGATTCGACATTGGGCAATTGCTATGGTTTGGATGTGGTTAAATGCCTCCCCCAGAGCTTTGTGTGTTGAAATTTAATCCCCATCCTGAGGAATTAAGAGGGTGGAATTTGAATCCAATTGTAGTGCTTAGAGGTGGGGCCTTTGGGAGTGGATGAGGATTAAGGTCATTAGGGTGGAGCCCATGATTGGATTAGTGACAGCATAAAACAAAAAGGGAAAAAGACCAGAAGAGACACACACATATGCCCCATCCCTTGCCATGTGATGGCCTCACTACGTTAGCACTCTGCTAACAAATGACCATTACCAGACATGGGCCCTAGACCTTGTACCTCCAGAAATATGAGCCACTATTACCTTCTCCTTAAAACCTACCCAAGTCTGTAAAACGTGTTCATAGCAACGGAACAAAAACAAAAGCAGCAACCGTGATAGGAAGCAGGAGTCTGGAGAGCTCTCTCTAGGTCTTTGTCCAAGCCATTTCCTGACGTAATGTGGCCTGTACGTGGGCTCTGCAAGACTTATGTGTCTTTTTAATAAGTCCCCCAACCATATTTCTTTATTAAACTTTGCTCGGTCGGTGCCGTGGCTCACTAGGCTAATCCTCCCCCTGCAGCGCTGGCACCCCAGGTTCTAGTCCCGATCAGGGCGCCGGTTCTGTCCCAGTTGCTCCTCTTCCAGTCCAGCTCTCTGCTGTGGCCCGGGAGGGCAGCAGAGGATGGCCCACATGCTTGGGTCCCTGCACCCACATAGGAGACCAGGAGGAAGCACCCGGCTCCTGGCTTCGGATTGGCACAGCACCAGCCGTAGCGGCCATTTGGGGAGTCAGAAGGAAGACCTTTCTCTCTGTCTCTCACTGTCTATAACTCTACCTGTCAAATAAAAAAAATTTCTTCAATTGTTCTCTGTTGATCGCATAGTTTTTTTATTATTTTTTTTTTATTTTTTTGACAGGCAGAGTTAGACGGTGGGCGAGAGAGAGACAGAAAGGTCTTCCTTTTTCCGTTGGTTCACCACCCAATGGCTGTCGCAGCCGGCACACCGCACTGATCCGATGGCAGGAGCCAGGTGCTTCTCCTGGTCTCCCATGGGGTGCAGGGCCCAAGCACTTGGGCCATCCTCCACTGCACTCCCGGGTCACAGCAGAGAGCTGGCCTGGAAGAGGGGCAACCGGGATAGAATCCGGTGCCCCTACCGGGACTAGAACTAGGGGTGCCGGCGCCACAGGCAGGGGATTAGCCTATTGAGCCGCAGCGCCAGCCGATTGCATAGTTTTGACTAATGGAATGCACCAGATAATATTGGCATTGGTGGCCACTGGCATTAATAAAGACTACAGGCAGTTAATTAGACTAATTAATTAATTAGAGAAATTAGACTGCTGGTAAACTGTTCTTTTCCAATCTCCCTCACTCATTACACTTTGTTAAACTTACAGTGCAGGTTTGGGTGTTGTGCTGATGGAATCAGGCAAAATGGGAAGTTACTTTATTACCTTATTCATCTCGATACCCTCGTGTTTATCGATAATGCCTCTTGACCAAAGAAAGGTGAGATTCTTCAGAGCCTTAGCAATCACATTCCGAATTGCCTGCTTAGTCTTCAAAGCAATGACAACATCACGACCTTCATGCTCTATGAGTCCTAAAGCAAATAAAAGTAAGTAGGCAACCAGTACAATAACCACAATAACAACTAAGAGTTGTATAGTTAGTTCATAATTTCCAAAGTACTTATACAACTTCCTTTTCATGCTAGCTGCACCTTGAACTTGTAAGGCCAGTGGAACTAGAATTATTTTCATTTCCATTTTATGGATGTGAGAATTGAAAACAGGCTTTCTCCCACCAGCTAAGAGAAAAATCACTTTCTCTCCCTTGATTCCATGGCATGTCCTACATATCTCTATGGTAGAAGTAATTTCATTATAGAAGTTTTTATTTAGCTGTCTCATCCTCATACTACGTGATTTTCGTTGGCTGGATGAATAAGTAACTAAATGAAAGGGTGAGAGTGTCCCTGGACTTCGGCAAGTGGGTCTGAGATTAAGCTGCAAACACTTCCCATTTTAGTAAACACACAGTCACAGTCTGGACCGTGAGTCAAGGTGAAAGCTGCCGTCTGTTTTTTAAACAGTTTTTTAAATCCCAACTGTGAGCAAAATGCATCACAAATGGAAAGCATTTGCTCACCCATTTTTTTTTTTTAGCTGAAATGAATTGGAACAAGAGTCAGGACAGGAATCAGAGGAAGGTTCAGAGGATACAGGGCCCCTCCGGTAATGTGGGGAATTCCTTACCCTAGCTGGGAGAGCAGCCTGGGCTAGTAAGCAAGTTTGACAATGAAGGAGACATACAGAATTGTGTTGATTAGTCAGAAGAGCAGGCTGTGGTGTCAAGGCCACTTAGAAAGTCAAGCGGCCTGAGTTGTCTGTGACCACTCTCCGGAGTCCGGGGAAAACAAACATGTCCCCTGTGAGTGTTTGATGCTTTGCATATAAAAACTCCTAGCGCAAGATAGGAGTGGAACTCCCTTCTCCCTCCTGGCTGTATTCACTAGCGTCTCGTCTCTTTTCCAACAAACTCTTTTTGCTAAAATCACCTTCTCATGTGTTCATCTGGTTAATAATTTCGTTGCAGACAGAGCAAGTGCCCAGGGTTCATCTCAGCTGTAACAAGCTGACCAGTCAAGTTAAGGATAGCATTGATCGACACTGTGGGTTTCAGTGCCAGATACACCTGGCTTAGGGACCTGGCTCACTCCTCACCAGCTATAAAGCCCCAGGCAAGTTAGCTTCTCTAAGCCTCAGCTTCATCACCTGTAAAATGAAGCTGATAATCACATTTGCCTTGTAAGAGTAATTATAAGGAATTAAATGAAGAAGTGCCTACGAAGCACTTGACAGTTCCTGGTGTAATAACCATTCAATACCAGTTGCAGTAACCATATGGAAAAAGGCTCTCTCTTTCACAGGACTTTGCGTGAGAACGTTGTCATATTCCATACTTGTCTAAAACATCATGTACAGCAGCAGTTCACAGGCCTCTACTCCCTAAAAGCACAGAAATACAGGTCTGCCAATATGTAAACTGTGACGACAAGTCCTGGGTTCTCTCAGTGCCAAATCAGCCTGACCTGTTGTCACCAACTTCCATGCTTGTTCGTTAGACCTCGTTCTTTCCACTTTGACTGGGAAAGCAGGATCCCCGGCAATCTACGTGGCATTTTACAACGTGATGATACATACAAAGTGACTTCACTTTATTCCTTTTCTGATAATGCCCACTTACCAATGACATAGGTATGCTGGGCCCTCAACCAGATACCTAGCTTGGAGTGAAAGCCTGGCCCATCACTCCCGTAGTAGGAGAGCAGATCCGGGAAGCTTTCCATTCAATCCTTGGCCTTCTGTTTGAAGTAGAGTAGCTAGGTGCGCGAGATATAACATCCCTTACAGCCTACCTCCCAGGAGATGTTGGAAAAAAACCCTTTGTCTAGGGTAATCTTCACATCTTTTTCCTTAAATCTTAAGAAACCCGACCTTGCCACCTTAACTCTGTCCATACTCCTCCCGTCCTGTTCCTGCTTCTGTGTTCCCATAGCGACTAACAGGCCTCCTCCAACTTTCTCCAGTTATCTACTGACACGCTCATACACTCCATCAGACTCTGCATTTTTTAACCATTCCTGTATACCCATCTTTGTTTTCCCAAATATGGTCCATTGTATGTGTTCACTAAATGATTGCTGATTGAATGAATTGAGTGAGCGAATGAGTGAACGAAAGCAAGAACTTGTATTTCTTTGGTTAAATTATAAGATAGCAAGGTGTGATTTCTAGAAATTAGATACTCCACCTACCTAGTTCTTTCACAGCATCTCGTTTGTTGGTTTCCAAAATTTCATATAATTTCTGTAAGAAATAAAAAATTCTGTGAATTTTTTTTTATCACATCTGTTGCATTTCAGACCCTAAATACCCTAAATTCTAAGGGGGGGAAGGGGAGAAATATGCTAGAGGAAATCTCACTTAGTTTAATTTAGGAGAGCTACTTGGCTCAATTCTGCTATTTCCCCCGTACTCATACTCAAATTGCAATGAATATTGTGCAGTGAACAGTCTGCATAACTACTGTGTCTAACAGTTCTCAGAAAAGATTACCATGTACTGCACTGTACACCCAGAGGAATTCTCATAGGAAGATCCTGAAACGGGGTGAACCAGCTGAGCAGCTATCGAGGAACCAGACTTTTGAGAGCACAAAAACAAGTGGAATAATGAAAAAATCCAGTGCCAATTAGTTGATGCTTCCTTCTGATAATTCCTTGTGTAACTGAAGAAATAACTCCATTGCAGGGCTAATTTCTGTTCAATCGATTACATGACATATTTGTCAAATTCCTCCTACAACCCAGGCAGTATTCTTCATAAAGCTTACTCTTAAATTACTCTTTCTGGAACGTGTGCTTGGCCACACCAATAGCTCTAGGACAAGCAACTGACTGTTCCCTGGGTTAGCAAGTAAGATGTCTGAAACTCTGCACCCAAATCATGTATGATATAGTGCTATTTACTGGAAACAGCTGGCTTGTTATCTAAAGTTTAAGCAAACTCAAGTTTTTGTTGGTTTGGTTTGGTTTAGAAGAAAATCAGATGTAATAAATCCCTCTTTTGAATATCAGAATGTAGTATATAATTTTTATTAAGTTGCTTTTTCTCACTTAATAACATTGAATCAGTATTGAGAAGATGCCAAATTATTAGCCTGCTCTAACATACTGTAGTCCAGCCCTGCTTGAATAGGCGCATACATAGAGCTGGCCGCACATCCTACAAAACCGGACTTACAGCCACATGGTAAGACGCTCTGGGATGACCATGCACAAGAGAACATGGGAACTGATTCCTACGAACAGTATAAGCGTAGGAGCATGAACACGTACTCACTTCTCTAAAGGAAAGCTGCCACAGGCCAGTTTTCAGACCCCCACCACTTTCAGAATAACTAACATCTCAAAAACCCGATTCAACTATTTTTGAAGACTCTATCACAAATTCCAAAAGGATGTCAGGCATTTACCCTAGAAGTTAAGATGCCTGGGTTCCATATCAAAGTACTTGGATTCTACACTCAGCACAACTCCAGACTCCGATTTCCTGCCAGTGCAGATCGTGGGAGGCAGGGATGACGGCTCAGGTACCTGAGTTCCTACCACTTACGGGGGAGACCTGGAGTGAGTTCTCAGCTCCTTGCTTCAGCTTGATCCAGTTCTAACCACTGTCAGCATTTGGGAGCGGAACAGCAGAGGAGCATTCTCTCACTCATTAGCTTGCTCGCTCTCTCTCTCTCTCTCTGCTAAGAGTCTGAGATAGCTCATTCTCATCACGCAAAAAAGGCTCCTGAAGACATAACCTCCAACCCATCCATGGCTTTATGTGTACACACACAGCATCACTATTATCTAGGGTTTAAAATCACCATCAGATTAAAAATCAGGAATCTCGTTCGGGCTGAGCAAAAATTCCTTTCAATTATTGATACTGTTTAGTTTAGATCTCATCTATACACATTGTAAAATGCAGGAGAAAACCATGATGTAAGGAGTTATTGAAGAAGCATTTCAAAATGGAACTAAGAGATCGTTAGGGGATTAGCATTTAGACACATCACAAGCTGCTGCCTGGGATATGAACTCTTGAACTGGACCAAGTTTAACAAGAGCCATCGGTAGCCTTTAATGAATGCTATACCCACAACTGTCACAAATGAACTTTACATTGAGAGATGGCCATCTGGGGACTGAACCAGCAGATGGAAGATCTGTTTCCTTCTCTGTGTCTCCCTCTCTCTGTCACTCTTCCTTTCAAATAAACAAAATAAGTCTTTAAATTGATTGAAAAAAATGAAATCATAATCAAAATAACCAACCACTGGGAAGAAAAAACAGAATGAAATACAGGAATGTGGGACACAAATAAGAGAACAAACCCCAATGAAGTATAAGGAGAGTCAAGATAATATACTAATTTTTTAAATAAAAGAAAAAAAATTGCTCTATAAAGAAACAATCCAATGTTTTAAGATCAAAAAGTATTTGTCAAAAAAAAAGTAAAGGTAGTTAACAGCAGAATGAATACAGTTCCAGACTGAATTAGCAACCTGGAAGATCAAGTTGAGGGAATCTCACAGCAAAGGGCAAAGAGTTAAAAGCTATGAGAAAAATAAATAAATAAAAGTTATGAGAAAAGTTAACAAATACTAAGTCAGAAATTCCAAAATTTGTTTAAAAGGGTGGCAAAAGGAGAAAACACAACAAAAGAGACAAAATGAAGAAATAATACAAGAAAGATGGTCATCTGCAGAGTAGACGCTGACAAGTGCTGCATGGATAACTTATTTTTAATCTCATCTAGACATATCCCAATGAGATTTAAGAACTCCAAAGATAAAGAGAAAATCCTAAAAGCCTCCAAAGAGAGAAAAAAAACACCTGCAAAATCAAAAGTGAAATTAGACTTTGATGAAAAATGCTGAAGACAGAATGACAATATCTTCCAGTTCTGAACAAAAAAACATGGTTTTTGAGAGTCAAAGTATTAATTACAAGAACAAAATAAAAGCAATTTTGGACATATAAGCCCATGAAGAGGTGATACACATAGTCTAGCATAATGCAATGGAAAGTTGTAAACAGAGGTTCACATGGGATTCAGGGAAGAGTGGCTAAGGAATATGATTAAGCGAAGACAGAAAAGGTGCTTCTTAATCCATTTACTTTTTTCTTTACAAGAATCTCAGGCTGTAAACTTTTAATGACATTGGGTCATTTTCCCTTTGTCAGAGGTGAGTCAAATGATAGGTTATACATTGAATATATATATATAGTCATAAAAAAGGATTTTTTGTTTTTCCATGTATAGTCATTTATTAAAAGGAGTGAAGATTTAATTATATTTACAAAACAGAATATGCAAATATTATAAACCTTTTCCCTGATAAAATAATAGCTCCAAAAGGTTTAAACAGAGAGAAAAAGAAATGTACCCGCATGGGAGACTGGAAGCCTGCTCTCTGCTATTGCCTGGGGAAGCAGTAGAAGATGGCCCAAGTCCTTGGGCCCCTGCACCCACGTGGGAGACCTGGAAGAAGCTCCTGTCTCCTGGCTCCTGGCTTTGGCCTGGCCCAGCCATGACCATTGCAGCCATTTGGGGAGTGAACCAGCAAATGAAGATTCCTCTCTCTCTCTCTCTCTCTCTCTCTCTCTGCCTCTGCCTCTCCTTCTCTGTAGCTCTGACTTGCAAACAAAAAATATTAAGTACAGATACATATTTTGAAATAATTGTGGAAGCAGTAGAGTAATTTGATACAGGAATGATTACTAGAAACTGTATCTGGGTAATGGTAAAGAGATGGGGAGAATACTTATACTTACTTTATTATGTATTTCCACATTGTAAATTATGAGTAATATTTTTAAAAAATTATTTATTTACTTATTTGAAAGGCAGAGTGAAAGAGAAAGAGAGAGGGAGATACACACACACACACACACACAAACACAATTTTCCATCTGCTGGTTTATAATGGCCAGGGCTGTATCAGCCTGAAACCCAGAGCCAGGAATTCCATCCTGATCTCCCACGTGGGTGGCAGGAGCCAAACACTAGGGCCATCTTCTGCTGCCTTCCTATTAGCAGGCAGCTGAATCAGAAGCACACCAGCCAGGACTCCAACAGGCACTCTGATATGGGATGTCAGCATAGCAGGCGGCAGCTTAACCCACTGTGCCACGCCATCCACTATGAGCATTTTTTGCTTTTTCTATGTTCTTGCCTATATGTACAGTTATAATAGACCTTACAATTTAGACCATGTGGAGCCATTGAATATTCTTCATCAGAAAATAGATGTGAAATTTAAAATGGCACACTTAGAAATATCACTAAATTGCCAAGAGTGGCCTGGAGAGGATGACTGCACCAGACAGCCCAGTTAGGAAATCACTCACTCGACCTCCAAACTCCCATTTGGTGCTTATTGGATACTGCCTGGACATGTGCAGGGGCTTGAGTCATAAATAAGTCATACTACCTACCACTCCGCGGTGCCAGGACTTAAAATTTTCTATTCCTTTCCACTTAAGATCTATCTTCTCTATCTTCTTTGAAGCCTTGTTCAAGTCTCAGCTCCAGAATAAAGCCTTTTCCAAGTGTCCTATCTTTCAGAGAGTGTTACAGAGACAAGTGGAGTCTCCTCTTTATTCTGCACTCAGAAAATGAATCAGGTATGTTCTGCTATGAAGATAATGAGTTCTGTGATAATAACTGAAATGTAAAGACCAGAAACCTCTCTGCAATACCTTGTGTAGCCTGATAAACAACCAAATCCCCTTCAGCTGGTGGAATGTGTCTGTCCGGGAGAAATGGCCTTAAAAGAAATTAATGCACCCAAGTGTGTTGGTGTGTTTTCCCCAAACGGCTGGCGCTTGCTTCTCACCTGGTATATAGATTCGCGGCCAGAAATTTGTTTTACTAGAAGTTTGGCATCTTCCTGACTTTTGACATATCCTTTTGTAATATTATACATCAGACTGAGGCGCTTCTTGACCTGCACTTCTGCTATCTTTATCAGCACTGGTATTATTACCTGAAATAATAGGGAGTGAAAAAGACTTTAAATTTGATGAGGACAAGTACCTTCCAGGGCAGAGGTTCTCTCCAGCCTAGCAGAAGCAGAATCCTGAAACTCTTAGAGAAGCAAACGCAGGGCCTCAGCTGAGAGCCACAGAGCCGGACACTCTGGGTGGGGCCCAGCAAACAGTGTTCCAACAAGTCCTCCAGGCGACCCCCTGCATACTCAAGTCTGAAATCCGCCTTCTCAAAAAGGTAAAAGTGGATGCATAACTGCTGGTAGCTGTCAGGGATGTACAGGGTAAGTTTGCTGCTCTGCGTTTTCCTTCATTCTTGGTACCCGAGATTTCAGGCGGCAGGAGCCTGGGTCATGCTGACCTAACAGAAGGCATCATCTCTGGCCGCAGTTTCACCACTTGTAAGAGGAGGCACTTAGGGATATGTGCGGTCTTTGTTAGCACTCAACTTGACTGATCATACACTGAGGCAAGCTGTTACAGGGACTTCAGAGTGAGATTTTAAATGTAAACATCCCTGGAGTCAAGCACCAGTTCCCCTGGCCACAGGCTCAGTGAACGTGATCAGTAACTTAGTGACTTTGAGGCCTCAGTTTGCTCTTGTGTGAAAAGGGGATAATCCTAAATACTAGAACCCCAGTGGTGCTGCTCCACAACTCACAGTCACACAGATGGGGCCTCCCATTGGGACAGATGGCCAGGGACTGAGTGAAAATGCAGAAAAGATGGAAAAAAATAGCATCCTAGTGAAGGGATTAGAAGGGCAGAGAGAGATTCTTTGAGCCTTTTTTTGATTATGAAACTTTGGGCGAAGTGTATGATATTAAAGAAGTTTTCATTTTCCACTGACACCCACAGAGCTGTCCCCTGTGACAACTGAAGGCCTCCAGTATTCTTCCAAGCTTTCTAATGCAGATTTATTTCCTTTTTTTTTTTTAAGATTTATTTACTTATTTGAAAGGCAGAGTTACAGAGAGGCACAGGCAGAGGCAGAGAGGAAGAAAGCGGTCTTCCATCCTCTGGTTCACTCCCCAATTGGCCACAACAGCCGGAGCTGGGCTCATATGAAGCCAGGAGCCAGGAGCTTCTTCCGGGTCTCCCATGCGGGTGCAGGGGCCCAAGCACTTGGGCCATCTTCTACTGCTTTCCCAGGCCACAGCAGAGAGCTGGATGGGAAGTGGGGCAGCCAGGACTTGAACTGGCACCCATATGGGATCTGGCACTGCAGGCAGTGGCTTTACCTGCTACACCACAGTACCGGCCCTGATTTGTTTCTTTTGAAAGCCAAATTGTGCTGAGATTGGCTCTCAAGGCACCTAACTTTATATAGCAATGACATTTACCACACATGACTGTTGTAATAATTTAACTAAACAATATATGTAAAGTGCTTTGCACAGTTCCTGAAAAACAAGAAGTGCTCAGTAAAAAAGCTAACCATCATGGGACAGCAGGAACGCACACATCCCATATCCAGTGCCTTGGTTAAAGTCCTCTTCTGATTCTGGCTTACTGCTAATGCACACCCTGTAAGGCCGCGGGTGCTAGCTAAGTTCTTAGATCCCTGACACCCACATGAGAGACCCAGATTGAGTTCATGGCTCCTGGCGTCAGCCTGGCCCAGCTCACTGGCGCTGGCTGTTGTAATACGCATTTAGGGATGTACCAGCAGATGGGTGATCTCTCACTCCTCTCTCTTCTCTCTCCCTGCCTTTCAAATAAAAATAAATAAGCAGGGGCCGGTGTTGTGGCGTAGTGGGTAATGCCACTGCTTGCAGTGCAGGCATCCCATATGGGTGCCGGTTTGAGTCCCGGCTGCTCCACTTCCGATCCAGCTCTCTGCTATCGCCTGGGAAAGCAGAAGAAGATGTCCTAAGTCCTTGGGCTCTTGCACCCAAATGGGAGACCCGGAAGAAGCTCCTGACTCCTGGCTTCGGATCAGCGCAGCTCTGGCTGTTGCAGCCAATTGGGGAGTAAACCAGAGGATGGAAGACCTTTCTCTCTCTGCCTCTCCTTCTCTCTCTGTGTAACTCTGCCTTTCAAATAAACAAACCTTTAAAAAAATAAATAAGCAAACAGATAATTTTAAAGCTAGCCATCATAACATATTAAACCGTGAGTACATTTCATTGAGATTTGATATTTGTCAGAAAATGTTAGACAGAAGGGGCAACTGCAGGCCATACCCTAAATGAACTAGATTTCCACGATAATGTATCTTGAAGTCTTCATTTCATTTTAAATACTTTTGACAAAGTATTACCTCTAAGGTAATTATTTTACATTCTTCTGCATCAGATCTCTGCATAAAAGCTGATTATCTAAGAAACGTCCACCTTTCATTTCAAGTCATAACCTCAAGTCCACATCCTGACTCCTAGAGTAGTTTGTATTGTGGTACAGTTACATCCTACACTGGCACTTCATGCTAAACACTTAGAGAACAAAAATCATATAGAATAAAACTCTCCCCTGTGCAGTAATTCTTACAAACACTAAAAGTACATAACGCTAATATAGAATAAAGGAAAGAACAGAAAAGAAAATTTACAAAAACAGTTGCCCATTCAAACAATTCTACCTTAAAAATAACTTTAAGAAAAAGATAACAATTAATGGGCAGGTGTTTGGTGCAGTGTTTTTAGGAAGTTGGTTGAGAATGCCTGCATCAGATATCAGGCTGTTCAAGTTCTGGCTACTCCAGTTTCCACGCAGCTTCCTGCTGATGCGCACTCTGAGAGGCAGCAGGTTATGGTTCAAGTAATTGGGTTCCTGCCACCTACACTGAGAGCTGGACTGGGTTCCTGCCACCTACACTGAGAGCTGGACTGGGTTCCTGCCACCTACACTGAGAGCTGGACTGGGTTCCTGGCCCCTACACTGAGAGCTGGACTGGGTTCCTGGCCCCTACACTGAGAGCTGGACTGGGTTCCTGGCCCCTACACTGAGAGCTGGACTGGGTTCCTGGCCCCTACACTGAGAGCTGGACTGGGTTCCTGCCACCTACACTGAGAGCTGGACTGGGTTCCTGGCCCCTACACTGAGAGCTGGACTGGGTTCCTGCCACCTACACTGAGAGCTGGACTGGGTTCCTGGCCCCTACACTGAGAGCTGGACTGGGTTCCTGCCACCTACACTGAGAGCTGGACTGGGTTCCTGCCACCTACACTGAGAGCTGGACTGGGTTCCTGGCCCCTGGGTTCAGTCTGGTCCAGCCCTGGATGTTTGGGGCATTTGGTGAGTGAACAAGCAAATGGAAGATCTCCCTCCTCCCTATCCTGTGTGTGTGTGTGTGTGTTTCAAATAAAATGAAAAAAAAAATTTAAGCAAATATCTGGGTCCCTGCCACCCATGTGGAAGACTCAGACTGGCCCAGCTCTCTGCTACTGTGGACTTTTGAGTGAACCAACAGATAGACAATTTCCCTTCTCTCACTCTCTTTCTCTCTCTCTCTCTCTCTCTCTCTCTCTCTCGATGTGTGGGTATGTGTGTGTCTTTAAAATACAATGAAAATAAATATTAAATGCCTTTTAAAAACAAAGATAATTTTCTCAGAAAATGGGAACTAGGGGGAAGACTTTTATGTATCTATTTAGCCATCAGGGCTTACAGGCTTTTTTTAATGTTAACTTAATATAACTTCAACATATACTAGTAGACTTATTTCATATAATAAGAACTAAGTAAGAAATGGGATTTTGATTCTGTACGGTTTTTGTCTTATAAGCTGAGTTTGCTGTGAAGTGATCAAGTTAGATGTAATTGCATTATAATACAAACCACTATAGGGTTCAGAATATATAATGAGACTTATTTAATATAATAAGAATTAAACAGCAGGAAAACAGACTGGCAAATAAAGCCACCTGAAGCTCCTATTTTAAAAGCATGTAATCAGATATTGCAGATCATCTGGAAAGACAGAAAGGAGGCATAAGAGTTGAGACTGAAAGTATAAAAGTCGACCTTTAAATCAAACCCAAAGACACAGAAAGAAGAAATAGTAATCACTGTGAAGATTGAAGGCCACACGCAAATTAACTTCCATAGACCAAATACAGTGTGAGTATGAGGCTGCAGAGAACATATTTTTGTTTCTGCACAATTCAGCTATGAACACATTTTACTTTTTTCTGGGGCTCCCTGCTCCTAGTGGCACCAAGATTTTTTCCCATTTCTTGACTAGGTCCTGTTCTAGAGTCATAGGTTACATCAGTGACCAAAGCCAACATCCCTATCTCATGTTGAATGCATACAGCATATGGAGAACAGGTGGTAAGGACGATGGGAAGAGACATAAAGCAGAGCAGGTGGAGAGGAAGCAGGCGGGTGGGAGGAGAACTGGGAATGCAAAGGTGGACTGCTATGTCACAGTGGTCAGGGAAGACCTCTTTGACACGGTGAGACTGGCACACTGACTCGAAGGAGGTGGGGGTGTGAGCCCAGCAGGCATCAGGTGAGTGTTCAACTTTTCTTAACTCATTTAACAATGAAGAACACAATCCCAATATTTAAAACTCTGAAGTCTTACCTTGAAGATAGGTAGAAATCTAATTATTCTTAAAAATCCTATCATTACTGTAAACTGAATAAGAAGCAAATTGTCTGGTCTCAGTCTGACAAAGTATATACAAATTATATCTGCAATTCCAACAACTATGATGAGGAATTCCAGAATATTCCAATGTTGTTTAAAATATTTCTTTTTCATAATTATTATCTGTTTAGAAAACAAACAGAATATGTTATTTAATAGCACCTGAACAGTGACATGGGAGGGGATATTTTAAAATTAACATTGAAGTCCTAACTACAAATGAGCCATATTCTGAAAGTAAGTTGTGCTTTAAGTTACTCATTTGGGATCCCCAAAAGATTCTTTTCAATCTCCAACATCAAAAAATATATAATGTTATTCAATATATATCATGTATAATAAAGCTGGAATGCCCAAAAACAAGCATTGGAATACAGCAGTAAACAGGTTCATTATGGGGCCGGCGTCCTGGCTCACTTGGCTAATCCTCTGCCTGTGGCGCCGGCATCCCATATGGGCGCCAGATTCTAGTCCCGGGTGCTCCTCTTCCAGTCCAGCTCTCTGCTGTGGCCCGGGAAGGCAGTGGAGGATGGCCCAAGTGCTTGGGCCCTGCACCCCATGGGAGACCAGGAGAAGCACCTGGCTGCTGGCTTCGGATCGGCGCAGCACCAGCCATAGCGGCCATTTGGGGAGTGAACCAACGGAAAGAAGACCTTTCTCTCTGTCTCTCTCTCTCACTGTCTAACTCTGCCTATTAAAAAAAAAACAAACCAGGTTCATTATAATACCACTAATAACAAAGGATGAAAATAGCAGTACTAATAAATCATCTTTGAAGCATTGGTCCTGAGAGGTGTTCTCACAGCACAACCAGGACCCTGCAAACCAATTTGTTTCCACTCAGTTACTTGTATCTTGCATCACTGCAGAAAACACCTGAGGGCAACCTCCATGTCTGGGTTTTCAATTCTCTTCCACCTGACACTTGAGCTGCACTCTACTCTTACCGATATTTACCTGATGTCCAAACTATGACTATGATATTCCGATTTCGCTTTTAAACTCAGAAAATTCAAAAAGGCTACCAACATTCCAGTATCTCATCAATTATCATGGCAAATGACTTCTGGTATCAAGTTGTCCCAATAATAGTAATCAAAATGCATTAAAACTATCTAAATAAATCTTTTGACAGGATACATTTCTACCTAAACAGTACCTTCAGTGAAGACTCTAATATATATAAAAACATATAATAGTAGTTTAATGACATCAGTGCTGATACATTTAACTCTCTTGCCATTGGCCACAGATGTATTATTAGAGGGTACATATACATTAATGTTACAATATGTCCTGCATATTCAAATTCTTCCGAAAATACAATGTGATATACAAAAATCAGGAATTTATTACTCCTGAAAAAAATAAGATCAAATAAAATGTCAGTCCACACTTAAAAGTATAACAATTAAATAGTTGAACATCTGTTTAAACATACTATTAAAATTCATCTGACGAAGACTGTGTATAATACAAAACAACAGATAAGCAAAAGTCAAAAATCATTTTCTATACATAAAAGTCATGATGGAAAAGGATAAAAATATTACTCATTAATCTGTATCATAAATAGGGAGCACTTTTTAAAAGCAAGGCTGTGTACATAGGAAACCATGCAAAGACTGATCAGTCAGGGAGCTGGCACTGTGGCACAGCAGGTTAAACCACTGCTTGCAATTCCAGTATCCCATATCAGAGTGCCAGGTCTAGTCCTGACTGCTCTGCTTCCCATCCTTCCATGGAGGAGATAAACAGAGATAGGTCTAGTCCACCAGTTAGATTTGTCTCATCCTTACTCCCAGAAGAAAATGCAAGCAGCCCAGTATACATCGATCCTAGGACGCAGCAACTTCAAACTTGAAGGATTATAACATCAACATCCTTTTCTTCTTGCTGTTCACTCTCTAACGTGGATGTCAATGAAGCTGCTAAAACAGAATGCAGGAAGAGAAGCAGCACTCCATTCACCTAACAATCTGTAAGAGTCAGCCATAATACTCGTCTATGTTTAACAAGGAAAATCAGGGCAATCTATTCTGACAACGTAGAAATGGCAATATTTTAAGAATATTGCTATGAAAGTTTCACAATACTTACCCAGGTAGAAAATATGGTGTCCTTTCTTTGTGATATTCCAAGTAGGTTAACATGTTTTTAAACTTCATAAGCCAACTTCTAGCTCTTACATAAGTTGAAACATCATAAATACTCATGAATCTAACAGAGAAAAATATACATAGGCATTATAATAAAAAATCAAGTGCTACACTTTGGTAAATATAAAAGAGGAATTTATAATAGATATACATTTGATAAGAACTAAATAGTCTCAGTCAGTACCAAGCCTCAGCATCCACCTAGCAGCCACCATGGTCACACTTCCAGCGGGAGACTTCTGCTGTGCCTGTTCCTGGAGCCATTCCTGACCTGAGATGGACCATAACTAAAGCTTTTCCAGACGAGTTCTCTGGGGTTCAAAATCAAACTTCCATTCGTAATGTCTTGCCTAACGCAATGTCCTACCCTTCCCAAACTTCATCCCAGGGACAGGTGAGAAAGCGCCCATGCAGATTACCAGGTGGTTGAAAAGTTAACCATCAGCCAGCAAATATCTCCCATCGCTGCTGCCCCGGTGACTGTGGCTACATGTTGATACATCCCCAAGGCACCGGACTTTTTCCACCCACTTCATTGCACCTATTAGCATCAGCAGTTGGGTCAATCACTTCAGAGCCAGCTGCACCCCAGAGAGCAGCCTGATGACAGGCTCCAATCTTCTGCACCTCCTCTATCCAGTAATTTAGTGAATACAATAGAAAGACAAAATAATTATAATAGAAATTGAAGTTACCTGATTACATCATAAGTAATATAGGACACTGAATAATATACGTTCTCTTATCTGATCACATTGCAATTAGAACGTCCTCCAGAATCCACTAATTTCACCAAGATTATAAAACTGCAGGAGTGGGGGATGTGGAAAAGTAAAATACAAAGTAGATGGCTGGCTGGCTGGCTGGCTGGATGCATCGACAGACGGATGTGGGTAAGTGAAATAATAGATTGATAAATGCGGGGATTGCATGCTCAGTTGGTCCATTCGTTATCACATATCTTTCACTTTGGGAAACACCCATTACAGAAGAGTTACACTTACTTTCCTTGGATGGGACAGTAGCTTTTCGTTGCACCAATTAATATCCGGGCCGCCTCTGTTCCAAGGATCCCATCATTACACTGTTTTTCAAAGCTACTCTAAATGTACAGTTTTAAATGAAAAATACAAAGGATTAAAACACAAATGGATGACCTCTTTTAACCTTTACACTTTTATTATTGAACTGAATATGTGAAAATATATTGTTACCAAAAGAATTCTATAGCAGGAAATAAATTTCATTTAATTCAAATATTTAATGTATGATTATTTTTTACAAAGCATGGTACTGGATATTATAGATACAAAGGTTCCTAGGATCAAGAAGCTCAGAGTTTGGGGCCAGCACAGCATAGCAGGTAAAGCCACAGTCAAGAGTACTGGCATCCCATAGGGGTGCCAGTTCAAGTCTCAGCTGCTCTACTTCCCATCCAGCTCCCTGCTAGTGGCCCGGGAAAGCAAAAGAAGATAGCTCAAGTGCTTGAGCCCCTGCACCTGTGAGGGAGACCCTGAAAAAGCTCCTGGCTCCTGGCTTCAGCTTGGCCCAGTCATAGCTGTTGTGGCCATTTGGGGAGTGAACCAGCAGATGGAAGCTCGCTCTCTCTCTCTCTCTTTCTCTAGCTCTCTCTCGATAACTCTGCCTTTCAAATAAATAGAATAAATCTTTTAAAAAAGAAGCAGCATCTCAAAAGCTACCAAACTAAAAGCATTTTCTTCATTAATGCCAAACATCATCAGTAGCATCATGTTTCTACAGCACACAGAGAGTGGAAAGTATTCACTCAAATGTGACTAAGCATCTCTGCACACAAGGGCTTCTCAGAAGAGAAAGATGGCCTGGATTCTTGCATCACTTCCTCCTCAAAATAGGAGAAAAGTTACCTTTGGGGTGCCACTGATGCTAACCTCAGAGAGGAATATTACTCCCTGCTTAAATTTTCTTCCTCACATGTTGACTGTGGACTCTTGCCCTCCATTATTTATAAATGTTGTCTCCAACCTCCACTGCATTTAGCGTATTTTCCAAAGTGTTATAATTCTAGAGAATTCATGCCACCTATACCTCAAGGCCCTGGTCATCCATTCACCAGTTTCTTCCCCAGACATAGAAAGAGTATCTGCCCCTAGCATCTCTGACAAAGTGTATGCAGACTCTGAAACTGCCTTCCAAAGCATACGGGGCAGTGACCAAGCTGTCCTTATCCTGAGGACCAGTGGGGCACTTGGTGGGTTTCTCCACTTTGTAAACCTCCAAGATGGCCCTGGATGCCCGCAATGGAAGAAAGGAACATCGCAGAGGTTCAGCCCTGAGGCGTACTCATGAATGAATTATTATTATGCTTACAGTGACTCTAGGCCTGCACAACTAGACGTAGTTCTGGCTCAAGGAAAGTGTGATTAACTACTATGATGGAATGTTTGTCTATTTCTTAACTCGTCCTTTAAGCAAATATGTATTTAATGTCTACTCTGTTTCAAGCCCCGTGCAAGGACAATGGAAGTACAATCCAAGGCTGAAGGAGCTCGCAGTCGAGCGGGCAGGCGTGTTAGACACATGCAGCTAGCAAACAGTGTGGGAACTGGAAGAGGATGAAACAAGCACACCAGAGCACTGATCGAGCCTGCCGTGGAGACGAGTCAGAGGGGAGCTTTTAAGGAGATGAAACTTGAGCTCGTTTGGAAGGAGCACTGTGGTGGCCCAGAGGAAGGACAGAGGTGGAGAAGCAGAGATGGAGAAGGAGGCAGACTTTAAAATGAACACATATCCCATCTATGAGACATGAATTTATGAAGACGCATTTTATCATCAAGTCAGCATTTGATGTTACTAAGAAATCATTAATTTTAGGTGTAATATTTATATTTTACTGTGCCTTTTAAAATATTTTAGACCTGGCCAGTGTCGCGGCTCACTAGGTTAATCCTCCCCCTTGCGGCGCCGGCACACCAGGTTCTAGTCCCGGTTGGGGCACTAGATTCTGTCCCGGTTTCCCCTCCTCCAGGCCAGCTCTCTGCTGTGGCCAGGGAGTGCAGTGGAGGATGGCCCAGGTGCTTGGGCCCTGCACCCCATGGGAGACCAGGAGAAGCACCTGGCTCCTGCCATCGGATCATCGTGATGTGCCGGCCGTGGAGGCCATTGGAGGGTGAACCAACGGCAAAGGAAGACCTTTCTCTCTGTCTCATCTCTCACTGTCCACTCTGCCTGTCAAAAAAATATTTTAGACCTTAGAGAAGCACAGTGAAATATTTACCCATGAAATGACATTTAGGATTTGTTTCAAAATGGAGGTGGGGGAGTCAATGGGGAAATGTATGCACAGGGCAAGGCTGGAGAAGTGTGGATGTTTCCAAGGCTGAGTAACAGGTGTGTGGAGTTCACTGAACTCTTCTGTACACTTTTGTGTATGTTACAAATTCTTCCTAACAAATAAGGTTTTTTTAAAAAAATATTTATTTATTTATTCTTTTATTTGAAAGGCAGAGTGTTGGAGAGAATTGGAGGGACAGACAGAGAGAAGACAGGGACAGATTGAAGCCAGGAGACTGGGACTCCATTCTGGTTTCCTACCTTGGGTGGCAGAGGCCCAAGCACTTTGGTCATCATCCATTGCCTTCCCAAGTGAATTAGCAGGAAACTGGATTAGAAGCGGAGCAGCTGAGACTCAAACTGGCACTCCAATATGGGATACCAGCATTGCAAGTGGTAGCTTAATCCTTTGAACCACAATGCCAGCTCCTTAACAATATAATTTTTTAACAGCACAGCTACTTTTATTTTAAAAAATATGTATTTATTTATTTATTTGAAAGGCAGACTTACACAGAGGCAGAGGCAGAGAAAGAGAGAGGTCTTCCATCCGCTGATTCACTCCCCAAGTGGCCACAATGGCCAGGAACAGGGCCAATCCCAAGCCAGGAGCCAGGAGCTTCCTCCAGGTCTCCTACATGGCTGCAGGGGCCCAAAGATGTGGGCCATCTTCTAGTGCTTTCCCAGGCCATAGCAGAGAGCTGGATCAGAAGTGCAGCAGCCGGGACTCAAACCAGATCCCATATGGGATGCTGGCGCTGGAGGCAGCGGCTTTACCCACTATGCCACAGTGCCAGCCCCCAACAATATATTTTAAAAAGAAAGTAAAAAAGAAGAGCTATGGATATGGAAAGTATCTTATATACTTGTTATTGTGAATTATACTTGTTCTATTAGAACATAAACCCAATTGAAAATGTCCAATTTGATAAGTTGATTGAAACTTGTTTTACTTAGAATTCTTTCTGTTTATATCAGAATATTTAAATATTAGTATTACAACATTTTAAGAGAATTTCTGATTCTCCAAGCTCATCTTACTTTCTGCATTTCTAAGAATTCATTAAGAGCTTGAGAGAATTTTCTTTCCAAAAGTTTGACTCAAATATGTTAAATTTATAAAAGAAATTTCAAATATTTGAAGGTACTTAATTATCAAAGTACGCAAATGGCACCAAATATTATTCTAAGGACCCTCAAAAGTAACTGCTAAGATTTGCTAGACTTAGGATAATAAGATTTGTCACTTAAATCCTTTATTTTTTAGCTTTAATAAATCAAATATTCATTTTAGTAACCAATAGACTACCAGAACATGAAAAATGTTTTCTAGAAATCATATGTAAGGATTAATGGTGCTGAAAGATAAAAAGTTTCAAAGCAGATTAATTGAGCAGTACCAACCATTTGTATTATGGCTACATGCAACCTGGCTTCTTCTATCAGAACTTCATCTGTTGGAGACTCCTCTCGCTCTTTTCCATCTTTCGAAACACGGGAAAACTGATCATTATCAGACTGGATTTTAAAACATAAAAAGATAAAGCATTTAATTAAAAATATTGGGAGTCAGTGAGCATTACCTTCAATAAGGATTCCACAAGCTGAAAGGATAGGCTATGTGTGACTTGGATAATGTTTCACATATAAGAAACGCTGCTTTCCATTGTAGCAAATTACTTTGTATTGATTTGGAGAGATTTAGAAGCCAAATTCTTCTCCAGCCCTGTCTATGTTGGGCAGTTCTCTGAAGCAGCCCATGTTTTCTGCTGCTTACTTACATATACAGGGAGAGCTATCTCAGGACTTCAACCTACCGGAAACATGTTGGCAAAGGCCATTGGTTGATACACAACCAGCCAGTTAGTAAAAACACCCATTCTCTTGATATTTGACAAATAATGCTGGATCGCCAAGACCACCTCTTCTGAGACATAATTCAAAGAAAAGTCATTTCACCCAGATAGCAAAGCTAGCAAATATCTCCCCTGTTTTCTGACATTTGGCTGACAGAATCAGGGTCTTTATAACAGACTGAAGCAAGAGAGGCAGACCAGGGAGAGAAAGGAATAGCACTTTTTGCCAGGTATCAACTCACGGGAGTCACGTATTCCATCCTTGTTTTTTCTTCCACTAAGACCCAGTTAACACTTGTCAAAATTTTTTCTGTTTTAAACAGAGTGATTGTGTTCTGAATGATGTCCTGTATGTGCTGAAAGGCATTCTGCATGGCCATCTGTCTCGGGAGGGAGATAGCACACAGACCTGTGACAAAGACAGCAGGGAATTGAGAGTGCTGTGCAGACCCCTGGGAAACAAACAACACTGCACAATTATGGAGTGAAAACAGCCCAAACTGAGCGCTCAAACCTAACATTTTGCCCCAGAATTTTCCAAAAACTCACCCAAATATCTCCTTCCTTTTGGTTGTAAAACAGCTTTATCAGATTTAACTGCTAAAGACATGACTACTTCAAGGCACCTAAGCAGAATTTCTCAGTCTAAGCAGCTACCCTTATCTTCTATAGTAGAAGGGCTGTGGAAACTATACAAATCACACCCCCAGAATCTGACTGGCCTCAGAATTCGCATTTTAACAAGTTCTCCAACTGTTTCTGATATTTAATAAACTTTAAAGGGCACTGTACTAGGCGTTCCTCAAATTCAACATCCCTGTTTCCTGGCCATCAAATGTACATGTCTAAGATGTGTGGCAACTTCGTATTCTCTTCTTTGAGGCATGAATTTAAGTCATGGCCATGAGGCCTGCTGAATTTCACTAGTGAGTGACCCTGGCCTCCTCACTTACAATCTCGTCTCATACAGGTGCTCTCTCCCTCTGAGTGCAAATGAAAAGTCTCAGAAGGGGTTAAAATGATCTCTTGATGTTTCAGTTTGCCATTCTTGATAGGACACACTGTGTGCAACTGAAATTTGGGGGATTCAGAGGGGTCTGGTGGTATATTCTTCTCAAGGACTAGATCTGTTCACTACGAGCCAAGGCAAAATCGCACTTGACCGCATGCTGAAGAGGTAGCAGTTGCTGTGATTTTAAATTCCCATGGCTGAGACCAAAGAGAAAACGTACTCATCTTCCCACTTGGACTCTACTCATGTGATGGGACAAAAGCCACTTTCCAGGGGAAACATGAGCGTATGTGGGTCTCTTGGCGGCACCAATGCACTTGATGCACTCCTAGTGTTTAAGATGACCCTGGGAGGGGTGGGTGCTGTGGCATAGTGGGTAAAGCCGCCACTGGTTGCTTCACTTCTGATCCAGCTCCCTTCTACTGTGCCTGGGAAAGTGGTGGAATATGGCCCAAGTCCTTGGGCCCCTGTGTCCATGCAGGAGATGTGGGTAAAGCTCCTGGCTTCTGGCTTCTGGCTTCAGCCTGGCCTAGTCCTGACCACTGGAGCCACCTCTCTCTCTCTCTCTCTCTCTCTCTCTCTCTCTCTCTCTCTCTCCTTCTCTCTCTCTCTTTCTGCCTCTACCTCTACCTCTCCTCTTATGTAACCCTGACTTGCAAATAAATAAATCTTAAAAAAAGGATGATCCTGGGAGTGTCTGAGGAGGAAACCTCTTAAATTAGACCACATGAATAGAACAGTATTTTGCCAAGTACCTGTTAAGTTCATGCCACACAGGATGTCTAGAAATCATGAGCAGTGATTCTGAGTGGATAAAGTATTTTTTAGATTTTACTTATTTATTTGGCAGGTAGAGTTACAGACAGAGAGAGGGAGAGACAGAGTGAAAGGTCTTCCTTCCGTTGGTTCACTCCCCAAATGGCCACAATGGCTGGAGCTGCGCCGATCCGAAGCCCGGAACCAGGTGCTTTTCCTGGTCTCCCATGCGGGTGCAGGGCCCAAGCACTTGGGCCATCCTCCACTGCACTCCAGGGCCACAGCAGAGGGCTGGACTGGAAGAGGAGCAACCGGGACTAGAACTGGTGCCCATATGGGATACCAGCGCCACAGGCAGAGGATTAACCTAGTGTGCCACAGCTCCGGCCCCGATAAAGTATTTGCCATATAATTTTTACTCTACAGCAAATTAAATAAAACTCTAAAGTTGTTGATATAAACAGAGATGTACAGTAAAATCCTTTGTTGATCTCTGTTTTGAGTTCCAGAGTAGGAGAAATCACAAGAAAGCATAAGAGAAACACAGATATTATATCCTGAGCAAGTAGAGCTCTGGATCCCTTGGAATCACAGGAAAGTGGTGGAAAGGAAAGTGTGGACAACCCTCAGGGATCAACAGAACTTCCCTCGTGCTCCCATGTAGAAGCTTGCTCACCACGCACACTCCTGCAAACAGGACGAACCATAACAGGAAAACAGGAGGACTGGCAAAAACACGCCCCACCGCTGGCCCCACTCACGCGTCAGAGCCCTTGGCCTTGAGGTGGACAGATAGTGGGAACTCTGCAACAGTCCCAGGAATGGCCTTATGGGTAATGCTGGAAGAACGCCTCCGGGTGCTCCCCATGTAGAGGAAGCTCCTTCCACCCTCACTGTGACAAGTCAGGGTTATCCAGGAAATCGGCATTCAGATAACAACGGCAAATGTTTCAGACATAGAAGGAAATCATCATCATAGGAATTAGCAAACTGATTCTCTGGTCTATCTGTGAATATGTGAGTGTGGTGCGTGTAAACCTCCAGCGATCTGAGGACTTCTAGATACTCTGACACAATCAGGTCTCTGCGCCAGCAAAGCTGAGGACCAGGCCATGGCTTACGGGACAATACTAAGACGCTCCTCTAAGACTTTGCCTGGCCCTACCCAGCTGCTCCCACTCGCCATGACCCACTGCTGCCAGTGACCATACTCTGCATCTCCCTACGGACTGTTTCTGTTTTATCAAGTTTACACCTTTTGTTACAAATAGCCTGGAGTTCCTTTTCCAAAGCGGCAGCTGTGGCAGAGCTTGCTGACTGGAGCCCGGTATGCATTCTCCCCTTCCTGTTACCAGAGCATGAGTTTTGACTGCAAGCTGCCCTTCCCCACATGTGCCTATGTGGCTAAAAGACTGTGAAGAATGTGTGCACAGATTTCAAGAAAATTTTGCACCAAAATGAACTTGAGCTTTAATTCCATTTCCCACAAACGTTTTGAAGAGCCCTCGGCTATAACTTTGGGGTCATGCCTTTAAAAGGAAGCCCCCTACCTGCCATTTCCCCTTTCTAGCTGTTCGCACTGTGGACTTGCTGGGAGTGAGCAGGTTTCAACCCTGCAGGCAAGGGCTGAACACCCCCAAGAAGAGAGGGGCAACGAAAGAACAGGAAGCCCTGAGCCCCTGGACAACCCTTGAAGCAGAGACATCTTTCTCTGCTGGACTTGTGGGTGGAAGAAGAAAAGGCCCTTCTGCCTTACTTAAGCCTCTGTACGTGTGGTTTCTATTAAACAGACTCAACCAATATCTCCAATTAATATGGCATCTAAAGAATGAATGATTTGGTCTTTTTAAAAGATGTATTTTATTTATTTGAAAGACAAAGTTACAGAGAGAGGTAGAGACACAGAGAGAGGTCTTCCATCCGCTGGTTCACTCCCCAGATGGCCGCAATGGCCGGAGCTGCACCAATCCCAAGGCAGGAACCAGGAGCTTCTTCTGGGTCTCCCACATGGGTACAAGGGCCCAAGGATTTGGGCCATCTTTTACTGTTCTCCCAGGCCAGAGCAGAGAGCTGGATTGGAAGAGGAGCAACCGGGACTAGAACCGGCGCCCATATGGGATGCTGGCACTTCAGGCCAGGGGTTTAACCCGCTGCGCCACAGCACTGGCTCCAAAGAATGAATGATTTTCTAAACCAACTCCTTGAGTACCATAAGACATGTCCCGCTGACCCCCAGTAATAACCTATTTGCATTTTCCTCCTGAGGTAATCAGTGAATGATACAAATACTTTACCTAATGTCCTGGCGCACTGACTCATCATGTATGAATTTATGCCCATCGTCAATAACGATATTACTTGTACATAGAATACAAACTAAAAAACAAAGCACACAGAACAGAAACATTAGACAAGTTCTCTGGAAGTAATTTTTGTCCAATTAATTACCAACAAAATTTTGTCTTCATCTACAATTTTTGTCCTCCTTTTGATAAGTACGTTGAATCGATACAGCTGTTTTGTGGACACTGCTTGAACACAGTACACAGGAGCAGAAATTCATTTTCAATCAGCACGAGTAAAAACAATAGATTGTGTAGATCCTGGCATAAGGACACTGAGAAAAGAGCTCTCCACAGCTGCTACCCTTGGCAACAGTCATGCAGAGCTGGCACGGTGGCAGCCATTGAGACCCGGATGTAGGAACACAGGCTGGAGAGAAATCCTAGCCACATCTGTGAGCCTTCCCTGCCAACAGCATTTATCACGGCTGCACAAGAAACTCTCAGAGCAGTCTGTGGTGTGGCCCAGAAAGGCACTATGCACAAGCAGACACACAACCACACTTGCAGGCCTTGGCTTTGCCATGTATGGGTCATGTGATTTGGGGCCATTTAATCCCCCTGAGCCTGGGTGTCCTCCTTCACTGAGAAAGGCAGTTGATAACGGTATTTCCTCCATAGCGCTTTCCCAGACTCAACTGGTGCCAACAGTCACCTGAAGAGCCTGTTAACTTACAGACTCTCGGGCCTGGTGCTGTGGCATAGCAGTTAAGCCACCACCTGCAGGACTGGCATCCCATTTGGGCACAGGGTTCAAGTCCCAGGAGCTCCACTTCCAATCCAGCTCCCTGCTGGTGTGCCTGGGAAAGCAGCAGAAGACAGTCTAAGTTCTTGGGCCCCTGCCCATGTGGGTCCAGAGGAAGCTCCAGGCTCCTGGCTCCTGGCTTCAGATCAGCCCAAGCTCTGGCCGCCGTAGCCATCTGGTTAGTAAACCAGCAGATGAAAGATCTCACTGTGTCTCCCTCACTCTCTAACTCTACCTTTCCAATAAATAAATAAATATATTTTTTTAAAGTACTCGACTCCTTGGACCTTCTGGGACAGAAAGAACACAGCAAAAGAAAAACACCCTGAGCTAGAAAGCAGATAACATCAGGCCTCGCCTGCCCTACAGATTCCTTGGTGAGAGGGCAGGTCTTGTGTTGTCCAAGTGGACTTTGCCCCTCTCAGGAGAAAGTGTGGGGTTTATCTGACTGGGAGGTGGGATGAGGGGGCAGGTCCTGAGGGCTTCTAGCAGTGTATCCAGCTCACAGGGAATTTAAATTTCATTTCAACAAGTTCAATTTTAAAATTATCGTTGAAGACATATAAATATAGCTAGATCCCTGACTCAGCATTTTGTAGTGTTTGTTTCACTAGTACACTTAGCCAGTATTTCAGGTGTCATTGTAGCAACACGGATTAGATGTTCTCTTCAAGCACATTATTTTTTCATGCTCTCTGCCAGCTATTGAAACATAGCATTTGTGTGCTAAGCAACATTTTATTGAGCATTTATTCAGTATGGGATATTTCATTAATCATCACCTCAATCCTCAACTGGAAACAGAGGCTAAGGCAAGGCTCAAGAACTTCCCCAAGGTTACTGGAATATGAATGGTGGAGACAGGGCTGGGCCCCAGGTCTGTCCAAGACCCACAGCCATAATTGCTACATGACTGTCGGTCCCTTTCACATTGTCAACATACCTAAGCTTTCCTCAGAGTTCCTTTCTACAAAAAAAAAAAAAAACACTATAAATCTAACTCAAAACTCCAACAAGTGCTATAAAGTAAGTAAAAATGAATGAAACAACTCAGCGTGAGACAAGAGCTCTCCCACCATGTGTGGTGCCTCCACTTTCTTTTCAGCCAGATTATAAACATCGGGAGCCAGGAGTATGCTGAAGACGCCTTTAATTCCAGACCACGTGATAACAACTCCCCATCGCCAGTTGTATTCATAACTCCAGTACACCAAAATAGGGCTCACTAGAAAAACAGTAAGCAACCTGTGGAGAGAAAAACATTACAAATAAAAAATCACACGGTGAGTACTAAAGGCAGTGTTGAAACCAGACACTCAATCTAAGTTCTCATTTACATTTTTCAGTAGGGAGAAGACAGTGCATTTTACTGAGGAGTCACTCATACTTTCTGAAACTAAATCTACTGTCTAAAGTTTGTATATTATACTCATCTTGAAAAATCAAAGAAGTTCTACACAAATGCAAGGAAGTATCAACAATCCTAGTGCATACAGTTTGGATTTTGGAAGTAGATTCCAGCTGGGAAACTTCTTCAAAGAACAATGACGGGAGCCAGCGCTGTGGCTCACTTGGTTAATCCTCCACCTGCGGCGCCAGCAGCCCATATGGGCGCCGGGTTCTAGTCCCAGTTGCCCCTCTTCCAGGCCAGCTCTCTGCTGTGGCCCGGGAGGGCAGTGGAGGATGGCCCAAGTGCTTGGGTCCCTGCACCCGCAGGGGAGACCAGGAAGAAGCACCTGGCTCCTGGCTTCGGATTCGTGTAGCGCTGGTCGTGGCGGCCATTTGGGGAGTGAACCAACAGAAGGAAGACCTTTCTCTCTGTCCTCTCACTGTCTATAACTCTACCTGTCAAAAAAAAAAAAAAACCCAATGACAAACTCAATCTATTCTCTGAATGGCCATAAAATGACTGGAATCAGAAATTAGAATAGGAAACTGTATAGATCATGGCCTAAAATAAAATTATTATAGACACATTCATACTTTAATCCAACAAAACTTTTCTGGAGTGCCACTAACTGTTTTGCAAATAATTTCAATTTGTGTCTTTTTGCTTTCCAGGTCATATTTCCATAAGAAGATGGCTGGGGATGAGGGTGGCATTGTGGCATAGCAGGCAAAACTACCAGCTTCAATGCCAGCAAACCATTTGGGTGCCAATTTGAGTCCTGGCTGCTCTACTTCTGATCCAGCTCCTTGCTAATGGCCTGAGAAAGCAGTACTTGTGTCCCTGCACCACAGGGGAGACCAAGAAGAAGCCCCTGGTTCCTGCTTTCAGCTGCCCGCCCCCAGCCCTGACTGTTGTGGCCATCTGGGGAGTACATCAATGAATGGAAGACCTTTCTCTCTCCCTCTCTCTCTCTCTCTCTATCTGTAGCTCTGTCTTTCAAATAAATAAATAAATCTTGAAGAAGAGGGAGGAGGAGGAGAAGGCAAAGAAGAAAAGGAACAAAGGAAAGAAGGAAGGAAGGGGGGGTGGAGAAAATGGCTGAGGAGATCATTATCTGTCCTAAAATTTAGACTCTCCTTCAAGAATCTGTACCAAGCGAAGTATCAGCACTGTGCTTCAAATGATTTAGAGCAAATGAGTTTTCAGCAAAATAAAATCAGACATATTCTTAGCCTCAAAAAAAAAAAAATAGGAACTGTATCAATTGCTCAGCTAGAGACTGCACAAGTCAATTCAGAAAAGTCCCATCACTGGGAAACAGAAAATATGTAACTACGGCCTGTACTCTATGTAGTTGATTTCAGCAAACTCCTCTGCCTCACATTCAAACCTTTCCCAAAGCAACTCTTAAACAATCCTTCCAGCTTTACTAAATAATCTTTCCCTAAAATATCACCAAGTCCAGCGCCAGTGCCATGGCACAGCAGGTAAAGCCTCTGCTGTGGCACCAGCATCCTATATGGGAGCCAGGTTTGAGTCCCAGGTGCTCCACTTCCGATCCAGCTCCCTGCTAACGTGCCTAGGAAATCAGCAGAGGATGTCCCAAGTGCTTGTTCCCCTGCACCCACATGGGAGACCGGAATAAGCTCCTGGCTCCTGGCTTCAGCTCTGGCCACTGCAGCCATTTGGGTAATGAACCAGCAGATGGAAGATCCCTCTATCTCTCTCGCTCTCGCTCTAACTCTGCCCTTCAAATAAATAAATCTTTAAAAAATACATATCATTGAGTCCAGCCAAAACGAATGGCAACGTAAGTCATTTCCTGGTATCAAAAGCAGAGAGGCAGCATGACAAGACTGAAGTCCTTCTACCTGGAGTAACTTAGGCTTTCCCTTTACAAACTACATAGACTTAAGCAAGTCATTTAGCCTCTTGGTTCCTCGGCTTCTTTTTCTGTAAAACGAAGGTGATAATAATAACTGTACTTGCCTCAAAGGGTTGTGGTGAACATTCCACTAAATTAATCAGCACTCAGGGCTTAGAATGACGCTTTGAAAGTAGTCAGCACTCAAGACATAATCATGCTTATACACAATAGATTTATGTCTCAGGACATAATAGTCAGAAGTGGTTATTAAGTCTGTGCCTTCCCATTTCTTTGTCTTGGCTCACCCTCTCTGAAATGTTTGTCTCAACAAGTCACTCACGGAGAGGCCACCCAGACTTCGAGAGCCCACTTAAAGATGAGTCCATCCTTTAAATCCTCTCCCCTAGTGAGGTGGAGACAAGTTCAGCCACATGGCCTTGGGCAAGGGGTTTAGCTTTTCTTTGACAATCTTGTCGTCTATGAGATGGAGGCAATAGCTCTTACATCCTAGTGTATGAACATGAAGATGACATGAGATCATGGATGGATAGCTGAGTCAAACAATGTACAAAAAGCTGTGTATTTTTCCTTAAACTCTGACTAGTCTCAGCATGCAAGTGGGTTCCCATGGCAGAGAGCAAGGCAGACTTTCAAAGTAAATAATTCAGTTTTCTTGTCATTTAAAGGGTTCTTTCAATCTGGTTTTACCTGTGCAAATAGTCAACTTAACGTTTCCTGTAAAGAGTGGTTTATCCTGTTTCACAAGATGTTTAGCCCTGCCCCCCCCCCCCAAGATGGGTGTAGGAGGAAATTAACATGACTCCTGGCATCAGGGCCAACTTTGCAAACAGTTGTATATTCAGTTAGGTATCTTGAACTACTTGTGTTAGAACTTTGGCCCCCTTTTTTTTTTTTTTTTTTTTGTCTGACAGGCAGACAGTGAGAGAGAGAGAGAGACAGAGAGAAAGGTCTTCCTTTGCGTTGGTTCACCCTCCAATGGCCGCCCGCGGCTGGCGCGCTGCGGCCGGCGCACCGCGCTGATCCGATGGCAGGAGCCAGGAGCCAGGTGCTTTTCCTGGTCTCCCATGGGGTGCAGGGCCCAAGCACCTGGGCCATCCTCCACTGCACTCCCTGGCCACAGCAGAGGGCTGGCCTGGAAGAGGGGCAACCGGGACAGAATCCGGCGCCCCGACCGGGACTAGAACCCGGTGTGCCGGCGCCGCTAGGCGGAGGATTAGCTTCTCTTTTTTTCTGCGACAGCAGAGTGGACAGTGAGAGAGAGAGAGACAGAGAGAAAGGTCTTCCTTTGGCGTTGGTTCACCCTGTTTTTAACACATCTACTCAGAAGTGTTCTTGGTCGACTTTTCTCAGGCCAGTGCACAGTGATCCCTAGGATTGCCTGACTGTCTCCTCCTGCAGAACTCCCGAAGTCTGTGACCACACCCATCTGATCCTAGGTCTGTATGGTCTCCTATGCTATGCTCAATTACAGGGGCACTTGGAGACCCCTCTGGAAAACTTAATCTTCTGAATTCCCCACAGAGAAGAAAATAAGGTCTGGACTCCCTCCACATCACATACAGACTACGTAGGGATTGAAGGGTCTATCCGAGGCCTATTTTCCATTTACCCATGCTAACCTACCATTTCTACTCAGTAGCACTAGCCTTGTATTGACCGTTGCTCAACTCATTCCATTAAGCTTGTGTTTTCTCAGCATCCAAGAAATGGTGAAGGTGAAGTGGCCTCTCCACCTTGTCTCAACCACTTCTCATCTCTATTTTTAGCAAAGGTTCTACAGCCTCTTCTCTTCCTGTTTGTCATATTATCCATCACCTATACTATGGTTAAAATAAAAACATGCAATGATCCTAATCTACCAAGCGTGCCTTCTGATAAGGAAAAAAGACTGCTTTTAGAATTTAGCAAAATATTCTCTTCTTTAGCAAAATTTGGCTTTTAGGACTGTTATCTCATTGTGAGTTTGCAAAAATATGTGAAAGTCAAGAGCTAAATATGGACCCTTTATTTCTTTTTCTTTTTTTTTGTTATTTGACAGGTAGATTCATAGACAGTGAGAGAGAGAGAGAGAGAGAGACAGAGACAGAGAGAAAGGCCTTCCTTCCATTGGTTCACTCCCCAAATGGCCGCAACGGCCGGCGCTGCACCAATCCGAAGCCAGCAGCCAGGTGCTTCCTCCTGGTCTCCCATGCACTTGGGCCATCCTCCACTGCCTTCTCAGGCCACAGCAGAGAGCTGGACTGGAAGAGGAGCAACCAGGACTAGTACTCAGTGTCCATATGGGACGCCAGCACCACAGACGGAGGATTAACCTAGTGAGCCACAGCACCGGCCTGGACCCGTTATTTCAGCATTCCATTTAAAATCTTCATTCTCCCTCTTTGGGCTGTATTGAGAAAAGGTCATATATGGAGTGGTGCAAAAATTAACAACACGTAAACCTATTACAGAAAGAGCATCCCCAATATAGTGGATGCTATCATGTTCCATCCAGGCACCTTCTTCAGGGTTCACACATCCATCCCTCTTCTAATAGGAATTTAAAGTTTTAAGTCACAGCAGACGTTTGATGCCGTGGTTAAGACACCACATGGTATGCCCACATCCCACATCCAAGTGCCTGGGTTCAAGTCCCAGCTCTGTTCTGATTCCAACTTCCTGCTAGTGCACACCTTGGGAGGGTGCAGCTGATGGCTGAAGTACTTGGGGAGTGAAGTAGCAAATAAAAGATCCTCTCTCTCCCTCCCTCCCTCCCTTTCTAATAAATAAATGAAATTTTAAAAATAAAAACAAAATTTTAAGTAGAGTCTCATGGATCCAGTCCCTCGTGGCACATTGCTCTGAGCCCTAGGAACCAGCCCCACTCAGAGCTGTTCCCCTCTCAAGGGACAGCCCTTGGCCAATGGTTGCATGATGCAGGAATACAAAAGACTGTCCCCTTGTCTCAAGGTGGGACAGTTCCAAAGGGCTGTCCTAGCTCCACAGCTCTACATAGATCAGCTGAGGCTTAGCTGAAACTGTGCTATGGGGTTAGCTTCTCCCTCTGCCCAAACATCAGCCTTCCCCTATTGCCCGATAAATCTGCCCACAACTCACAAAACTCTCCCTCCCAGAGTTTGTTTCCAGGAAGCTCAATGACTCCTTGAAATATGTGAATCCAGCACAGAGCAGACATTCTACAGAACCCCGCAACTTGGGGCTGGCTGTGGCACAGTCACCATCCTCTGTGTCTATTCAAGTCCCAGCTGCTCTACTTCTGATTCAGCTTCCTGCTAATGACCCTGGGAAAGCAGCAAAAGATGGCCCAAGCACTTGAGCCCTGCCATCCATGTGGGAGACCCAGAGGAAGCTCCTGGCCCGGCCCCAGTCATTGCAGCCATTTGGGAAGTGAACCAGCAGATGGAATATATCTCTGTGTGTCTATAACTCTGCTTTTCAAATAAAAATTAACAAAAAAGAACCCCACAACTAGCTATGAAGTCCTGAATATATCATTTAAGCATCCTTTATGAAGTACGCATCTCTGTATGTAACAATTGTTTCTCTCACATATTCCGCTAAATAGATTGTAAACTTCTTGAAGAGACATAGTGAGTCTTAACCATCTCTTTGAACCCTGCGATTTCAAACAGGAAATCCTATTTGTGTTCACACAGATAGACTTTCAAGTTTTATACGCAGTCACATCCATTAACAGATTAGTAACAATTTTTCTGTTAGGCTTAAAAATATACACATCAAGGGTAAATGACTTTATAAAAAGAAAGTACAAGATTCTCTTGTCCACAATTCACACTCCTCAGTTGGGTATTTTAGCGTTTGTACCTTTTCATTGCTATGGATATCACTCCAATGAAGCCCTTTTGAGTAAATCATTGTCCACATTTAAAAAAAAATAACAGCTTTACTGAAGTATACAGATGCACATACTTAGCACGTTGCCCACAGTTTTTTTTTTTTTACTTAGTAAATAAAATTTTCAAAGTACAGTTAATGGATTACAATGGCTCCCCCCCCATAATTTCCCTCCCACTCACACCCCTCCCATCTCCCGCTCCCTCTCCCATTCCATTCACAGCAAGATTCATTTTTAATTATCTTTATATACAGAAGATCAATTCAGTATATATTAAGTAAAGATTTCATCAGTTTGCACCCACACAGAAACACAAAGTGTAAAATACTGTTTCAGTACTAGTTATAGCATTACTTCACATTGGACAACACACTAAGGACAGATCCCACATGAGAAGTAAGTGCACAGTGACTCCTGTTGTTGACTTAACAAATTGACACTCTTGTTTATGGCGTCAGTAATCTCCCTAGGCTCTAGTCATGAGTTGCCAAGGCTATGGAAGCCTTTTGAGTTCACCGACTCTGATCATATTTAGACAGGGTCGTAGTCAAAGTAGAAGTTCTCTCCTCCCTTCAGAGAAAGGTACCTCCTTCTTTGATGGCCCGTTCTTTCCACTGGGATCTCACTCGCAGAGATCTTCCATTTAGGTCTTCTTTTTTTTTTTTTTCCCAGGTGTCTTACATTGCCCACAGTTTTAGTCACATTCCCAGGAAGGGTGTGATGGTTAATGTTAGGTGTCAGCTTGACTGGGATTTAGGAATTCCTAGAGAAGTGGTAAAGTGTTACTGTGAGGTGTGTCTGTGAAGCTGCTCCCAGAGGAGACTGGTGTGTGAGTGAACCAAGCAGGGAAGATCTATGCTTAACGTGGCAGGCACCCTATAATTCCCAGGTCCCAGAAAGAAAATAAATGGCAGAAAGGTGGTCTCTCTCTTTCTCGCCCATCAGAACCCCAGGCTGTCTGGCTTTTGGACCCCAGGCTTAGGGGTTGGTGCCCATCCTCTTGATCCTCCTGGGTGTTCTCTTGGCCAGCAGCTCATTCTTAGAGGAGCCCTTTCTCTTAATTTTCACATAATTGGTCCTCTAACCTGCTCCCTTGCTCTCCTCTCTCTCTGCTTCAGTGGCAAAAGCCTCCTTGCTCTTTCTGCTAACCAGTCCCTCCCTTAGGACCTGCACACTCACGAATTATCTGCCTTAAAAACTCCCTGGCTATCTGCCCAGCTCCCTGAAGCCTTTAACATCTTCACACACATGTCACGTTCTCAATGGAGCCACCCTGACCATAAATATACATGCACAAACAACGGTTAAAGATGTTGAGACAGAGTCAGAGGGAAGGCAAGATGGCTGCGGACTTGTCAGCTGGATAGGAGTAGCAGGCAGGCGCCAAAGTGAGGCCCAACATGGCACAGTGGGGGTGCGGGTGGCAGGTAGGTCTGTGCACACATCCCTCTGTGTGCCAGTGACGACTGAGCTGCAGGTGGAACCTTCAGAATCAGCAGAGGCTGGGAGAACATTGTATCAGGTAAGCTCCCTTGGCCAGTATCCTGGTGGAAATGGCAGTATTTTTGGAGACATTCTCATGAAACCTTATGGAAGACACCATTACCACTGGCGGTAGGCAACCTCGTTCTGAAGACATGTGCTCAGAGCCAGGTTCAAATCTGCTCTGCCTTTGTAAGTTGAGTGACAGCAAGTTTAAGCTCTCTGAGCCTTGTCTGGAATGATGCAGCAGCAGCTACCTAACAAGACTGCATTCATATCAGTGACATATTGTCGTAGCTGGTAAGTGCTTCGCAAATGGCCTTATCATAGTTACTGATCATAATAAATGAGGCCACAACGAAAACGTTCAGACCCATTCATCTGGTCAAATAGTGCTCAGACGAGAACCGCCTAGAGAACGTGTTCCACTGTTTCCTGGCTCTCCTCTCCAGAGATTAAACCACAGACTGGGATGGGTCCGTGAGTTTGCCTTTCTATGTAGGCCATGGATAATGTCATTGCTGCTGGACTCTGCCCTCTTCTTTTATGGATGAAACCTTGATAAATAAACAGTTTCCTCAAGTCGAATAGCAGGCGATTGCAAGGCCTTGACCACAAGGCAGGTTTCCTGACTTAACACCCAAAGCTCATTTTGTTATCCCCTGTGCTTTCCAAGCCTAATTCTGGGCTTGAGAACCGAAATTCTTTAAACAGTCTCGGAAATGTGATTCTTACCTTACAAAGTTTACTGTTGCAAATAAGATGGACATAAAAGCCACAGTGTGAAAACCAAAATGTTTTGTTTCTCCACATCCAATCACGATGCCAAAGAAAGTGTATATTAAATGCTGGTAGACAGATGACAGCATCACCAAGAACCTAGGATAAATTAAAAAAAGAAAAATGATAATTTAAGCAGTGGAAAATATGCTTTAAATATTTTCCATTTCACATAAAAGCATGTATCTTGTATCTACCACTCTCCTCTTAATAGGAGTGCTTCCCTTGGGGCCGGCGCCGCAGCTCACTTGGCTAATCCTCTACCTGCGGCGACAGCACCCCAGGGTTCTAGTCCCCTCTCTTGGGGCTCTCTCTTACAGGTCACTGGGTAAGTATGTGTGCCCCCAAAACCATCTCCTTACAGATGATCTCAAGAAACAGCCACGTTTTAGTTTGCAGACACGAGCCGCGTTCTCGGATACGGCATTACACCAGTCAAGTACAAGGTCTGGCTGTAGGTGATTCCTCTCTCTTGATTCATGGATTACTACATAGAAAAGATGTGAGCGGGAGGGCCGAAAATTCCAGCGCTTGTTTTTCTGTGAATTCAGCAGTCACGAAATAACTGAGTTGAATACTCTTTTAAAAATCTCTCCACAGGACCTGAAAAATGCCTTACATATAACCAGATCCAAATAAAAACATAATTATTCACATTTATCATTAGTTTCTTATACAGTATGTCTGCCACTTCATAGTAAGTATCTTCTGAGAAGGGACTCATTTCCATAACCCCAAACCTAAAATGTAACATCCAGGCCACAGCAGACATTTTGAGAAAGGGTTGGTTGAGTGGGTGAAACAATAAAAATTGAGTGAATAGAATGTGTAATTTACAATGAAGCTTACAGACAGAGTGACTAAGCCCAGGAAACCGCCCAAATTCAGAAACACCACCAAGTGTACGTGTGTTCTATAAACTAGCTGTTCCTAAACGACTGGATTTTAAAAACCAATAACACTTTATCGACATGCACACAAACAGGTGCCAATTTATTTTATTTTGCCAAGTAGGAAAACAAAAAAAGGACCATCTTATATCCCTGAATTTTCGTAACAGGAAGGACATCTTGGACACCAAAAGTAGGAAGGATGTAATTTCAGAATAAGGGGTAGTTCTTTCAATTAAATAAATTGATTTTCATGGAAAAATTTGAGATTATGGTTTACTTTTCTCATTTCAATATTTGTTCTCATCCAATGAGAGAACTTTTACAACACAGTGGACTGTGATTTGGTAACCAATAATTCTGAAATAATTCTGTAATTCAGCATAGTCTTTCAGAGAATTACTGATTTATTTTTCTGTGAAGACAGCAAATGAACTTGCCTGTGCCCAGAGACAGCCATGGGACATTTCGCCTCACCAGGTGGAAAGGGTAGGTGAGAGCTGTTCTGGTGCTGCCTCTCCAGTATTTTTCTTTCCCAGATTAGAATACTGTCCTTCAAGCATCTTAAGAAGGAAACAAAGGGCCAGCACCGCGGCTCACTAGGCCAATCCTCCGCCTGCGGCGCCGGCACCCCGGGTTCTAGTCCCGGTTGGGGCGCTGGATTCTGTCCCTGTCGCTCCTCTTCTAGTCCAGCTCTCTGCCGTGGCCAGGGAGTGCAGTGGAAGATGGCCCAAAGTCCATGGGCCCTGCACCCGCATGGGAGACCAGGAGAAGCACCTGGCTCCTGGCTTCGGATCAGCGCAGTGCACCGGCCACAGCGCACTGGCCGCAGCGGCCATTGGGGGGTGAACCAACAGAAATGGAAAACGTTTCTCTCTGTCTCTCTCTCTCACTGTCCACTCTGCCTGTCAAAAAAAAAAAAAAGAAAAGAAAAGAAAACAAAGGGGGGAAAACTCTTTTTTTTAATTTCCACAATTCAAAGTAATAAAATAATTAATATTGATAACTTTTTGTACCTTAAGTTTTTTTCAAATATAACAACTGGTATCAAAATTAATATTTTTTTATTTGATTTTTTTTAACTTTTATTTAATGCATATAAATTTCCAAAGTACGACTTATGGATTACAATGGCTTCCCCCCCATACCGTCCCTCCCATCCACAACCCTCCCCTTTCCCACTCCCTCTCCCCTTCCATTCACATCAAGATTCATTTTTGATTATCTTAATATACAGAAGATCAGCTTAGTATACTTCAAGTATGGATTTCAACAGTTTGCTCCCACACAGAAACATAAAGTGAAAAATAATAGATGATTTTTTTTAAATGATGATGAAATCAGATCAGACCTATTGTCATGTTTAATCCCAGTGAGAGTCAAGGTGGGAATTGATAATTTTCTCTTTTTCTTTTTACAGAGGATCAGTTTAGTATGCATTAAGTAAGGATTTCAACAGTTTGCACCCCCATAGAAACACAAAGTGAAATATATTGTTTGAGTACTCGTTATAGCATTAAATCTCAATGTACAGCACATTAAGGATAGAGATCCTACATGAGGAGTAAGTGCACAGTGACTCCTGTTGTTGACTTTACCAATTGACACTCCTGTCTATGGCATCAGTAATCTCCCTATGCTCCAGTCATGAGTTTCCAAGGCTATGGAAGCCCTCTGAGTTCTCCGACTCTTATCTTGTTTAGACAAGGTCATAGTCAAAGTGGAGGTTCTCTCCTCCCTTCAGAGAAAGGTACCTCCTTCTTTGATGACCTGTTCTTTCCACTGGGATCTCACTCGCAGAGATCTTTTGCCAGAGTGTCTTGGCTTTCCATGCCTGAAATACTCTCATGAGCTTTTCAGCCAGCTCCGAATGCCTTTAGGGCTGATTCTGAGGCCAGAGTGCTATTTAGGACATCTGCCATTCTATGAGTCTGCTGAGTATCTCACTTCCCATGTTGGATCACTCTCCCCTTTATTTACTCCATCGGTTAGCATTAGCAGGTACTAGACTTGTCTATGTGCTCCCTTTGACTCCCAGTCCCTCCACCATGACCAACTGTGAACTGAAACTGATCACCTGGAACAGTGAGATGGCATTGGTACATGCCACCTCGATGGGATTGAATTGGAATCCCCTGGTATGCTTCCAACTCCACCACTTGGGGCAAGTCAGCCTGAGCATGTCCCAAATTATACATCTCTTCCCTCTCCCATTCCCACCACCATGTTCAACAGGGATCACATTTCAGTTAATTTTCAACACTTAAGAATAACTGTGCATCAATTACAGATCTAAACCAGTCATATTAAGTAGAACAGATAAAAAAACTACTAAGAGGGATAATGTATTAATTTTTAAGGATGAAAAAACTTAATGGGAGTTTTATTATTGTCCACAAAGGAAGGACTTTTTGTTTAAAAGATTTTTATTTATTTATTTGAAAGTCAGAGTTACACAGAGAGGAAAGGCAGAGAGAGAGAGAGAGGTCTTTCATCCGATGGTTCATTCCCCAATTGGCTACAACAACCGGAGCTGATCCGATCCGAAGCCAGGAGCCAGGAGCTTCTTCCGGGTCTCCCACGCAGGTGCAGGGGCCCAAGGACTTGGGACTTCTTCTACTGCTATCCCAGGCCATAGCAGAGAGCTGGTTCAGAAGTGGAGTAGCCAGGTCTCGAACTTGCACCCATAAGGGATGCTGGCGCTTCAGGCCAGGGCATTAACCCACTGTGCCACAGCACCAGCCCCAAGGAAGGACTTTTTAAGCCCCAAATTTCTTTCTATGAGATTCCAAATACACAGTAGGTAACTTACTTAGTAATTACGAACTCCATCTTTGGTTTAAAGCTTAAGGAATCCAAATTCAGTCCAACAGTGATTAAAGCAACAATGCCTGACATTCCGAAAAATTCCACTGGGGAGAAAAAAAATAAATGAGTAAAACTAAATGCAGTCACATCTGCACACTGAGACACTTAATCTTGACTGAAGAAACTTGGGAGCAGTATTTTTTGGAAGGCTGCCTCAAGGGATTGTCTTCACACTGTCGGCCAGGGGCTGGCAGACTTGTCTGTAAAGGTTCATATTGGTAAATCGTCGGTGGACCACCCAGCACCTGTGTCCACTCTGCAAAAGCAGCCACAGGTAACCGGCAAAGCAATGAGTGTCCCAGACAATCTTACTCACAGACACTGAAACCTGAATTTACATAATTTCCACAAGCCACAGAATATTTTCTTTAGTTTTATTTCAATCCATTTTAAAATACAAAAACCATTCCTAGTTAGCAGGCCACCAAGCCCTGCAGTAGGCTGCCCTTGAGGACAGGGAGTTGTGAACCAAGCTCAGCAGGTCCACAGCGACTGCGCTGCCTGAAGCCTGCTTTTCCTTTGCCTTAGACCTCCCTAATTAAAGCTGCACTTTGCTGGGCTCTACACAAATGCGTGGATATTGTGAACACCAGCAGTCCTAGACCGCAGAGTCTTCAACCAGCACGTTGCCAACACCAGGCAGAACAGGAAAGGTAGAATGGCAGAGTTTCGGAGCAGGGCAGAGCTGGGCGCTCCAGGGACGTGTCCTCCCATCCCCCTCCGTACCCTTTCTTCTGCAGGATAGGAATGGAACAACACGCCTCATCTGCTCTCGTGAGGATGAGCTTAGATCTCATTCAAAGTGCCTGGCACATTTCTAAAGCAATGACTAAATGGTAGTTATTATTGGGCTAGTGTTTTTCTCTATCGATTGCCTACTAACCTTGTAGATCTCACATTCCACAGCTATTAAATGTTTAATTAAATCCCTCATAGAATCAGCTGAAAAGCTTTTACGGTGCTGTTCAGTTAGCACAAAATAATCAGACCTCTTAATTCCGAAATACATTTGGATAAACAGTTGATTTTAACTGAATAGAGCTCAAATGATGAACTTCTTGGCTGCATATCTGAATGAAAACATAAAGAATCCCTGCTGTTTCATTAGATGACTTCCCTATATCAACTGGAAAAGCGGCATTTGAGGGTCAGGAGGCTTCTAATATGCAAGTAATGCTACAAGATTTAGGAAACCCCATTCCAGCCCTCTGCTTTCAACTCACAGAAGCACCTAAAGATTTTCTGCGAAAAGGGGAAAGGAACAAACACTATTTTACTGCTCTACCTTGAGCCCTGTAGTGGGCTGGTAAATGTTTAAAACCAGCTCCCTGGAGGTAAAACAAAAACAAACCATTTTCATTTGCGTATCTTTCAATTTCCATGGTGTAAGAATTCCCCCAAGACACCAAACACGATGTCACTGGAACCTAGAGTTGAGAAGAGATGTGCAAAACCAACTTTCGCAAGCCAGAAAAAGTTACCTGCAACACACCTGCAGAGTCACATAACACATATCATCTCATCAGTTCCTGCAGTACCTTCTGAAAATTATATCACACTTATGGCTGAAGAAACTGAAGCTTAGAGAAGTCAAGTGGTCTTCCCAACGTCGCTAAGCAGGTAAATGGTGCCCCCGTGATCTGAACTCAGGTCTGCCTACCCAAAAGGTCTCCAAGGACCATCGTCAGCTTATTCAGCCAGCATGTGTTCAACAGCTACCGGGTATGTCCAAGCCCTGAATCTGGCTGAGGGGAGATGGAAAAGAGAACAGGAGACAGACGGTTAAGCCAGAGCCTCCAGCTCAAGGAACTCGGTGTCTAGTAAAGAGATAGCCCGATTCAGCTTTTAGATTTTCTTCAGACTTTTAAGGCATCCTAAGAGCTTCACAGGGAAAGAAAAGGAGAGAGTTTTCAGTGAGTCATTTCTACAATTGCACTAATGCAGGACAGTGACACTGAGGTAGCAATTTGTCTGAAGAGGAAGCAGTGCCTCTGGGTAACTGATGGTGAAAAGAGGGGCAACTAGCCTCTTGCTGGCACCTGAGGTCTCTCACAGATAGCAGCCGCTTCCCTGGGAGCTGAGAGCAAAGGTGGACTTCCATGCTTGGGCCCCGGGTGCCGTGGGCCATGGGAACTGGTTACCTCCCTCAGGCCTGCTAACACGCTCATTCACAGTTTCACTGGGCTGAACGCTGAAGACGGCCCACCAGAGCTGGGTACTCTTACTCCTGCTTCTCTTCCAGACACAGATATACCCGTTTCTCCCTCTCTGCTCCTCCTCCTAGCCGCAGATAAGCATCACCGTTGTCACAATCTCCTCAGTGTGGTGCCCATGGAATTCAAGGCTACTGAGCTGCAAAGTCTCATTTTACAGGGGCGGTGCTCAGGGTCAGAGCGGCAGCGAGCAGTGTTGGCTCCTCTTCTTGGGCTTTGCCTGTGACTGTATATAAGGTCAAAGGGTAGGGCTCACAACAGAATAAGGAATAACCACAGAGAGGAATGCCAAGGAGGAGGGGCATGGAGTGGAAACAAAAAGAATGTTCAGAGAGCAGGAGCGAGCTAGAGATTCCCATCTAAATAATTGTTACCCAAGAATTAACAGAAGATGATAGTACAGCAGTAAGACTATGACAAGACACATGGAGGGGTCACAAAAAGAGAGACGTTGTTAGGAAGAAGCCACCGGATTTAAGGTCACAGGGAACTATAAAGTCTAAAGACAGCATTTCTTAGTATTTGTTTCTGCCTTACCAACGAAGAAAGTCATGTACACCATTGAAAAGCAAAGAATGACGTTAGTCAGCGTATTGCTAAAAAGGTCAGTCAATATGAACTGGATGATTCTTGAACACCAGTATCCACATATTGTACTTCCAAAGATGTCCAAGATGAGTCCCATGACTACGTGCAACTCTAAAAACAAAAGAAAATGACAAACAAAAGAAACTGAGATGTAACTTTGGTGTCTTGTTTATGGCACTTCAGCCTGCTCTTGAGAGTTTGAGCTCTTCAGCAGAAGAGTGTCCCATGAAAGGGCTGGCAAGAGAGGCTCTCTCCGAAGACCCTTCCCCTACAGCCTACAGCTGGGCCTTTGTCCATGGACATCAGAGTTAAATATCCCCTGGGAGGCAGGCAGGAATAACAAACATGAGAACCCTGTGACAAACGGGAAAGTGAATGTCCAAACAGAAGACATCCAAATTCAGGTTTTTTTTTTTAATAAACTACAGCAGGAACAAGAAAACCACATTCAAGGTTCCTGCCAACCTGCAGTCAGTTTGTGACCTGTGCTCCCAGCCCAAGAGAATCTGGGAAGTGAATAGGAGAAATTTTCACAATAACTAAGGACACCAGCAGTAGTGAACATCAGGGCAGTGCCAAATGACAGGGTCCTAACTGACAAAAGTCGTCCCACTCCTAAATGTCTACACCTCTCATAGAAAAGCACGTCATACTTCTCCTTATCTAATAATATCTTTTCTCCTTTTCAAACTTTAAAGTTTATTTTCATTTTTATCTGAAAGGCAGAGAGACAGAGACAGAGAAAGATCTTCCATCCACTAGTTCATTCTCTGAAGCTCACAATGAGCCAGAGATGGGGCAGGCCAAAGCGAGGAGCCTGAAACAATCCAGGTCTCCCCCAGAAACCTATTAGGAGGACGCCTTTTCCTCCCTCATTCTGTGATTACCACCACCATCCCCCACCCCTTACTTGTCTACTAGTATCACATCTGGAAACCTAGCAAGGAAACACTGTCCATATCCTAGTGAGCTTTAGCCAATGGAATCCAGTGGTCACTTTGAGGGCCTGACTGGTCAGTTCTACATGAACCACTCTGCTTTCACCCTCACACCCAAATCCAGGGTCAAGCCTATTACCAAGATCCACTCCTTGAGATGCAGACTGACCCGGGAAAGCAGTAAATCCGAGCCAGTGATCAATAGTGTGTGTACACGCATGCATGTATGCACAGTGAAGGAGGTGAAAGGGAGAGTCTCTCAACATGTAAGAAACACAGAGCTGAGAACTGTTTTCTGCTACCTGATACAGCATGTTAATTGATCCAATAGTAAAACAGGGAAAGCTGTAAAATCTAGACATCTTGAATGCACTTTCATTTCAATAAGAATGATTTTAGAACACACACAGATCCAAAACATTCTCCTACCTCTAAACAGAGTAATGTGCATTGGGCTGCTCCGAAAAATTCCAAAAAAAATGGCTGTGAAACCACAAATGACCAGTGATTCTCCTCTAATGATATCAGTATACATTTTAGAGACTCCTGGAAAAAGAAATAAAAAGCATAATTAATGAAGAACATGAGAATTATGCTGTCACACGAGAAACAGGAAAAGGACTAGACCAGGAGAGAAGAAGAGCGCAGCCTTGACTGGCGCGCTGTTAGACAGCTCGGTCACCAGCGCTGAGCCTCTCCTTTGTGCCTGCTGCTTCCCGGATGGCAAAGGGACAGGGCAGTGCCCGCTTCGTGCTGCCCAGCGCCGCACTTGAGTTTCAGAATGAGACAAATGCTCCACAGGCACAGCGTGTGGCTCGAATAAACAAGAAGCAGACTCCAGAAGAAACTCGTTTTAGTCATACATACAAAGAATGGCTCAGCAAAATTCTACTCCTAGGTTTTCACAAAAGAGAATTGAAAATACATGTCCCCGGCTGGCGCCTCGGCTCAATAGGCTACTCCTCCGCCTTGCGGCACCGGCACACCGGGTTCTAGTCCTTGTCAGGGCGCTGGAGTCTGTCCCGGTTGCCCCTCTTCCAGGCCAGCTCTCTGCTGTGGCCAGGGAGTGCAGTGGAGGATGGCCCAGGTGCTTGGGCCCTGCACCCCATGGGAGACCAGGAGAAGCACCTGGCTCCTGGCCTCAGATCAGCGCGGTGCGCCGGCCGCAGTGTGCCAGCCGCGGCAGCCATTGGAGGGTGAACCAACGGCAAAGGAAGACCTTTCTGTCTCTCTCTCTCTCACTGTCCACTCTGCCTGTCAAAAAAAAAAAAAAATCACTAAAAAAAAAATACACGTCCCCACAAAAACATGCTCATGGAAGGTTTCTAACAGCGTTGTTCATAGCAGCCAAAATAGGGAAACAACTCAGTGTCCATCAGATGTTGAGTCGATAAACACATTCTTCCACAGAAAGAAAGAACTTAGCAATCCACTTTACAGCACGGATGAACCTGGAAGACCTTACAGTAAGTGAAAAAAGCCAGACACAAAAGCCACACACAGTAGTAGTCCCTGTGACCTAGTTTTGCTCTCCACAATTTCAGACACCTGCAGTCAACCGTGGTCCAAAAATATTAAATGGACAATTCCAGAAAAAAATTCATTCATTTTAAATAACTTACTACAGTATATCATTATAATTGTTTCATTTTATTATCGGTTATTATTGTTAATCTTTTATTGTGCCTAATTTATAAATTAAGTTTTATCATAGGTATACATACACAGGAAACATATTTTTAAAATTTATTTTATTTGGTTTGACAGACAGAGTTACAGAGAGAGGTAGATACAGAGAGAGAGAGGACTTCTAACCACTAGATCATTCCCCAAACGGCCACAATGGCCGGAGCTGAGCCGATCCAAAGCCAGGAGCCAGGAGCTTCTTCTGAGTCTCCCACGTGGGTGTGGGGGCCCAAGCACTTGGGCCTTCTACTGATTTCCTAGGCCATAGCAGAGAGCTGGATTGGAGTGGAGCAGCCAGGAGTTGAACCAGCGCCCATAAGGGATACCAGTGCCACAGGCCAGGGCTTTAACCTACTGTGCCACAGCGCTGCCCTGGAACAATTATTAAGAGTAAACTATCATCTGCAGCTTCAGGCATCCACTGGGGTCTCAGAAGGTATCGCTCACAGAAAGGGACATGACTATATTGTATGGCTCTATTTATATGAAGTTTCCAGAATATACGAATACATAGAAACCAAAAATAAATTGCCAGGGGCTCGAGTAGGTCAAATTCCACATCCAAATTTCCATCTGATGCCATTTTACTTTGGCCTAAAGGACTTCCTTTGGCATTTTCTGTAGTGCTTTTGAATGTCTAAGATAGTCCTTATTTCTCCATCATTTTATTTATTATTATTATTATTTTATTTAAAAGCAAAATTTATTTAAGTCAGAGACTTCCTGGTGGAGTGGCCAGGAGCGTGGCTCCAAGAAAGGCAAAACCCAAAGGAGCTGGTGGTAGTGGGGTCTTTAAGCGCGATTTTGGGGGGAAAAAAAAACTTAACAATCAGTTACAAGGCAGGGACAAAACCCATCAAAAGACTTGATCTGCTGCTGTGGCCCGGGAGTGCAGTGGAGGATGGCCCAAGTGCTTGGGCCCTGCACCCACATTGGAGACCAGGAGAAGCACCTGGCTCCTGCCTTCGGATCAGTGCAGTGCGCCGGCTGCAGCGCACCAGCCACGGCAGCCATTGGGGGATGAACCAGAGGAAAAGGAAGACCTTTCTCTCTGTCTCTCTGTCTCTCTCTCTCTCTCACTGTCCACTCTGCCTGTCAAAAAAATAAAAAAAAAAAAAAAGACTTGATCTGTAATCTTATTTAGTCTTATTTGCCGAGAGATGGGATACGTGATACGTAACTTGTTTTTGCAGTAAACCGTGAGCTCAGAAGGATGGAATAGCAGCTCTTTTGCTATTCTCATGGTAAAGCTGGAAGCTCCCAAGCAGTGGGGCAGGCACTTTGGCCTTACTGAAGATAACTTTTGGAGGAAGCAAGCATTTTGCACTCACAGTTTCCACTGGGACCAACCTGATTGCTTATTAACCTGTCTGACTCCTCACATTCTCTCCCCCAAAAGAATGGACCCTAACTTCTGTTAGGGGGTATGGGACAACTGACTGTGCTGGCTTCTTCAAGCTGAGTAGGGGCAGAGTAGAGATCAGCAGTAAAGACAGGGTTCTGGCAGGAGGTTCACCTTCACTTTCAAAGATATTTTGCTTGGGGCCAGTGTTGTGGTGTAGTAGGTTCGAGTCCCAGCTGCTCCACTTCCTATCCAGCTCCCTGCTAATGTGCCTGAGAAATCAGCCCCTTCACCCCCATAGGAGCCCCAGATGAAGCTCCTGGCTCCTGGCTTTGGCCTGGCACAGCCCCGGCTGTTGGCCATCTGGGGAATGAAACAGCAGAGGGAAGATCTCTATCTCTGTAATTCTGACTTCCAAATAAATAGACAAACCATTTTTTAAAAGAAGATGTTTCCTTGATTATAGAGATTTAAAAAAAAAAAAAAGACTTACTTATTTGAAAGTTAGAGTTATACAGAAAGAAAAGGAGAGGCAGAGAGAGAGAATGAGAGAGAGGTCTTCCCCTTGTCTAAATAAGCTCGAAGTCAGTGAATTCAAGAGGCTTCCGTAGCCTTGGAAACTCATGACTAGAGCCTAGGGAGATTTCTGACGCCATAAACAAGAGTGTCAAATTGTTAAGTCAACAACAGGAGTCACTGTGTACTTACTCCTCATGTGGGATCTCTGTCCTTAATGTGCTGTCCAATGTGAATTAATGCTATAACTAGTACTCAAACAGTATTTTACACTTTATGTTCTGTGTGGGTGCAAACTGATGAAATCTTTACTTAATACATACTAAATCGATCTTCTGTATATAAAGATAATTGAAAATGAATCTTGCTGTGAATGGAGTGTGAGAGGGAGAGGGAGATGGGAGGGGTGCGGGTGGGAGGGAAGTGTACAAGTGGCCCGGGAGTGCAGTGAATAACTGTACATTCATTCAAGAAAAACACAATCAAAGGAATATCCTGCTTCCTCCTGTCTGCAGGAGAAGTGAAAGAGACCCGTCCGACATACCGATGGTTCTCAGGGAGTTCACGGAGTGAAGAGGGTCTGTAATTCCCAGGATGATGCTAAACAGGAGGCAAGACTGCAGATCCCACGAATCGACATTGAATTTCAGGACCACATAGCCAATTATGATGAATGCTGTAGAAAAGCTGATTAACCCAGTTAGCAAGACCTGTGAAGCAATGCATGAACACATATTGAGTAACATCTAAAAATGGCAGGACTGCATTGATGCTTGTTCAAAGAATCAGATATGGGTTACATGTACACAGCTCCTCTGGAAAATAAGCTTTTAAGGTGGTCTAGCTTAACTGCTACCTCCGAGAAACCACCTCAAACCAACAGAATTCAGTCTTACTGTTGAAAAGATCAATTCAACATCTTGTTGCTATTTCAGTTAAGTAACTCTCATTATCAAAATGTTCTAAAACAATGCTTCCGTATAAAACATATCCTAGTTTCTTGAGTTGAAAAAAATTATTGCTGGCGTTATCATGCACAGCATATGATTCACACTTGAACAGCAAAGAACTAAAATATTCAGGAAAGAGCCCTCCTTTACCTTTTACCAACCTTTACTAAGAGTGAGGTCACGAAATGCTGAGATCAAGTGACTTATTTACTGTTCTCTAGTTTCTTTGAACACATTATTTGTGCCCAAGTAATAGAAAATGTTTATTTTCCAAAATTATCACTCAGGAAAAAAAGTACTATGTTATCCAGTCCTTTTCTTATTTTCCCTGTTTTTGTTCTACTTTCTATGAGGTTTCCAGGTACCCACAACTTTCCTCTTAAACCCTTTTGTTGAGTTACTTTATTTCAGATATCATATTTTCACTTTTCAGGACACTTCTGGCTCTTTATATCTTTTTACACCATCATGATCTTACTCCTTATTGTTTCTGTAAGTCTATTAGTTATATATATTTGAGAGTCTTCTCCTGTCCCTTACTTTTACTCAGAATGAATGCTGATTTTTATCAAATGTTTTTTCTATATTTATTGTGATGTCACGTGGCTTTTCTTCTTAAATCTCTTAAGAACATTATGAAATTCTTTAATGTGAAAGTAACCTTATATTTCTGATATAAATATAACTTGATGATACTTACTTAAAGCTTTATTTATTTAGGAGGCAGAATTACAGAGAGATAGGGAGTGCAGTGGAGGATGGGCCAAGTCTTTGGGCCCTGCACCCCATGGGAGACCAGGATAAGTACCTGGCTCCTGGCTTCGGATCAGTGTGGTGCACCGGCCGCAGCGCACTGGCCACGGCAGCCATTGGAGAGTGAACCAACGGCAAAGGAAGACCTTTCTCTCTGTCTCTCTCTCTCACTGTCCACTCTGCTTGTCAAAAAAAAAAAAAACCACTAGAGGAATACAGTTAGAGCAATGCGTAATGGTAAATGTATAACTTTAAATGCATGTATTAGACATTATTAAAGATAAAGTAACTTGAGGCCGGCACTGTGGCGCAGCAGGTTAATGCCCTGGCCTGAAGCACCAGCATCCAATATGGGCGTCAGTTCAAGAGCCGGCTGCTCCACTTCCGATCCAGCTTTCTGCTATGGCCTGGGAAAGCAGTGGAGGATGGCCCAAGTCCTTGGGCCCCTGCACCCACACAGGAGACCTGGAGAAGCTCCTGGCTCCTGGCTTCAGATCGGCACAGCTCCTGCCATTGCGGCCAACTGGGGAGTGCACCAGAGGATGGAAGACCTCTCTCTTTTTCTCTCTGCCTCTCTCTGTGTAATTCTGCCTTTCAAATAAATAAATAAATCTTTAAAAAAAAGTAACTGGAGAGAAACTAAATTTGAGGAACTGATACAGAGCACAACAAAGATAAAAAACATGCAAAACAATATATGAATACCATACTATTTAGTATATGCTTATAAAAACTGTCTTCATTGAGTTATACAATCATACCCCTTAATAATATATCCTTCTTTCCTCAATTTATGATCTTTGTCATGAATCCCACATTATTGATAGCAATGTATCCACTCCTGCTTTTCAAAAAATAGTATGTATGTGTGTATATATATATTTACATATGAAGCATATATGGCAAAATATTAACAATTGTTAAATATAAAATAAATTAATAAAATGAAATAATTTAACATACAACTAATGAGAATTCAAGACTGAAATAGGAGTATGGAAAATATTTCAGAGATAATGACCAAAATGTGTTTACAGTCAATAAAATACATTAACCCTCAGATTTGAGAAACACAAAACTCCCAGTATGAATAAATAAAAAGATAGCAACACTCACGAACATCATAGTGAAACTACAGAACACCGAAGAAAATGACACAGTCTTAAAAGAAAGAGAAGACAGGTACTTAGCAAAAGAATGACAATAATATTGATAACCATTTTTTCAAAAACAACAATGAAACTGCTACTATTCAAATTGAACAGAAATAGCACCTATCTTCTCAATAAATTGGGGGTTTTATATTCTCAGGTAATCGTTAAGTCCAGAATAAGCAACTTCACAACGGTATGCTGACGCTAATCACCTCCTACACCCAGGTTCTTCTTTTTTTCTCCTTTCTGAACAGCTGTCTTTAAGTGTGCATCCTCATTTTCACTATCTCAATCCCAGAATGAACCCTCCTCTTCCAGCCCACTAGAGGGCTCCAGGCAGACAGAGAGGTGGAAGTCAAAAACCACACGCCAGCTGATCGGGCTGCCTTATGGAGCTTTCTAAAAGTCTTATTTAGCAAACTTTTTTTTTTTAACTTTTATTTAATGAATATAAATTTCCAAAGTACGATTTATGGACTACAATGGCTTCCCCCCCATACCTTCCCTCCCACCCACAACCCTCCCCTTTCCCACTCCCTCTCCCCTTCCATTCACATCAAGATTCATTTTCGATTATCTTAATATACAGAAGATCAGCTTAGTATACATTAAGTAAGGATTTCAACAGTTTGCTCCCACACAGAAACATAAAGTGAAAAATAATAGATGATTTTTTTTAAATGATGATGAAATCAGATCAGACCTATTGTCATGTTTAATCCCAATGAGAGTCAAGTTGGGAGTTGATAATTTCTTTTCTTTTTTTTTTTTTTACAGAGGATCAGTTTAGTATGCATTAAGTAAAGATTTCAACAGTTTGCACCCCCATAGAAACACAAAGTGAAATATATTGTTTGAGTACTCGTTATAGCATTAAGCCTCAATGCACAGCACATTAAGGACAGAGATCCTACATGAGGAGTAAGTGCACAGTGACTCCTGTTGTTGACTTTACCAATTGACACTCCTGTCTATGGCATCAGTAATCTCCCTAGGCACCAGTCATGAGTTTCCAAGGCTATGGAAGCCCCTTGAGTTCTCCGACTCTTATCTTGTTTAGACACGGTCATAGTCAAAGTGGAGGTTCTCTCCTCCCTTCAGAGAAAGGTACCTCCTTCTTTGAAGACCTGTTCTTTCCACTGGGATCTCACTCACAGAGATCTTTTGCCAGAGTGTCTTGGCTTTCCATGCCTGAAATACTCTCATGGGCTTTTCAGCCAGATCGGAATGCCTTTAGGGCTGATTCTGAGGCCAGAGTGCTATTTAGGACATCTGCCATTCTATGAGTCTGCTGAGTATCTCACTTCCCATGTTGGATCACTCTCCCCTTTATTTATTCTATCGGTTAGTGTTAGCAGGTACTAGACATGTTTATGTGCTCCCTTTGACTCCCAGTCCCTCCACCATGACCAACTGTGAACTGAAATTGATCACTTGGAATAGTGAGATGGCATTGGTACATGCCACCTTGATGGGATTGAATTGGAATCCCCTGGTATGTTTCCAACTCTACCATTTGGGGCAAGTCAGCTTGAGCATGTCCCAAATTATACATCTCTTCCCTCTCTTATTCCCACTCTTATGTTTAACAGGGATCACATTTCAGTTAATTTTCAACACTTAAGAATAACTGTGTATTAATTACAGAATTAAACCAGTCATATTAAGTAGAACAGACAAAAAAACTACTAAGAGGGATAATGTATTAAGTTGTTCATTAACAGTCAGGGCTATGCTGATCAAGTCACTGTTTCCCATAGTGTCCATTTCACTTCAACAGGTTTCCTTTTTGGTGTTCAGTCAGTTGTCACCGATCAGGGAGAACATATGGTATTTGTCCCTTTGGGACTGAATTTAGCAAACTTTTATACACATTTCACCAGCCAAAGTGCCTTCAGAGGCTACTATAGCTGTCAAGGATGTGAAAAATATAGTATTTTACAGTGACCTACTGCTATAACAAGAATTGTAAGTTTCTGAAAAATTGTAAGTTTCTGTTGGTGAGAAAGAGAGCAAGAAAGCACGTTGGGTAAGCCATCAGCAGTGTTAGAAGTGTCTGGGCCGGAGCCACGGCTCACTAGGCTAATCCTCCGCCTGCGGCACCAGCACCCCGGGTTCTGGTCCCGGTTGGGGCGCTGGATTCTGTCCCGGTTGCCCCTCTTCCAGTCTAGCTCTCTGTAGCTCTCTGCTGTGGCCCGGGAGGGCAGTGGAAGATGGCCCAGGTCTTTGGGCCCTGTACCCACATGGGAGACCAGGAGGAAGCACCTGGCTGCTGGCTTCGGATCAGTGCAGTGTGCCAGCCATAGCGGCCACTTGGAAGGTGAATCAACAGAAAAAGGAAGACCTTTCTCCCCTCTCTCACTGTCTAACTCTGCCTGTCCAAAAAAAAAAAAAAAAAAAAAAGTGTCTGCCACAAAAACAGAAATACAACGTAAAACTTCTAAACAAGTAAAAGGTACAAGAGAATACAGAAAAGTGAATCAATTCAAGTGACTAAAAAAGAGAATAGGGAAAAACAGATAAAGCACGGTATATACAAAATATAAAATGTATGAGGAAAAACCCTTATCTATTTATTTGAATTTTAATTTATTTTAACGCACATACAGTAGCAGTGGCTCTTTCGGCGTTCAGTTATGTGAGTTTGGTATATGTACGTGCAGTCACATGATGACAACCAAGATGAAGAGACAAAACAAGATTAATAAGAGAGCTGTCACTCTCCAAAATTTCCTCAGGTAGTAGTCAATTCCTTCCCTTGCCGCAAGACCCTGATAATCAATGATTTTTTTTTTTCTCCAGACCTATGGTTCTGCTTTTCCTAGAAGGTCTGTGAATGGGACTACGCATTAGGTACACTTCTGAGTCTGGTTTCTTTTTCCCAGAAGAATGCATTTTAAATTCCCCCACGTTGTACCTGTAACGTTCCATTCCTTTACTATCAGAGTAACACAGTATTCCCATATAAGATGACCACACTGGTTTCTTTCTTCACCACTGAAGACTATAGGAGTTGTTCCCTGACTTTTGAGATTATGAATAAAGTTGTCATAAAGATTCACATGGAGGTAAGTTTTCACTTCCCCTAGATAAGTACATAGGACTGGGATTGCTGGATCATAAAAGTATATGTTTAACCTTTAAGAAACTCCTAAACTGTGTTCCATATGGTTTTGCATTTTCACCAACAATGCATAAGTGCTTCGAGTTCTCCGCAAGCTCTTCAGCACTTGGTGTTACCACGTTTGCTGCTGTTGTTGCCAATCTAACAGGCGTGTTGTGGTAGCTCATTGCAATTTTGTCTCTCCCTAATGACTTAGGATGCCTGTATTACAACACATCTTCCTTGTTGTCTCAAATCTGTTTAAATCTTTTACCCTTCTAAATATATTTCTAATCAGTATTTAAAAATTTTTTCCATTTATTTTCATTTTATTTGAAAAGCAGAGAGATGGAGAGACAGAGACTGACAGAGAAACCCAAAACCTGCATAATCCAGGCCGGGACATGCCAAACCCAGAGCCAGGAGCTCAGTCAGGGCCTCCCATGTGGGTGGCAGGGACCCAAGGATTGAGCCATCACCTCCTGCCCCCCAGGTGTGCACTAACAGGAAGGTAGAACTGGAAGCAGAGATGGATATGGATCAGGCACTCCAAGTAGTGTCTTAACCACTGCACCAAATGCCCATCCCCACAATAAGATTCTGGATTAAAACTAGTGTAGTTTTTTTTTTTTTTAATAAAGAAGAGATTCTCAACCTGAGTAAAATAGCAAACTATACCTGTATGCTGTCAGAAAGAAATCTAAACATAAGAACACAAAAAACTTGAAAATAAAAGAAGCAAAAATTATAGCAAACAAACACTAGCCAAAAAAAAAAAAGTTGATTATAACTACAGTACTACAAGATAAAATTGACTTACGACAAATCATATTGTTTGGGATGAAAAGGTAACCAAATAGTGAAAAAAAAATTAACTGGGAAATAATACTGTGGGCACTTAATCACAACCTCTATTTATACAGAGTAAAAACTGACACAATTACAAGTCACTGATGAATCCACAATCATGGCGAAGCTTGTTAGATTCAGTTGAAAACAATCTTGGCAAACATATAAAAGACTGAACCTCATACTCAAAAAAACCCTGCTGTACAAATTTATAGTCCTGTATTAAACAATTAGAGAACATACATTTCTGGAAAATAAACAGAATACTTGGGAAATGTGATCATGTATAAAGCTATAAAGCAAATCTCCACAAATCACAAAAGTTGATATACAAACCACATGCTCAAATTGCAATGTGGTAAGAAAAATGATAATAAAAATTTATAATTGGAAAATTTAAATAACTTCTAAATAATTAATGAGTCAAAAGAAAGCATAAAAATTTAGAATTAAATTATAATCAAAAAATAAAAATGTGTAGGATGCAGCTAAAATAAATTGCATGAAATATCAAATATTAAAATATCAAAAAAGCCAAAAATCAATCAAATAGTATTATTTAAAATGTCAGAAGAGCAGAATAAAAATCAGAGAAAGTTAATGTTACAGGAAATCAAAAACAAAATAATCCAACAAGCAGGAAGAAGAAAAAAAAAAAAGAGAGAAGGCACAAATAAAATAATTTTAGCAGTAAAAACAGGGGCAAATCTATGGATACAGTGGAGATGGAGTCAAGTGTGGGCTAGCATCCCGGTTCTGCCACTCATCAGCCTTGCTTGTGAATTCTGACATCGGTTTGCACAATGGAGAGATTTCTTCACGTACATGGTCACAGTGGTCACTCAGTAAGTATTAGCTCCATTCCCCTCCTCTCAATTATTTTTTAGCTAGTAGTTCTGCAGAATGAAGAGAGTATAACAACTAAAAATAGAAGGGTTTTGAATTATTACTCTTTTGTATAGACAATAATACTCTCCATCAACATGAATAGCAAAAATCGACCATAATTTGTTTTAAAATGTGTTGTTACCTGCCAAATTATATTCTTGAGTATATAAAAGTCCACTTCAAGGGCAGCCATAAATATAATTATAGGCAAAAAATAAGAAAAAAGTGAAAAGCTTGGTGTTCTTAGAAGAGGGTAGACAATTTGGTGCACCTAAAATAACAAAGGCAAACAAGAAATTAGATTACTGCCATTTTCAAGTACTAGAAACTAGGTTGATGCTATGGCAACCAATTTAAAATTTAGAATATTCTTATTTGCAATTAATGAGAGATTATCTCCTGGGGGTTCTATGAAGACTGCATGATTTACCTGTCTAGGTGGGTTATATGTATAATCCTCTATTCACCAGAAAATTCTGTGAGTTATGGCTACATAACTCATTGTTTGTAGTATATAATCAGTGTTCTCAAAATTTGGTATGCCTATAATTGATGATTTCTAAGATGATTTCCACTGATTCACAAAATTTTTTAAAGATTTATTTATTTATCTGCAAGGCAGAGATACAGACAGAGATGGAGAGAGGAAGAGACAGAGAGAAATCTTCTATCTGCTGGTTCACTCCCTGTCGGGGACCACGCAGCATGTGACCTCTTAGTTGAGAGACAGGGCTGGACAGGCCAGACCTGATAGTACTGATAACGCAATCTTGTGTGACCTTGTGCCTTAAGGCTTTGTAACCTCTCCCCTACTTGCATTAGCATTGCAGCTACAAGATAAGCCCCTCCTCCTTCCCCCTCCCGATACCCTGCCTCGATGATATATAAGTGTGTGGTTGAAAAATAAAGTCGCAGCTTGATCGGCACCTGTCTTGCTGCCATCCTTGTGTCTCCTGTCCCTTTCATTTCTCCTTCTAGGTGCTCGGCCCCAGTTGCTGTCCCGCGGGACGGGACAACTCCCCAAATGGCCACGATGGCTAGGGCTGGGGCAGGCCAAAGCCAGGAGCCAGGAGCTCATTCCAGGTGTCCCGCATGGGCGCAGCGCCCCAAGCACTTCCACTGCTTTCCCAGTTGCATTAGTAGGGAACCAGATCGGAGATGGAGCAGCTGGGACTCAGGCTGGTGCCCAGACCGGATGCCGGCACTCCAGCCGGAGCACGGCACAGCCCCTCACAAAATTTTTTTATTTGTGAGATACTTATTTTAATTTGTATTACATTGGGCAAAGAATCTTACATAGATGTTTGTTGTCTTACAATCATTTGCTTAGGACTTTAAAAGCTTTCTACTGACAGGAAAATAATACTTAGGGCCGGCGCCGTGGCTCACTAGGCTAATCCTCCGCCTTGAGGCGCCGGCACACCGGGTTCTAGTCCCGGTCGGGGCGCCGGATTCTGTCCCGGTTGCCCTCTTCCAGGCCAGCTCTCTGCTGTGGCCCGGGAGTGCAGTGGAGGATGGCCCAGGTGCTTGGGCCCTGCACCCCATGGGAGACCAGGAAAAGCACCTGGCTCCTGGCTCCTGCCATCGGATCAGCGCGGTGCGCCGGCCGCAGCGCGCCGGCCGCGGCGGCCATTGGAAGGTGAACCAACGGCAAAAGGAAGACCTTTCTCTCTGTCTCTCTCTCTCTCTCTCTCTCACTATCCACTCTGCCTGTCAAAAAAAAAAAAAAAAAAAGGAAATAATACTTAGAAAACAGTATGGTTTGTATATTTTGGACATATCATGAAGGCTTTACACCGATTAATAGAAAACACAACAATGATTGACGTGCTGCAGATATTCTGTCCTAAAAAATTTATTCTGAGCCAATCAATTGGGTAACCTTCATTACTTAACAATCTCTTTGGGTCTCAACTTCCCCATCTGTGAAATGGAAATAGAATGCCTATTTTCACTGTGTTGCTGCACGAACACAAGAGCTAATATGTTAATAAACTAATACAAAGCACTAAAAAGGAAGCCTGGCACATGGCAAATACGAGATGTTAATAGTAGCAGCAGCAGCAGCAGTAGCAGTAGTAGTAGTAGTAGTATTTCAGAAGACTGAGAAAAGCTTTTACAATCCATTTTAAAAATTCAATTAAGAAAATAAAAGGATGGGTGGAGGTAATGTACTATGATCACATTGCTCTGCAGTTGAAAATAGGAGTTAAAACCAACTTGAGACATTGATGAATTTTTCCATGTGTCTATATTATATGTTATATAATGTATGATTTACATTCGATACGGTAGAAAAGAGTAATCACACTTAATCACAAAATTAACTGTTGGCTTTGGTGACTAGGGTCTCTACAAGTGTTAAAGAAAATGGCAGAGAAGCCAATGTCATGTACAGGCAAGAAAAGAGCAAGTTTCCAAGCGCGCGTGATGAAGAACCTAAAAACCAAATAAATCTTCCTCGCTTCTGGATCACTGACGTATCTGAAGCTGTCCTAACTTATGTCCCCTTTATTGTGTGGCCTTTCATTTTTAAAAATTTTAAGGCCAGATGAAATTTTTTGAGTAGGTCTTCACACACACACACACACAAAATACTCCATACATTCAAAGGTGGTAGAGTGAGAGTAGACCTTCTTCTGGGTATTTGTCCTTTAACTTACTCTCCAATTTACAGTACCTCAACCAAATGGTAGGCCAGTTGTCCTATCACAAATCCTGATAGAGAAAGAATCGTCAAGACAATGACTTCTGAATTCTTTAAACATATCCTCAAAAACCCTAAAAAATATACAGGTAAGTGTTAAACATAATTTCAGAATAGTTTCATTAACATCACTGTGTCTAGCTATTTAATTTTAACCTTCCTCTGTGACGTATCATTGTGAATGAGTGATCGACCAGTTATAAATGCTATCTCTAATTATAAGACACATGTAATGAAGCACCTCTCACAGATGAACTTGGGAAATATTGAAACTTCCAGTCTCCCATTTGTTCACCTACTGACACGTTAGGATCACTGTATGAGATTCTTACCAATGGATCTGATGATGAGAAATTATGAAAAGCCAAACTTCATATCTATATAGTATATCTTATATTGATAATACTCATTCTAAGCTAGAGCAACATATTTTGTAATATTCCTTAGATCCATAAATACTTTTTTTTTTTAAAAAAAAGGCTTACTTGTTTATTTGAAAAGAAGAGTGGCAGGGAGAGACTCCATCTACTTTATCCATCTACTGGTTCACTCCCCAACTGCACACAACAGCCAAGGCTTGGCCAGGCTGAAGCTGAGAGCCAGAGTCCATCCAGTTTGCCCATTTCTGAGCCATCATCTGCTGCCGCACAGGTGCACTAGCAAGAAGCTGGATCGGAAGTGGAGGAGCTAGGACTCTATATATCCCAGGCACTCCAATATGGGTTGCAAGTATCCCAAACCATGGCTAAGTCCACCACACCACAAGGCCCAACCCCAGAAATACTGACCTCTGATTGTATGGGGAACAAAATGGCCTTTCCCATAAAAGTGACACACTTCCTTGTCTTGAACTCTCTACTCTATCCAGTGTTATTCAGTTCACTCCCTCCAGAGAAAATATATAGACTGTTATGATCAGGGCAAGTCATTGGTATCCCAGATTCTCCATTTCCTGTCTTCAAGCTGCAGGTCAAACCAAATCAGTATATATCTATGCATACTTTTTATGTATAAAAAAAGAAACGTTCACACTATTTCTGCAGTGCCCTTTTTTTTTCTATGAAAGGATCTAGAACTGCTGAAGCTCATTGTCATCAGCACCTTGTGGTACCTAAATGCACCAAGGTCATTAGTAAACATTTCACTCCCTAATATAATGGGTAAAACTAAAATAGTTGTTTATGTGTACTTGGTTCTTGTTTGTTCCTTAATAGCCTTCCTAGTTCCAGACAGAATTCTAAACTAGCTTACATTTCCCCCACATACATTTTTCAAAAGGGGTCTAGACACTGTAGTCACTAGCATCGAGTCGTGGAATAAAGCACATGTGTGGTGGACAATGTGAATATTAGCCACTGAAATGCTGAACTCCTAATCATTATGTAAGAGGCCCTTATCTGCGGAGCCTTTTCCCTAATTTCCTGCTGGAGGATAGGTGGGTAGTTCATCTTTCCTGAAGAAAAAGCACATCAAAACCATGAGAAAGCAGACAAGATTAATGACGTCCATTATGTATATTGTGAACTGTTAGGTCAGGGCGCTCTCGGTCTGTTTGCCCAGTTGTCCTCCTATCCTCTCAGCTACCTTGATCAAGTTAGGCCTGGCCAGGCACGCAGCTAAGACTTGCCTTCCTCCTCACTACCAGGGAAACCTGGTCACACTGGGTAGCTCTACCCACCACTCTGCATCCTAACTGTTTGTTTGCCTGTCTCCCCACGAGAGGGCTTCTTGAGCTTAACAATGATCTTATGTGCCCACAAACTGTTACTGAATACAGGAGCACAGAATAGATGCTGGACTGATGGCATTTCCTCCCATCTTATTGTTTCACTGGGCCCCTTCTGATGTAGTTGTGAATGCTTTCTGCACGAGAAAATGTTCAAGGAGTAGAAGAGAAATGCATTTCATCAAATAACCACCTACCTCCCAAGACAATAATGGAACACACAAGCATGGGGAAATGTTCCTTTTTGACAAGGTAGTCAGCTGACCTCCCACAGAGTAAATCGGGTCTGTTAACATCTTTCTGTGACCAGAAGGAAGAATTCATTTTTGCCACGGCTTTCCCAGATCTTACTTGGTGGACTCGTACATGTTATTACTGACACTCTCACTACAGCAGACTGACCTGCTACAAACACACACAAAAAAGAGAAGAAAATGAAACCTGAAAGCACCTAACTCATGTACACTCTTTCTACCTAAGAGCGTACCAGTCTTAGATCTTAGCACATCTCTTCCTGTCACAGGGCACACGTGAACTTCTCCTGTGCCTCCTGCTCTGAGAACATTTTATAGGCACATGACAGCAGTGTCAGTACACAAATATGGGAGAGGGGCTGCATGGATCGCAGCACCTATGCTTACGCATTATCCATTAGATGATGTGTTTGCCTTCCCTAGAAGACAGGGAGTTGCTCAGAGGTCAAGGGTGAATGCTAACTTTCTTAAGTCTACGTGCATGGTTTATGGCCCAAGAAAGGCTCTCCATAAATGCCAGATGAGCTGAGCTCGTTGTAGGGGAAGCAGCAAGGATAAATGTCATGTCCCTCATTCTCTCTAGCTGCAAATCACTCTGGAATTTCATTTTTCCTCTCTGCCCACTTCAAACCCAAAATGGCCAGTGAGAAACAAGGTCAAAGTAGTCACCCCAGTGAAAGTCAGGAATGAGACAGGGGCAAATAAACCTGAACACAACGGAAAAGGCGAAAGCCGAGGTTTGAACACCTAAGTGTCTGAGTGAATTAGAAAAAGTCCCCGTCCTCGGAGCAATGAACTTGATGCTGGTGCACATGGCTTGGCACGTGACCAACAGGCTGAATTTCAATACCACTCTCACCTGGTTCCCTGGTACAGGACGCAGGCTGCACAAATTAGTAGTAGTTCTGAAAAGGATTTGGTCCAACTTATTTTTCCTTGCAGTCAGCCTTAACCTGAAAACTCCTAGAGGTTCCTAAAGTATCTCCATTAATATTTAAAGCTTTTCTTGGGTCCTATTTTGTACTTGTTTGGGTCTAAAGGTCACAATGATTTGAAGCAGACAATATGCCAGAAATGAGATTTAAAATGTCACATCTTCAAATCATGTCACTTGTCCCTCAACAAACCTTTCAGTGCCCTGGCAGCTTCAAACCCTGCTTCCTACTTGTTGATGACCCTCAGACAGGTTCTTCAACCTACCAGATCAGAGGCACATTCTTCCAAACCTAAGCTGATTCAGAGTTGAAATCAAGATAAAAGCTCTCAAAGTCCCAAAGAACGATATTCAGCTCTGTGTCTGTTTGCCAGGAACAACATCACCAACTGCTATCATGCCAAGAGCAATTTTCATGCTTACTTCCTATTGGCTTCTGGTCAACCTGCTTTCATTCTGATTGGCCACATTCACAATCCCCACCCCCGATCCAGAAGAAGCCAAGTGATCTAGTTCCAGGGAAGTTTGTATGTCTCAATGCCTAAACTGGGTCTACACCAGCAACTGTTTTAACTGATTTCTTCTGCATGACATAATGACATAATAGTTGAAATAATAAAAGATATTAAGCATGTAGACAAAATCTCCTTCTGTCTATTTTATCTACATACAATCTCTTTTTCTTATGCCATTCCTATTAGGTTCAGCCATTCAACATGGACCTGTCTCCTCTCTTTTGCATTCAACCTTTTCCATTTCCTTTTTCTACCTTTTCCATTTCCTTTTTCTACCTCTCCTTCCTTTTCAGTGTTTCTCACACCCATCTTCCTCCAACTCCTCTTAGTCTTTGACTTCTTGTCTTTAATTTGAAAACAAATGCATCCCAAATTCTGTGATGCCTCAAATCTAATCACTACAAACAAATATAGCATAAATGCTAAAAAATGATCATTAATTCTCAATTTATCTGTTACTTTTCAAAGAAGTTATTACTGATCATGAAATGCCACTCTCATTCCTGTGTCTCAGTAATCAAGGTGGCTGCACGTCCTCTTCTCAGGGCGTCCAGGAGAACATCACAGCAGCAAGATTACAAAATCTATCAGTCTTCTCCATCACTATGGATTAAGGAATCTCTAACAAATGGAAGCCCCAATTTCTATTTCAGGCTAACCAGAGTTTCAAGCAACAGTTATACGTCTCCCACAGACTGTAACCATGACCTTTGGTGCCATATACTACACCTCAAAATTTTCTTTTTTGTACAGATGGGTATAGTTCTTTTAAGCCCCTGACCCTAGCACTGCCATAAATTTCAAGAACCATGCAAAAAAAAAAAAAAAAAAAACAGTTGTCTCATTCTAAGGCTCTCTCCTGAAGGATCTATTCCTTACTCTTTCCTACTGCTTTTCCTTAATTCAACCAATTATCAACTTCATTATCCTTGTTCTCATTTTCATCTCCACCTTATATATATATATATATATATTGATTGTAACCCTGACTTCTCTCTACATTATTTTTGACTCTTTCCTCAGCTACACTGCCTCAACATTCCAGCTTCTACATAGTTCCTAACCTACTGATCCAATTGGCTCACCTAATCCTAACATGTAAGACTCCTGTGGCCTTAATTTAAGTTTCAAAATTCAGATTCCCCACTGCATTTAGAAAAGTTCTCAGACTCAGGAAAACTCAGCCAGAATTCAGAGTCCTCTAGTCTACATATGGTTCTGAAAGCTAGAGATGGCACATAACTAAAATGGAGACATGACCAAATTCCCATATATTACAACCTTTACCATACAGTTTTAAAAAGGCAAAAAAGAATTTACATTTCACCATTTTTGATAGAATCAGCTGAAATAGACTTTGGTAGCTCTGGGGAGTTGAGGGAGGTTTCCCCAGTATACTCCTTCAAACCCACATCTTCTGATAATAGACTTTACTATTTGGCTGAGATAGGCATATAACATAGATGGGTGATACTAGTTTCCTATCCTCTTTATGCTCTGATTGGTACAAAGGTGGGCATGGGACTCAGGATCAATCACATGGTTCCTTGAGTTGACATATTCCATTAATTCAAGAGGGCTGTTCTACTTCAATTTGTAGTTAGCCATGAAGATTACTGTCTAGTGCAGCCAGAGGTCAACTCTCCGGCTGCTTGGAAAAAGTCCACCTAAAGTCAGGAAGCTTCTGTGAGGCCCCACCTTATATATTTCTCAGGTCTTAAAAAATGACCTTACAGCCTCTCCCAGGATTTTATCTTTTCCTGCAAGCCATTTCTCAATTTTAAAACATTTGCCAATCTAGAGAGGCTAGGAATGAGGAGCAATTTTATTTTCAAACCCAGTTAAGTACTGGTTCCTTTACATCTCTTTTTCCTCCAGAAATGTTTTATTTAAGGAATACAAACTTCATGCATTTCATAATTACAACTTTGGGAACATAGTGATTCTTACCACTATACCCACCCTCCCACCACACTCCCACCCCCATCCTCCTCCCTCTCCTATTCCCATTCTTATTTTTCCCTAAAATTTTTTTTTTTTTTTTGACAGGCAGAGTGGACAGTCAGTAAGAGAGAGAGACAGAGAGAAAGGTCTTCCTTTGCCGTTGATTCACCCTCTAATGGCCACCACGGCTGACGCACCGCACTGATCCGAAGCCGGGAGCCAGGTGCTTCTCCTGGTCTCCCATGGGGTGCAGGGCCCAAGGACCTGGGCCATCCTCCACTGCACTCCCTGGCCACAGCAGAGAGCTGGCCTGGAAGAGGGGCAACCGGGACAGAATCCGGCGCCCCGACCGGGACTAGAACCCGGTGTGCCGGCGCCGCAAGGCGGAGGATTAGCCTAGTGAGCCGCGGCGCCGGCCAAGATTTATTTTCAATTAACTTTATATACATATGATTAACTCTACACTAAGAAAAGAGTTCAACTAAAGGTACAAAAAAAAAAAAAAGGGTTTCTAACAGTCGAGACAAGGGCTGTTCAAAGTTGTTGCATCTCAGAGTGTCACTTCTATGGATTACCTTTTAGGTGCTCTGTTAGCTATCACAGATCAGGGAGAATATGTGGTTGCGACCAGCTTATTTCACTAAGTATGATGTTTTCCAGTTTCATCCCTTTTGTTGTAAATGACAGGATTTCATTTCTTTTAACTGCTGTGTATCATTCCATGGTGTACATATTCCATAATTTGCTTATTCAATCTTGAGTTGACAGGCATTTGGGTCGATGCCATGTCTCAGCTACTGTGAGCTGAGCTGCCATAAATAGAATCAGCATTCTTTCAGATGCTGATTTCTTTTGGTTAGGTAAATTCCCAGAAGTGGGATGGCTGGGTCATATTGTAGGTCTGTATTCAGATTTCTCCATACTGTCTTCCACAGTGGCTGTGCCAGTTTACATTCCCACAAACAGTGGATTAAGGTACCTTTTTGTCAACATCCTAGCCAGCATTAGTTGTATGTTCATTTCTGTATGAAAGCCATTCTAACAGGGGTGAGGTGAAACCTTATTGTGGTTTTGATTTGCATTTCCCTGGTGGATAGTGATCCTGAACATTTTATGAAGTGTCTGTTGGCCATTTATATTTCTTCTTTTGAAAAATGCCTGTTTAAGTCCTTTGCTCATTTCTTAACTGGGTTGTTTTGTTGTTGTTGAGTTTCTTGATCTCTTTATATATCTTGGTTATTAATCCTTTATTGGTTGCATAGTTTGCAAATAATTTCTCCCATTCTGTCAGTTGCCTCTTCATTTTGCTGAGTATTTCTTTTGCACTGTAGAAGTTTCTCAATTGGATACAATTCCATTTGTCAATTTTGGCCTTGATTGCCTATGCCACTGGGGTATTTTCCAAGAACTCTTTGCCTATGCCAATTTGCCTGCACAATTGCCTATGCAATTTCCCCAATGTTCTCTAAAAAGTTGATGGATGGTATTTGGTCATAGATTTAGGTCTTTAACCCATTTTGAGTGGATTTTTGTGTAAGGTGTAAGGTAGGGGTCTAGTTTCATACTTCTGCATGTGGAGATCCAGTTTTCCCAGCACCATTTGTTGAAGAGACTGTCCTTGCTCCAGGAATTGATTTTAGCTCCTTTGTCAAAGGTAAGTTGGTTGTAGACACAGGGATTGATTTCTGGCATTTCTATTCTGTCCCATCGTTCTATCCAACTGTTTTTGTGCCAGGACCAAGCTGTTCTGATTATGACTGCCCTGTAGTATGTTTTGAGTCCAGTATTGTGATGCTTCTGGCTTTGTTGTGTCGAAGGACATTGCTTTAGCTACTCAGGGTCACGTGTGTTTCCATATGAATTTCAGCATCATTTTTTTGAAGATACATTTTTTTGAAAGGCAGAGTTAGAGAGGCAGAGAAAGACAGAGGGGTCTTCCATCTGCTGACTCATTCCCCAGATGGCTACAACTAGGCTGCAATCTGAAACAAGGAGCCTGAAGCTTCCTCCACGTCTTCTATGCGGGTTCAGGGGCCCACTGGCTTGGGCCATGCTCCATTGCTTTCCCAGGCCAGACAGAGATGGATCAGAAGATGAGCAACTGTGACGTGTACCAGTGCCCATATAGGATATCAGCACAAGAGGCAGTCTTACTCACTATGCCACAGCACCAGCCCCTCCGCATCATTTTTTCTGTATCTGAGAACAATGTCCTTGGTATTTTGATTGGTATAGCACTGAATGTGTATATTATTTTTGTTAGTATGGACATTTTGATGACATTGATTCTTCCAATCCATGAACATGGAAGATTTTTCCATTTTTGGGGTCTTCTTCTGTTTCTTACTTGAATATTTAGTAATCCTAATTGTAGAGATCTTTGAATTCCTTGGTTAAGTTTATTCCAAGGTATTTGACTTTTTTGTAGCTATTGTGAGTGGGATTGATCTTAAAAGTTCTTTCTCAGCCATGGCATTGTCTGTGTATACAAAGGCTGTTGATTTTTGTGCACTGATTTTATATCCTGCTATTTTACCAAACTCTCCTATGAGTTCTAGTAATCTCTTAGTGGAGTCTTTTGGGTCCCTATATATAGAATCATATCATCTGCAAACAGGGGATAGTTTGACTTCATCTTTATTGATTTGAATTCCTTTTGATTTCTTTTTCTTGCCTGATGGTTCTGGATAAAACTTCCAGGACTATATTGAGTAGCAATGGTGAGAGTGGGCTCCGGATCTCAGTGGGAATGCTTCCAATTTTTCCCATTCAATAGGACGCTGGTTGTGGGTTTGTCATAAATTGCCTCGTGTTGAGGAATGTTCCTTCTAAACCCAATGTGCTTAGAGTTTACATCATGAAAGGGTGTTGTATTTTGTCAAATGCTCTCTCTGCATCTACTGAGATAATCATATGATTTTTGTTCTTCAGCTTGTTAATGTGATGTATCACAATGGTTGACTTGCAAATGTTGAACCATCCCTGCATACAAGGGATAAATCCCACTTGGTCCAGGTGAATGATCTTTCTGATGTATTGCTGGACTCAATTGGCCAGAATTTTGTTGAGGATTTTTGCATCTATGTTCATTAGGGAAATCGGTCTGTAGTTCTCTTTCTCTGTTGTATATTTTCAGGTTTAGGAATTAAGGTGATGCAGGCTTCATAGAAGGAGTTTGGGGAGGATTCACTCCCTTTCAATTGTTTTGAATAGTCTGAGAAGAAATGGAATTCGTTCTTCTCTAAATGTCTGGTAGAGTTCAGCAGTGAAGTCATTCAGTCCTTGGATTTTCTTCGCTGGCAGTCTTTATTAATGATTCATATAATTCCTCGAAATCATGTTTGTAGGTTGAAATGTTCATTTTTAGTACATATCTTCCCCTCTCACATTTTGGTAGAAGAAGCAAGACAGCATTTGAACACTGCATCTGGAAGTATCCTTAGCAAGACCATTAAGTTCATTTCTTAAACAACAGTATGGCCAAACTTATCACCAACTCACAACAGGGCTTTTTCTCCAATTTCCAATAACATGTCCCCTCTTTCCTTTAAACTCCCACCAAAAGCCTGCTAGAGGCCCTTAGAGCTTCTACTAATGTTCTAATTGAAAGTCTGTAGGCTCTCATTCTCACTCTTCTCTAGACCTTTCTGGCTTCTGCCTACCTTTCTGTCCCAAACTCAAGGCCACATACTTTAGGTTTTGTTATGTGAGTCTCACTTCTGGATTTTAAAAATATGTATGTTATAAGTTGCTGTTTGGTAAACAAACACAAAACCAAGTAGCTTAAAACAGTAACAATCCTTTATTTTACTTACACATCTGCAATTGTACAGAGCTCAGGAAAGAAGGCTTACCTGCACCCCATGTGGCATCAGATGGGTGACTTGACTGGGAGAGATCCATTTCCAAGATGGTCTACTTATATGGCATGGAAGTTGAGGGTAACTGCTGGCTGGAGCTCAGCTAGGGCTATGGGCTAAGGCCTCAGTTCTTTCCATGTGGGTTTCTCCATGGGCTGGTTTCTGAGAGTGGGTAGCTCAATAGGACTAAACAGAAGTTGCATCATCTTTTATGATCTAACTTTGGAAATAACATGGAATCACTTGCAGTATAGACACAAGTCCATCTAGATTCAAGAAGCAAAAACAGAGATCCACCTCTCTGTGTGAGGCAAGTCCTGAGCACATTGTAAGGAAAGCATGTGGGATGGGAGATAAAAATTACATTGAACACTGGGATAACAGTCAGTCCTTTACAATGTGGGGCATAATGTGAACCTAAATAGCAGTTTTCCTGCTTTAGCTTAATCTGGAGCAGTAGTTCTTAAAGCTTTGTTGATAGACCAATTCTAATTCAAGACTAAAGTTCCAATATACATAGCAAAATGAGAAAAAATAACATAAAATTCTATAATAAAGCTTAATGTTTTCAGTTAAAAGACTACAGCCATACATTGAGATTACATCTCCCCTTATTTCTGCTGCTAAAGCATCTTTTTAAAAGATTTGTATATTTATGCATTTATTTGAAAGGCACAGTGACAGAGACAGAGAAACAGAGAAATCTTCTGTCTGCTGTATACTCCTCACATCATGATAGTAGTTGGGGCTGGGGCAGACCAAAGCCAGAGCCTGGAACTCCATCCAGGTCTCCCACATGCGTGGCAGAGACTCAAGTACATTAACCATCATCTGTTGTCTTCCCAGGTACACTAGCAGGAAGCTGGATCAGAAGTGGAGTACCCAGAACTCAAACTGATACTCTAATATGGGATTCAGGAGTTCCAAGTGGTGTCTCAACACACTTCACCACAATGTCTCTCCCTAAAATGTCTTTTATTAAACTATAATGATAGTAGTTACTTAGCACATCAATTCAATCATCTCCCTTTTCTTTATGCTTCTCTGATCAATTAATTACAAAAGTCTAAGGAACCACTGTCTACAAGTTATCATAACATAGTCTAGGTTTTGATTGACTATATATTGAATACCGTGGAGGCTTTCTTAATCTACTACTATATACTTTTTAAAATTTTTTTATTTTTATTTATTTATTTATTTTTGACAGGCAGAGTGGATAGTGAGAGAGAGAGACAGAGAGGAAGGTCTTCCTTTTGCTGTCGGTTCACCCACCAATGGCACCACGGCTGGCGCGCTGCGGCCGGCGCACCGCGCTGATCCGAAGGCAGGAGCCAGGTGCTTCTCCTGGTCTCCCATGGGGTGCAGGGCCCAAGCACTTGGGCCATCCTCCACTGCCTTCCTGGGCCACAGCAGAGAGCTGGCCTGGAAGAGGGGCAACCGGGACAGAATCCGGTGCCCCGACCGGGACTAGAACCCGGTGTGCCAGCACCGCTAGGTGGAGGATTAGCCTAAGGAGCCGCAGCGCTGGCCAACTATATACTTTTAAATAGTAACTACTCTTGGATGTTCAGAAAAAGTCATGCAGCTACCTCTTAACTCTCCTCTGAATATACCTATAATTCAATGCAACAAAAGGTAAAAAGAAGTAGCATGTCTCTCAAAACACCCTAAAATTATAGATCCATAGATATAAATAAATGTAAGGATCCTCACATCAAAGGGATCTTTAAAGTGAGATCCAGGAATGCCTTAATAATTGTGAGGTTCACATGCCTGAAAAGTCAACGTGGCATTCAGTATGAAGGCTTAGGAAACGAAGGTCAGAAGAGAAACTAGACACGGAGTCCTAATGTTGCCTGTGTGTGTAGCAGTTCTGCTGGAAGAACTGGAGTTGAAGGGTGCACTGGCACAAGCAAGATATGCAGATAAGCTTTGGAAGTCATTTTTATAAAGGTGAATGAGTCCCGCAAGTGAATGAAAAGTTACTGAGTTCTATGACTATGATAGTACTAAAAGAGATTCACTCAACTATAATTTACTAACTTAACATCTTACAGACACTTGGAATACAGTTAGAAGAGTAAAATGCTATCTACAAAATGCTCGTAATTATTATGTAATGACCAACATGTGAGCAATTAAATAAAATGCAATATGAGACTATTAGCACTATGAATGCCCCAAAGAAGGAAGGATTAGTTCTTTGTAATATTGAAGATATGGAAGGTCATGGAGTAGAGAATTAAAGATTGCTTCACCAAGGGTCAGGACTGAATTTTGAGAAGTTCCCACAGCTGTGGGCAAGAGGAAGCAGAGTAACTGGTGAAGGAGAGAAGCTGTGTATATAAAAGCAGAAGAATCCGGATTGGCATAAAGGTGTGCCAATACAAGGAGTTTTAAAAATATACTATTAGTATATTACTGTATCAAAGGCTTTCAAAATTTCAGGATAAAGATTCAGAGATAAAGAACGAGAAGGAGGTTTATTTTGTACTAAAGGTCTCCAAAAATGCCTTGGTCTTATTTAGGAATCTTTGAAATACAATCTAGGAATCACTCCCTAAGCAACAAGAACACACACCTGTAAAGTAATGTGCTCAAGATCAAGACTCATGAACAACAAATGGCACCTGGTCTCTTCCCAAATCATTGCAGTGTGAAGAGCAGTGGACTTCTCATAATGAACTGTAGTAAGAGCATGGCAAGCCCAGCTGTTCTTGGTACTACTCCAAACACTCCCACCAGATCCACCAAGAAGGGGAGGAGAGTTAACTGCCCTATTCCAGCATGGCAAGCCCAGCTGTTCTTGGTACTACTCCAAAAACACCCACCAGATCCACCAAGAAGGGGAGGAGAGTTAACTGCCCTATTCCTTTGCTTTAATACAGTTGGAAGCGGAATTCCTAGTCATTAAAAAGATTTCAAGACTTAAAAATCTGGGAGGCAGGGTTATATCAAAACCCACAGTGGAGAAAATGTCAACTGACAAGGAATGACTGCATTGCTTGCTTCTTTTCTCTGCCTCCCTATAATGACAGCCCAGCTTTCAGGCTAGTACAAAGAAGGGAAAGTCATAAGAACAAGGAATAATATTTTAAAATCTAATATTTTCTTTTCTATAAAACTTTTCCAAAAAGTACAGCACAATAGTAGGTTCAGGGATTTGATGAACTAAACTTGATAAAAGGGCTTTTCAAATCACCAATATGAAATAAACTAAGACATTTTAAAACAGGGAAAGATAAAACGGGACAGAAGCAAAGAAAGTATGGAGTCCAGATATCTATCTATCTATCTCTATATATATGTATATGTAGTGAGAACCACAGAATAGCGGAAATCTTCTAAATGTAAAGCTATACAGATTTGTGCTTGTTAAAGTTACAAAGAAGTCAAAGATAAACAAGGGTTTTACTCAGAGACTGTATCTCACCTTAAAGGTGAATTTGGACATAAAAAGTAGTAGTTATAACCAGAAGATCCTGAGCCAAACAAAATTTAATATACCCTTACTCCAGAATGTAATTGAATAGATTTCCTTTTGAGAGAGAGCAATTTTTCCCCCAGAACTACATATATGTGTCTTTTTAAAATAAACTTCATTGGTTGAATGGAATGTCCTGCCTCAATTATACAGAAAATTATTAGATTCTCTAGGTAGTTTTAAAGTCTCCATAAAGATCTTTATGAGCGACTTTTTTACTGAACTGCTTTCCTCTGGGAGTACATGGAACTCACAGGGGGCTGTGCTTAGAGGAGAATCAAGTCCACAGTCTGGATAAGCATGTTGAACAGGAGAAAACAAAACAGGGGTAATTGAATTTTGTACCCGTACATTTTTATAAAACCCCACATCTATTGTCTTGCTTTCTACTGGCATGAAAAGGTTTATTTTTACAGATACTAAAAGAAAATGTGGCCTTGTACAAAATAAATGCTCAATAGAAGGTATAATCTTGACTTTTCTTCTGACCCAGGCTTAGATTACAGATTTGGCACTTTTCACTTGACCTGAAAGGAAGCAGATTTTAAAGTTACATTTAATTAGCTTGCAATATGAAACAAAACAAATTCCACTGTTTAAAACAATGGAGAATAAATCAGTATGTTCCAGTCTGAAACCGTCACTAATTAAACCCTGGTGTTGTTGATCTATCCGTTCCAATATTCCCTATCCTTTCTCTCTCTCTCTCTTTTTAAGAAAGCTTTATTTATGAATACAAATTTCATAGGTACAACTTCAGGAATATAGTGGTTATTTCCCCCATAACTGCCCTCCCACCCCCACTGCTGTTCCACTTCCATCTCCCTCTCCCATTCCATTCTTCATTAACATTCGTGGTTTTTGGTTTTTTGTTTTTTTGACAGGCAGACGGGACAGTGAGAGAGAGACAGAGAGAAAGGTCTTCCTTTTTGCCGTTGGTTCACCCTCCAATCGCTGCTGCGGCCGGCATATCACGCTGATCCGAAGCCAGGAGCCAGGTGCTTCTCCTGGTTTCCCATGCGGGTGCAGGGCCCAAGGACTTGGGCCATCCTCCACTGCACTCCCGGGCCACAGCAGAGAGCTGGCCTGGAAGAGGGGCAACCAGGACAGAATCTGGCTCCCCGACCAGGACTAGAACCCGGTGTGCTGGCGCCGCAAGGCCGAGGATTAGCCTAGTGAGCCACTGCGCCAGCCAAGATTAGTTTTTAAATAACTTTATATACAAAAGACCAACTCTATACTAAGATTTCAACAATTTTCACACACAGACACCCACACACACACAGAGTATAAAGTACTGTTTGAGAACAAGTTTTATGGTTAATTCTCATAGTACAACTTAATAAGGACAGAGGTCCCACATGGGGAGTAAGTGCACAGTGACTCCTGTTGTTGATTTAATAATTAACACTCTTATTTATGACATCAGGGATCGCCTGAGGCTCTTGACATGAGCTGCCAAGGCTATGGAAGCCTCTTGAGTCCACAAACTCCATCAGTATTTAGACAGGGTCATAAGCAAAGCAGAAGTTCTCTCCTCCCTTCAGAGAAAAGTACCTCCTTCTTTGATGGCCCCTTATTTCCACTGGGGTCTCACTCCCAGAGATCCTTCATTTAGAACATTTTTTTTTTTGCCACAGTGTCTTGCCTTCCCATGCCTGAAATGCTCTCAAGAGCTTTTGAGTCAGATCTGAATGCCTTAGAGATGATTCTGAGTGCCGTTCAGGGCGTTTGTCATGCTAGGCGTCTGCTGAGCGGCCTGCTTCCCATGTTGGAACATTCTCTCCTTTTTTAATTCTACCTATGTTATTACCTGACACTTGATCTTATTTATATGATCCCTTTGACACTTAATCCTATCTATATTATCAATTACACACTGAACATGATCACTTTAACATGTAAGATGGCATTAGTAACACCCAGCTTAATGGGATTTGGGAGTCCCATGGCAAGTTTTTAGCTTTACCCTTAGGGCTAAGTCTGTGGGAATGTGTGCAGAACTGTACAGCTCCTCCCTCTCATATTACCACTCTTATTTTTTTTTACTGGGATCTATTTTCAACTGACTTTATACGCCTATGATTAACTCTATGTTAAGTAAAGAGTTCAACCAATGGTATTAAATAGAAAAAATAAAAATACTTTTAAAATAAAATAAAATAATAAATTATTCCTTGACAGTCAAGACAAGGGCTGTTCAAGTCATTGCTTCTCTAAGTTTCAATTTCACTTCTACGGGTTACCTTTTAGGTGCTCTGTTAGTTATCACAGATCAGGAAGAACATATGGTATTTGTCCCTTTGGGACTGGCTTATATCACTAAGTATGATGTTTCCCAGATTCATCCATTTTGTTGCAAATGACCACATTTCATTTTTTTTTTACCACTGTGCAGTATTCCATAGAGTACTTATCCCATAATTTCTTTATCCAGTCTTCCACTGACAGACATTAAGATTGATTCCATGTCTTAGCTATTGTGAATTGAGCTGCAATAAACATGGGTGTTTACTGATTTCACTTCCCTTGAGTAAATTCGGAGCAGTGGTATGACTAGGTTGTGTGGTAGGACTATATTCAGCTTTCTGAGGTATCTCTAAACTGTCTTCCATAGTGGTTGTACCAGTTTCCATTCCCACCAATAGTGGATTAGGTACCTTTTTCTCCACATCCTCGCCAGCGTTTGCTGTTTGTTGATTTCTGTATGAAATCTGGGGCCAGCACTCCGGCACAGCAGGTTAACACCCTGGCTTGAAGCACCAGCATCCCATGTGGGTGCCGGTTTGAGAGCCGGCTGCTCCACTTCCAATCCAACTCTCTGCTGTGGACTGGGAAAGCAGTAGAAGATGACCCAAGTCCTTGGGCCCCTGCACCCACGTGGGAGACCTAGAAGAAGCACCTGGCTACTGGCTTTGGATCGGCGCAGCTCTGGCCATTGTGGCCAACTGGGGAGTGAACCATCAGATGGAAGACCTCTTTCTCTCTCTCTCTCTCTCTCTCTCTCTCTCTCTGTGTAACTCTGACTTTTGAATAAATAAATAAATCTAAAAAAAAAAAAAAAAAGAAAGTCAGTCTAACTGGAGTGAGGTGAAACCTCTTTGTGGTTTTGATTTGCATTTCTCTGACGGCTAGTGATCCTGAGCATTTTTTCATGTGGCTGTTGGCCATTTGGATTTCCTCTTTTGAGAAATGTCTGGTGAAGTCTTTTGCCCATTTCTTGACTAGACTGTTTCCTTTGTTGTTGTTGAGCTTTTTGATTACTTTATATATTCCTGTTATTAATCTTTTATCAGTTGCACAGTTTGCAAATAATTTCTCCCAATCTGTCCGTTGCTCTTTTCTTTCCTGTTTCTTTTGCAGTACAGAAACTTCTCAATTTTATGTGATCCCATTTGTTAATTTTGCCTTTGACTGCCTGTGCCTCTGGGGTCTTTTCCAATAACTCTTTGCCTGTACCAGTGTCTTGCAGAGTTTCCCCAATGCTCTCTATTAATTTGATGGTATCGGGTTGCAGTGTTAGGTCTTTAATCCATTTTGAATGGATTTTTGTGTAAGGTGTGAGGTAGGGGTCCTGCTTCATACTTCTGCCTGTGGAGACCCAGTTCTCCCAGCACCATTTGTTGAAGAGACTGTCCTTGCTCCAGGGAATGGTTTTAGCTCCTTGGTTGAATATAAGTTGGTTGTAGATGTTTGGGTTGATTTCTGGCATTTCTATTCGGTTCCATTGGTCTATCCATCTGTTTTTGTACCAGTAACAGGCTGTTTTGATTATAAATGCCTCTCAGTATGTCTTGAAATCTGGTAATGTGATGCCTCCGGCTTTGTTTTTGTTGTATAAGATTGCTTTAGCTATTCAAGGTCTCCTGTGTTTCCAAGTGAATTTCAGCATCATTTCTTCTGAATCTGAGAATGTCTTTGGTATTTTGATTGGTATGGCATTGAATCTGTAAATTATTTTTGGAAGAATGGACATTTTGATGATACTGATTCTTCCAATCCATGAACATGGAAGATTTTTCCATTTTTGGGGTCTTCTTCTGTTTCTTACTTGAATATTTAGTAATCCTAATTGTAGAGATCTTTGAATTCCTTGGTTAAGTTTATTCCAAGGTATTTGACTTTTTTGTAGCTATTGTGAGTGGGATTGATCTTAAAAGTTCTTTCTCAGCCATGGCATTGTCTGTGTATACAAAGGCTGTTGATTTTTGTGCACTGATTTTATATCCTGCTATTTTACCAAACTCTCCTATGAGTTCTAGTAATCTCTTAGTGGAGTCTTTTGGGTCCCTATATATAGAATCATATCATCTGCAAACAGGGGATAGTTTGACTTCATCTTTATTGATTTGAATTCCTTTTGATTTCTTTTTCTTGCCTGATGGTTCTGGATAAAACTTCCAGGACTATATTGAGTAGCAATGGTGAGAGTGGGCTCCGGATCTCAGTGGGAATGCTTCCAATTTTTCCCATTCAATAGGACGCTGGTTGTGGGTTTGTCATAAATTGCCTCGTGTTGAGGAATGTTCCTTCTAAACCCAATGTGCTTAGAGTTTACATCATGAAAGGGTGTTGTATTTTGTCAAATGCTCTCTCTGCATCTACTGAGATAATCATATGATTTTTGTTCTTCAGCTTGTTAATGTGATGTATCACAATGGTTGACTTGCAAATGTTGAACCATCCCTGCATACAAGGGATAAATCCCACTTGGTCCAGGTGAATGATCTTTCTGATGTATTGCTGGACTCAATTGGCCAGAATTTTGTTGAGGATTTTTGCATCTATGTTCATCAGGGAAATCGGTCTGTAGTACTCGTCCTCTGTGTCTTTTTCAGGTTTAGGAATTAAGGTGATGCAGGCTTCATAGAAGGAGTTTGGGGAGGATTCACTCCCTTTCAATTGTTTTGAATAGTCTGAGAAGAAATGGAATTAGTTCTTCTTTAAATGTATGTTAGAGTTCAGTAGTGAAGCCATCTGGTCCTGGGCTTTTCTTTGTTGGGAGGGCCTTTATTACTGATTCAATTTCTGTCTTGGTTATGGGTCTGTTTAGGTTTTCTGTGTCTTCATGACTCAGTTTAGGTAGGTTGTATGTGTCCAGGAATCTGTCCATTGCTTCTAGGTTTCCTAGTTTGTTGGCATACAGCTGTTTGTAGTAATTTCTCATGAATCTTTTTATTTCTGTCGTGTCTGTTGTTACATTTCCTTTTTCATCTTTAATTTTCTTGATTTGGGTCTTCTCTCTCCTTTTCTGGTTAAGTAGGCCAATGGTGTGTCAATTTTGTTTATTTTTTCAAAAAACAGCTGTTCATTTTGCTGATCTTTTTTGTATTGGTTTTTGTTTGTTTGTTTCAATTTTCTGTATTTCTTCTCTAATTTTAATTATTTCTTTTCTCCTACTAGTTTTGTTTTGGTTTGCTGTTGTTTTTCCATATCCTTGAGGTGCTTGGAGAGCTCATTTCTTTGGTTGCCTTTCCAGTTTCTTGATGTAGCCACCTATTGCTATAAACATTCCTCTTAACAATGC